TGGTTGGAGCAGACACAGAGATATTCTGTTCTTTTGTCTATGCTTCTAACACTGTAGAAGAAAGAAAAGAACTCTGGACAGACCTCAAATACCATCAAGATCTGCCTCTGATCCGAAACAATCCTTGGCTCATCTTTGGAGATTTTAATGAAATATTAGAGGGAGCAGAACACTTAAATTTCTTGAATTCTCCATTAATTCCTGCGGGAATGCGTGACTTTCAAGAAACGGCTTCTTATTGTTCTTTGGTGGACATGAAAGCACATGGACCTCTCTACACCTGGTGTAACAAGAGGGAGGATGGACTGATATGCAAAAATCTGGATAGAGTTCTCATGAATGATAATTGGCTCAATGCATATCCACAGTCCTATAGTGTTTTTCGAGGCAGGAGGTTGCTCAGACCATCTGCGCTGCCGCATACAAATTGTAGAGCCTCCTCTGAAGCCGAGAAGACCTTTCAAGTTCACAAATGCTCTTGCAGAGTCAAAAGCCTTTATACCTCTCATCGAGGACTTTTGGAGCAGAACAGACCCCCTCTTCACTTCCACGTCGGCCCTATATCGCCTATCGAAGTCCCTAAAATAACTAAAATTGCCGCTGAAGACACTGAGCAAAGACCATTTCCATGATCTCTCGAAGCGGACTAAGGCTGCCTATGAACAGCTTTGTGATTGTCAGACCAAAACCCTGTTGAATCTGGTTACAAGTGCTATGGAAGCAGAGTCCTCTGCGTTTACCAAATGGCAGCACTTAGCTGACCTCAAGGAGCGCTTTCTTCGTCAAATCTCTAAGCTTCATTGGTTGCAGGTTGGCGATGGGAATAACAAATCCTTCCACCAAGCAGCACAGACTAGAAAACTGATTAACACCATCCGAGAAATTCAAACGGAGGATGGTACTACTGTGCATACACAGGATGAAATCAAAGTAGTGGCTGAAAACTACTTTAGTGAGTTTCTGAACCGAGGATAGAGAACTTCAGAGGCATCACAGTGGAAACTTTGAAGGGCTTACTGGAGTTTGAATGTGGAGATACAGATTGTGAATCACTGCAACGAGTAGTTACAGAAGAGGAGGTGAGAGGGGTAATATTTTTCATGCCAAGTAACAAAGCCCCTGGTCCATATGGGTATACAAGCTAATTCTTTAAAACAACCTGGCCTATACTTGGAAAGGATTTCGTTACTGCAGTCCAATCCTTTTTCGAGAAAGGATTTTTGCCCAAGGGAATCAAGACCACGATCTTGGCCCTTATACCTAAGATAACAACAGCATCACATATGAAAGACTTCCGCCCCATATCATGCTGCAATGTGATATACAAAGTAATTTCAAAGATTCTAGTAAATAGATTAAAGAAAATGCTCCCAAAGTTTATTGCTCCGAATCAGCCAGCCTTCGTAAAAGATCGATTACTGATGGAAAATGTTCTCCTAGCTTCAGAGTTGGTTAAGAACTATCATAATCGAAATGGGCCCAACAAAAGTCTGAAATGGGCCCAACAGGGTCCGAAATGAGCCCACCAGGAGTTTGAAATAGACCCAACAGGAGTCTGAAAAGGGCCCAACATGGGCCAACATGATGCGAAATGGGCCCATTAAGGGTGCGAAATGGGCTCAACTGGGGTCCAAAATAGGCCCAACTGGGGTCCGAAGTTGGCCCATCAGTAGTGCGAATTGGGCCCATCAAGGATACGAAATGAGCCCAATAGAAACCCGAATTGGGCTCATAAGGGGTGCGAAATGGGCCCATCATGGGTGTAAAATGGGCCCCAACAGGATAATAAATAGGCCCAGCAGGGGTTCCAAATGGGCCTGACTGGTGTCCAAAATGAGAGTCCGAAGAAGACCCAACAGGGTCCGAAATGGGCCTAACAGGGGTATGAATAGGGCCCAACATGGGCCCACAGGATGCGGAATGGGCTCATTAGGGGTGCGAAATAGGCCAAATTGGGGTCCGAAGTCGGCCCATCAATGGTGCGAAATAGGCCCATCAAGGGTACGAAATGAGCCCAATAGGAGCCCGAAATGGGCCCAAAAGGGGTGCGAAATGGGCCCACCATGGGTGTAAACTGGCCCCAACATGATAATAAATAAGCCCAGCAGGGGTTCCAAATGGGCCTGTCTGGTGTCCAAAATGAGAGTCCGAAGAAGGCCCAATAAGGGTCCGAAATGGGCCCAACATGAGTCCGAAATAGGCCCAACAGGAGTCCGAAATAGGCCCAACAAGGGTCTGAAAAGGGTCCAACATGGGTCCAAAATGCAACATGGGTGCCAAATGGGCACAGCAATGGTTCTAAATGGGCCTAACAAAATGCGTAATCGACCCATTAGGGGTGCTAAATGGGCCCGTTAGGGATACGAAATGAGCCCAACAGGGGCGCGAAAAGGGCCCAACAGGGGTCCGAAATGGGCCCAGAATATCTTCTGCCCTTGTGTATTTGGTGCAGCCCATTGAAGTGGCCATATGATAAGCTCAACAATGTAAAACGGGCTTTTTAGCTATCGAAATTAAAGCCCAAAAGGCCTTATGTATTTGGTGCAGCTCATTGAAGTGTCCATATGATAAGCCCAACAATGTAAAATGGGCTTTTTAGCTATCGATTTTGAAGCCCAAAAGGCCTTATTTATTTGATGCAGCCCGTTGAAGTGTCCATATGATAAGCCCAACAATATAGAACGGGATTTTTATCTATCGAATTTGAAGCCCAAAAGGCCCATAGCAAATCGAAGGCTAGCGAGCGACGACCAACCTTTTCGTCTTCCTCTCCAGCGATTTTTAGGCTTGGTCTCGAATTAACGTGGATTTGTAGAGGATGGTGCTTTCTCAGGGACTGCTCACAAACGGAGCAGGTCACTATTCGATCCTGTGGCTTATGCTTGCTCACCGTGCTCGTTTCTTATGATTTTGGTCTTCAATTTTGATTCATAGGATCAATCCGGTTGGCTCATCCCGCAATCCCGTCACACCGGATTCAGAGACGCAATGAGTTGGGACCCAGTAGCTTCAAGTTTCGCGGGGATTCGGTAATTTCATATTTTCTGAAAGCGGGTTAAGACAAGGAACAGCTCAGGCAGCTTTGGCGTAAGCTTGTGTATGTATGTTTTGCTTCTTGTAGAGTCTCAATGGGAGAGTTAGCTATAAGCATGTGGGTGGGTATTGCGCGGTATCTGTAGGTTTCGGTCGTCAAAGTCCGAGCTTCCATGACGAAGAGCCCTTATGGTTGAGCCTTGTTAAGGACATTGTCTGGTATACATTTTCACACAATCAAAGCTGATTCTTTCTTGTTTCCTCTGGAAGATTTGGTTCCATTGAATTGCCTTTGTGGAACTTTTGTTTTAAAGGAGCACGAGATCTCTCTTCACCTTTCTATCTGAGCAACCGAGCCAGCTGAAATTCATAGAGTGGCCAAGTTTTACAACCACGGTATGTGCTGCGTGTACACTTTTGCTATGCTATTGTTTGAACAGTTATGTAATGTAACCTTTTGTTTTGGCAACAGCTCAAGACTGCCACACTGAGTCTCTGTCTTGTAGCTGTCTTCATTGTTGCGCTATCATCGGTGGACTCTGCTCTTTGTTACATATTGGCTTTGATCCTGAGGAAAGCCCCATGAGATTAAGGCAACTCCATTGTCATTTGTATTTGTAGCGTGCTAAGGTTTATCATAACAATGTTGATGTCGAAAGATTCAAAGTCTCTTTCTTTGTACCCAAAAATCGATATGTTGAATAATAACTTTAGTAAAATCAAACGATGTTCCAAAATTGGAGACCGTACATAACACAAACATGTAGAAGATAGAAAAAAAAAGAGGAAGGAGAGACTGTTTGGCTCCTGTAGTTTTGTTTGAGCTGAAGCTACTTGAGAACAACAGCAGCATTGCGTATGGACAGATACTGCTGGACTTGCTCGGCAGAGAGTGACCTTACGGCCTTGAAAACCTGGGAATTTGCATACCGCAGGTTTGTTCTTGGGTCGACATATGGTGCCTGTCGCAGTCCAAAACAAGAATGTCAAGACAAGATAGATCATAGGGGCCGATCAAACTCTTGCGAAAGCTTTGCGTACCTCATATCCTGTTATATCGCAAATTCTCTTGCATGGCTGAGTGGATGGAGGCGACTCAATGTTGACATCTGCACACAAAAAGAAAAGGAGGAGGATTGATTTCCGCATAGAGGAGAGTATCTGATTCTACTCAAAACTTACAATTGGGTTCATGGGGAGGACAATCTTGGAAATTCTCAGCCTGAAGAATCTGTTTGAGGTGTTTCCACCTTCCTCGAGACTGCCCCTTTGGGTACTTTTCATACGCCTGTATCTTCTTAAAGCTCAGATGCATTGGAACCACGATATCTGCCTCCACCAACTCCCCCTCCATCTCTCCCAACTTTCAAACCCTAGGTACCAAATCCGAGAGAGGAGCACGAAGAAGCCTCCTTATACGTTGTCGTTCTAAGCGATTGTTAATAACCGGCCCGGTTCGGTATTTTGAATGAATGAACAACAATTCGGGATATACATTGGAAGCCGAATCGAAAAGAGTTTCTAGATCCCCCCATGCGCTGATGATCCATCTTCACCACCAGTAGCAGAGAAGATTATTATTGCTTTGATCCAGAGGTTCCACCACGAGCTCGGAAGTTGGATTTGACGATTTTCTCGAGAGTCGATCAGAATCTTCAGTCTGAGATCTGGGCTTGCACAATCAAGCTGGCCTCTTTCTCTAGTGTTTGGATTGCCTAGAGTAGCTCTAGAAATGGTAAAATAGCAGCGATGATGACTGATTTTCAGCGATCGCTTTCTGTGCGTTTGAGCCGCCGGGGCAATCAAAACGCACAATCTAAAGGTCAGTGACTCTGGAATAAGCTCCTCTGATGCCATTTTAATGAGTAATGATGGTTTGCTGAGTATTTTTGGTTTCTTGTCTCTCAAATGGTACAGATGCTGAGGCTGGCTTCTTCTCTCCCACTAGGCTGCATACTGATTACGCTATGAAGAAAATTTGGAAAGCCGGATTCGTTCGGTTGCTTCTTGTTGGAGGCATTGTGTGGATGCTACTCATTCTTGTTGCACTGCTCTTTCATGTTTGGTCATGTCAATCTTCACTTTCGTTCTTCTCAGGTATTCTCACGTTTTCAATACTCAGGTCAAGAGATCCATCCGTACAATGCTGTTATCACATGATGGTGTTCACTTGCAGCTATATGCAACAAAGAAGGCAGACTGTATGTGATGTTAGACACGATTGGATTCGTACCAAAACCGCAGCACCGTAAGATTTTTAAAAGTCAATAATCTATTCAGCTTCTGCTTACTCTAGAGTGACGCTTGATAACTCTTGCTTTGGTAAAAGGATGCCCCATCCCGGTGGCCTATGACCCTGATAAGGTGCTCCTTCCCAGTGGAAAGACCCAAGACACAATAGTCACGAATCTGACCTACATTACACAGGATGAATCCTCTCATTCTCCGTTTCCTCTGTTTGGCGGCAACATTAGCTGGTCTCAACGAGAAGAAAGCTTTAAACTGAAACCTGAGATGATGGTAAAAGGAGGCTACCTCTTGTACCATTCTTCCCTCTGCAAACTAGTATTTCATCTCTGGATAATCTGATAACCTGCAAACTTTTCAGGTCCATTGCGGATTCATGCCAGGGGGTGGGGCAGAAATGTCATCTCTGGATAAACAACACGTAAAGAAATGTAGGTTTGTGGTTGCGACAGGGATTTTCGATGCTTATGATGAACCCCATCAGCCATCAAACATAAGCGAGCGTTCCAAGAATCTCTTCTGTTTCCTTATGGTGGTCGACGAGGTCTCTCTCGACTTCTTAAGCAAAAACACTACTGTGAGGAAAGATGCTCAAGGAGGCAAATGGGTTGGCATGTGGCGTCTGGTTCTACTCAAGACTCCTCCATATGATGAACCTAGGAGGAACGGTAAAGTCCCGAAAATCTTAACTCACAGGTTGTTCCCTGAAGCACAGTACAGCATTTGGATTGATGGGAAAATGGAGCTCATTGTCGACCCCTTGCTTATTTTAGAAAGGTGCAAATGCGTTGGATATAAGACTACATATATGCCCATAGATCAGATTATATACCTCTCCACAATGTTAATTATTATCAGAACTTCAGAAGAAGGTGCTAAAAGATGCATATTCTGTCGTCTTTCAGGTATCTGTGGCGTGGGAAGCATACCTTCGCCATTGCTCAACACAAACATCACCGAAACATATACGAGGAAGCTGATGCGTGCAAGAGGAGAAAGCGATATGCCCGACCTCTGGTTGATCTTCATATGAAAATATATCGATACGAGGGATTGGAACCATGGAGCATCAAGAAGAGCACTGTTAGTGGTAAAGACCATAACAAAGCATCAATGTCATCATGCGCCTTGTTAATAATCCTAAGCCTCTTGTCTTGCGTTACACAGATGTTCCAGAGGGAGCGGTGATAATAAGAGAGCACACTGCAATGAACAATCTGTTCAGCTGCCTGTGGTTCAACGAGGTGCACCTGTTAACACCGAGGGACCAGCTAAGCTTTGGGTACGTAGTGGACAGACTAAAAGGAGCCTTCAAGGTGTTCATGTTTCAGAACTGCGAGTACAACTCTCTGTTTGAGCTGCACCCTCACATCCGAGAGCACTCCTCAAAGATCGAGTGGGTCAAGAGTCTTAAGGAACTCAAAGGGAAAGGAGAGAGTTTGAAGGAGAGCCGAGGCGGGTTTGGGCTCTGGACTCCTTATCCTGGGGATCTTGATTCCGTTGAGCTACCAAAAGTAGTAAGAACTTCTAAAGCTGGTTGAGGCACAAAACATCATTATACACTCTACTTTTTTGCTTTTGTTCGATTGTTGCCAAGTTTTTGGATACATAGACTTGTTTCTGAATCAAACGCATAACTCAAAATTGTAAAAAAGAGTAGCAGCGTCAGCAGATATCACGGGTTTTAATAGTACAAACTAAGACAAAACAAATGTATAAATTGTTGAATTTGGTACAGAAGGAAAAGGAAGATCTCTTAAAATTACAAAAGAATCTCAATATATCTTCGAAAAAAGAATAACTCAGACAACCCGAATAATAAAGGGTCTAGCGATTGGGAACAAACACCATTTTATTGGGAAGGACGATACAGAGGTAAAAAGCGAAAAGATGCAGTTGGACGGTTTGATCAGTTGGTGGAGTCGCGGCTGTAGAAGAGGTCGAGGGTTTTCGCGGGAATACGGTGAAGCAACTCACGCGGGAAGATCCGCAGGAGTGTCCATGCCAGGTCGAGTGACTGGAAGATATTCCGGGTATCGTAAGCTCCCTGCGCCACAAACTTCCTCTCGAATTTGTCCAAGAACTCCAGATATAGCTGTTTGCATCACACATTGTACAAAAGTGTTAAGAAGATAAGACAGGGGAGAGGCTCGCGAAAGCATTTAAGACAGTGTAAGCAAAAAGGAAAGACGAGAGAGACCAGATCCTCGGAAGAGAGAGCTTCTTCTCCGACCACCGCTTTCATGGCCTGAACGTCCTTTCCGATAGCGTAATTGGCGTACAACTGATCTCACAAAAAGAAAGAAAAGTAACAACAACTTCAGCTCAGGCTCAAGTTGACAGATAAAACTTACGTAAATTAAGTTCATCTACAATGGTTGAGATTAAAAGTCTTACTTGATTAGAAACATCAGAGTGGTCCCTGCGAGTCATACCCTCCCCAATGGCACTCTGCAACACAATCGATTTACTTTAACAGCCTGGATCCATCACCTGGATTAATCTATTAATTTTGAAGTTTGAACCACCACACTTACCTTCATAAGACGAGATAAAGATGGCAGGACATTGATCGGGGGGTATATCTGTGGACCACAAACAAAATTGGTATATTAATCTAACTTTCTACGAAATCTCATATCCGTGAAAACTAGAAACAACATCTTACAGCTAAAACTAAAGTGAAACAACATATCTTCTCCAAGATCGTACCTGTCTATTGTGAAGTTGTCTATCAATATAGATTTGGCCCTCTGTGATGTATCCTGTCAGATCTGGTGTGGGATGCGTGATATCTGACACAAAAGAGACAAAGAAATTACGAATCTCAAACAGACTTATTCACTCACCAGCATATATACCTTTTATATACGACCAACAAAAATGACCAAATTTACTAACGCATGTGTACTATAACCCTGGTATGTTATCCGCTCAGTTTCTTAGAGTCTACACCTATACGGAGGCTATGGCATCGGCCAGCAGCTTCTTTAAGCATGGTTTGCTTATTCCTCTAAGCCAGTTTTCGGGTGAGTTCTATCCACAATCTACTTTACATGACCTCGGTCAAGCTTTACTATCACCTACTGTTTACTTCATACCGAAACCGTTCAAAAATCATAGGCACTAATGCTAAAACAAAAAGCTACAACCTGAGAAGCCACAAAGAACAATTGTAAAGCGAGTTCATAAAAATAGCAACAGAGAATTACCATCGTTTGGCATGGTCAAAATGGGAATTTGAGTGATGGAACCTTTCCTCCCCTCAATTCGTCCTGCTCTCTCGTATATTGTAGCCAAGTCAGTGTACATGTAACCTGGGTAACCACGCCTTCCAGGCACTTCTTCACGAGCAGCAGAGACCTAAGGGTATTAATCGGCGTTACACACTACGTCAGGCTTCCTATAATCTCATAGTACACGAGTTGTGATCAGAACATGTAAATGTCGATTATCACCTCACGAAGAGCATCAGCGTAGGAACTCATGTCTGTGAGAATGACAAGGACATGCTTTCCACATTCATATGCTAAGTACTCAGCCGTCGTGAGAGCAATTCGTGGAGTAATGATACGTTCAATAGTGGGGTCGTTCGCCTGTACAGGAAAAACAGAATGAGAAACATCGGAGCTAAAATTTGTTTTCAAGATGTCCATAGTGTGACTACAAGACTTGCCAAGTTAAGGAAAAGTGTCACTCTCTCCATCGACCCATTCTCCTCGAAATCCCGCTTAAAAAATTGCGCAGTCTCCATGTTCACACCCATTGCTGCGAACACAATGGCGAAGTTATCATCCTCCTGGTGCTGCAAATTCACATAAATGGACCAATGTGATACTGTTTTCTTTTCTTTTTTTTGACACATTGAAAATACGGCATTACACAATCACAATTCAGTAATGGTTAAATACTACAATAGTGATACCTCAAGAAGATTATCCGACTTCTCTAAACGCTTAACCAAACCAGCCTGACGACAGATCTGAGCAGCGATTTCATTGTGGGGAAGACCTGCAGCAGAAAAGAGGGGAATCTTCTGCCCTCTGGCAATAGAGTTCATGACATCAATGGTGGATATCCCCGTCTGAATCATCTCTTCAGGATAGGTTCTCTCACTGGGATTGATAGAACTTCCTGGAGAAACAAAAGTCAAGAATCATATCCATGCATTTATTATGACATTTGATTATGCGACTGACAAGAGGCAAAAGAATCACACCAGAAATGTCCAAGTACGCCTCAGGCAATATAGGTGGACCATTGTCAATGGGCTTCCCTGAACCATTGAAGATGCGACCAAGCATATCCAACGAAACAGGAGTTTTCAAAACCTAAGACAAACATATTGGCAAGAGTGAGACAACAAAATGGTGTGGTACATGGAAAAAACAAAAATTCTGAAATTTTCAACTAGATAGCAAAAGGAGAGTTACCATACCTCTCCTGTAAACTGCACAGTTGTGTATTTGTTGTCAATTCCAGATGTTCCTTCAAAAACCTGGACAAACAAACCAAAGAAATTGGCTTTGCTGATGTATAAAAAGGCAATAAACCCTTAATTTTTCGGATAACAATGCATGATTACGTTCATTAACATAATAAAAACAAAAGGCACCAGGTCTGAGACTAGAGCAGCAGAAACTAATGAATGAAGAGAGGAGAAATTGACAAACCTGAACAACAGCTTTCTCGCCATCAACTTCGAGAACTTGACCACGTCGTGTAGTTCCATCGCCAAGACGGATGTTGACAATTTCTTGGTATTTAGGTCCCTAGAGCCAAAAGCAGTATCATCAGGAAATCCATGGCAAGGGTGATTGCAAGATGGAAAGAAAACAAAAAAAAAACCATCTCTAAGTACCTTGACTTTTTCAAGGATGACAAGAGGTCCCGCAACACCGGAGACAGTTCTGTACTCTGCGGTAGAGTGAAATGGTGTCAAAGAACAAAGAAAAACACAGAAATGCAATCTCTGAAAGACCAAATATGATCATGATTCCTTTCTCGACATTTTTACCATAAAGCAGAGTAGATGAAGGATGAAGAGTCTTACCCATGCCAATCTCCAAGGTACCCTCCATTTCAAGGCTGTTTTCAGCAGCACCCATTCTCTTATCTTCACATATCAGAGCCAAAACAAACAAACAAACAAGATATCATCAGCAAATGAGACACGAAGATCAAAGACAAAGTAGACTCTGCAAATCTATCAATCAGTCCAACATTAGCAGAGCAAATACACTTGAAGTTCCCGGTCAATTGGCAGAAATAAGACAAGATCCAAATATGAGTATGACGCAAATCTACTTTCCCACAATGAATTCCTGAATCGGATCATACGAATAGATCCCTACACACGAGATCTCCGATGCAATTTCACGGCGACCGAAGAGCAGAGCATACAATTATAAAACCCAGAAGGATGGTGTCAAAACGAATAGGAAAAGGAGAGTAAGTTGAGGAATCGGAGAGACAATGTACCTCTTAAACGAAGGATCTGCGGAGGAAGGAGAAGAGAGCGAGAGGGAGATCTATGGTAAGAAGACTATATAGCATAAGCACCGAGTAATGATGATGATGATGATTAAAAGAGTAAATAAGTGCATTATCAAGGAAAAAGAGTTAATTACGTTTTACAGGCTTTTAGATATCCATCCACATTTGCAAATCAATATTTGTTCTGCAACACTTGTCAATACTTGTATGATTTTGGGAAACTTATCTTTGCGCATTTTGTACAGAAGAATGTGTTTTCTTACGGAAATCAGTGTGGTGATGATCTAAACAGGGAAACAATTAGGGAATATAAGAATTGTGATTTTTGGGGGAGGGGGTTTTCTCTGCGGTTCACAACTAACGAGTAACAAAAGGAAAGAAAACAAAACTACCATCCTTCCCAGTCAATAATAATAATAAGAATTAAATATAATTATATATATATATATATATATAGTTACACAGAGATGTCGGAAAGAATGAACAAAGGCCATAAAATTCAAGTGGGGCAGGGAGGAGCAGGAGTGGTGCAAGGAGCCAAGGTGTTGTGAGGAAGGTTCACAGCGGCGGCTCTGACTGAAACGGCGGGTCCTCTCAAGAGGCTGGCTCTGCTCACGAGGCTTGCATCGAAGAAGACAACAATCACTGTTATGTCATCGTGGAAATGTCTTCGAACGCCTCTGTCAATCTTTTTCAGGTCTGAGTATCTCATCTCTCTCTTCTTTGCCGCTTCTTGAAGCGCCACTTTCACCAGCCGCTTTGCAATCCCCTGCAACCAGTTTCCCAAAAACTTTTGTGTTAAAATATGCATTTTTAAAAAGGACAGCAAAGTAATGTCGTCTCTCTTCTCTCACGTTACGCGGATGGCTCTGCACGATCTCTACTGCTTCTTGGTTACTCATATGTTCCCACAGTCCATCCGAAGCACAGATTATAAACTGGTCGTGCGGCTTCAGCGTATGCACCGTTATCGACGGCTCTGCACTCAGCAACGGCTTCCTGAACGGTGCCCTTAGCCTGAATTTCGCGTACAGCGGTTCCCTGTTGAACTCCGGCCGTTTCAGGTACACATCGCCAATGGATCTTGAAACCTGAGAGTTTTTATCCATACCAAACTCAGAAAGGCAAGACAAGATCATTTAGGTAGAGCTATTTTCTTTCTTTTTTGGTTTTCTAAGTGTACCTGAATGATTCCTTTGACTCTCCAAACGTTATGTTTGAGAAGCACAATATCTGGATGGTCGGGATGCAGGGCCTGAAGTTCCCGTCGCACCGACTCTATAGAGGCATTGTGCTCAGCGGAGAGCTGCGTGGCGTGAGCCTCACCGGTTGCCCTCATGACTTGTCCCAGCACGGCCCTTGAGTCACCCGCATTGGCCACGTAGAGCGTCCCATCGCAGATGACGCATACAAGGCAGCATGACCCGACGGTCGCTATCTGAGGCCTCGTCTGGAACTGATTGGAAACTATGGACAGGAACCCTTCCTCGGTCGCTTCGAAGGCTTTCTTTATCACTTCCGCAGACATACACTGTTGCTCCGCAGCAAACCCTGAGCAATGCAAAGTGTTTCAGCGCTAAGATTACCCTAACAAGAAGCTAGGCTAGTAACAAGAGTCAAGAAGCAATAAAAGTGACTCACTCTTGAGATGGTGGAACATGTGTTCATTGATGAAGCGCGACGTCTCAGGGCCGCCGTGGCCATCGTAGACGCCAACAAAGGTGCCGTAGGGACCAGAGTCGAGGGTGCTAAGGGAGCCAGACTCGAGCTGGCTCTGGTCCTCGAGCAAGTTGTTGGCCTGAACGACGGCCATGGAGAAGTCACCGCAGACGTGCTGACCGGAGTCTCTGTACCACAAGAGTCCCTCTTGACGGCCGCCGGAATCTGACTGCTGATCTGACCGTGGCCAGAGACAGGCATTCAGAAAGTTCATCAACCCAGATAGCATCCCTCATCTCATCCGAATCTCCCACCACTTGTAGTAACTCAACATAGAACTTTCTCACAATTCTCCCAATCCCAATCCCAATCACTCTCAAATGCAAACCTCACGACTCTTGCCTTCTCAACACTGCAGGAAATGGAATAGCACGAGTCAGAAATCTCAATTTGACACCTTTCCTTTACTGTTTAATGATTCAACAATCTAAGGAACTCGACACAGCATTGAAATCAATTTAACAAAAAAAGGGCAGCGAAATTAGTTGCGGGGGTTTTGAGGATTTGGAGTACAAGTCCAAACCAAAAATCTTGATTTGGTCAGCCAATCAAGAGACACACTAGTACAAGTCCAAGGATTCGAAAAGGAAAAATATGAGAGGGTAGATTCAAAAACTGTGTTCGTATTCGCCAGCAAAGGAAAGAAGCAGAGAAAAAAATAGAAACTTTACCTTACAAGATGGAATCTACTGGCTGTGACTTTGAGCAGGAAAACGAAGAAGAAGAAGAAGATCGGTGAAGAGAGGGGGTCAGGAGATGTGGGCGTGGAATTTCTCAGTTGTAGATCTACGGATCAACCCAACACACAAAAATATAGTTTTTATATATAAAAAAAAAAAAAAGAGAAGGAATAAAAAAATAAACAAGAAATGGAAGCGAGCGGATGAGGAAGAAGAGCAATTAACAAGCAAATATTAAATTAATAATTAAAAAAAAAAGTTGGGTTCCTCTCTCGCAGCTTATGATCTTTCTATGTCTAGAAACAGTGAGCGATGAAGGATTAGATTAGATAGGTCAAGTCGCCGAACGAGACGTCTCTCTCATTCTTCTGTTTGTGTTTTTCTCCTTTCACTAATGGAATTGAAAATTTCACCCCTCTCTCTCTCTCTCTCTCTTTCTCTCTTACAGTTACAAAGGTAGAAAATAAAATACATATATATATATATTAGAGAGAGAGAGAGAGTGTAACTAGCAGACAAGACCCATAAAAGACCAACGATGGCGAGGTCGGAGCCAGCACATCAAAGGCCCCAGCTTCGGGCTCCACAGCTAGAGAGAGAGAGAGAGAGAAATGGATGATGGACAAAGCAAGACAACAACAACAGTGAGAAAGAATAAGAGAGACGACGAATCAATCTTATTATTGTTGCTTTAAACAAACAAATGTTACTTACATAATTCAACAACGGGTGAGTTTAGACATTTTCACGAGTCCTCCTCCTCGAATTTGGTCAAATGGAAGAATTTTCCTTAAAACAGTAACAAAAAAAAAAATCAAAGGAAAAATCTTATTACACGGCTTCGAGAGAGACAGCCGAGGCGGGTTTGCGCCCACCGCGGAGGTCAGTTATCCGTCCGTCGTCTACATGCGCTGGCTCGTGGCTTTAGCGTTATGTCCTTTTACATCTGCTGACGTGTCGGTACATGAATGGCTAATGGAACCCACGTCTTTTGGTTTCAACCCACCGACCCTTTTAATTTATAATGGCGCCACTCTTTTTTCTTTTTTTTTTCTTTGCTCAACATTTTAACTCTACTACTCTACTAACTAGTAACTAGTAACACATATAACATTCGCCTGCCTGCATAAATTTGTAACTCTAGTCCAGGATCTTTTTCTTTATCTTATAATTTATGTCAAGTGTAAATATAATTTTGGATTCATGAATCTTTGGTTATTATATATTTCTCACAAAACGTTTAATGCCCATAAGAGTGGTGGTCCAAGACCCTGAGAAAATAATGATAAATAAAATTAGATACTAACAAGAGAGGCTTCAGCTTGAAGAATGAAAAATTGAATATCACAATTTTCTTAATATATATACTATTATTTTATATATTGGGACACGAAAGCGATTGGGATAAAGTGAGATATGTCACTTTACCTAACATTATTTAATTTTATATTAATGTATGTACCACTAAATTTGGCCCTTTCTCCCCATCGACTCTTTGTAGTTATTTATACTTTTGTAGTACCAATAATAGAACAATCAAGCAGGTATTCAAACTTGAGCTCAAGAAGAAAACAACACAAAACTATTTTTATTAAGATTCAAGAAACTGATATTTTGTTTCTAAAACATGAATAAGTCCATGATATAGTGATATTAAACTGCCAATGTCGTAGATTTTTATGGATATTGTTCCCAAAAATACACATATGTCAATGTGAAGTTCAAAGGTAGATGATAGTATACGGTCTGTTTCAATGGAAGACCAAAGCCAGGGAGGATCGAGCTGCATTACAAATCCCAGAATCTAAATGGATAAGTAAGCTATTCTATTTAAAAAACAAAAAAAAAAAACAAAAAATGTCAATAAGTTAATACAAAGGAGGAAAATGAAAAAGAAAGAAGAGATGGAAAGGGAACGGGGAGGAAGGTCCCTAGTACTACTTAACCTTAGAGAAGATAGCTTCCATCAATCACACACCTCTCACTTCCTCACCAGACTCAAACTCCATCTCCCAATACCTTCACTCGTAATTGTATTATTAACCATTCACATGATCTAACTCCACCTAAAATTTCATAAACCTGTTTACAAGGTGTGGAATAAACATATTTGAAAACAATTAGAATAATAATTGTTCTGAAATCTAATCATACAAAATAGTATATATGATTCTCTTCTTAATAAGTGCTCTCTTTTATTTGCACCTCAAAAAGCTAGGCAGTATATATGCCCGTTGAAACAAAAGACGTGACAACGTGTTTAATTTGATTCTTTTGTGTTTATTCATCGGACCCATGCACGCATAAATATACAGTTTTCTTAATAAGGTTTTATTAACCATGTCCAAGTTTACTTTAAAAATGATAACACGATTATAATTAATACGAATAGCGAGACACGTTCCTTGAGATGATAACACGAGCATATATTCTTCATCACTTTTGTTTGTATTCTTATATCATCTATTGCGTGTATGCTTCTCAGAATTAACGAAGAGGCTAATTAATAGTTAAGAAGAAGATAAACGAATAAATGTCGGAGACCTTCAAAGTGTGCTTCTGTTGTAGCAGAAGCTTCAAGGAGAAAACGAGGCAGCCGCCAGGGAGCATCAAGAGACTCTTCGAAGCTTACTCAAGAAACGGCAAGATGTCTTCCGACGACCTTCTAAGGTTCGTGAGTCAAGTCCAAGGCGAAGTGCACGCAGGGATGGACTACGTGCAGGATATCTTGCACAGCGTTAAACACCACAACGTTTTTCACATCCATGGACTTATTCATCTCAACGCCTTCTATCGCTACCTCTTCAGCGATGCAAACTCTCCTCTTCCCTTGTCTGGCCAGGTATTCAAGATTTTCTTTTTTTGCAAATTTTTTTTTAGAATCAAAACTCTGAGTAATTGGGTATGTTGTTGATCGAGTGAATAAAGGTGCATCATGATATGAAGGCGCCGTTGTCGCATTACTTTGTGTACACGGGACACAACTCTTACTTGACTGGGAACCAAGTGAACAGCAGAAGCAGCGTAGAGCCGATCGTGCAGGCTCTGAGAACAGGCGTAAAAGTGATCGAGCTCGATTTATGGCCTAACCCTTCAGGGAACGCCGCTGAAGTTCGTCATGGCGGGTTTGTTTGTTCCCACTGTTATTCTATTCATCAACAGACTCAATGAACAAAATGAGTTTTTTTTTTTTTTTTTTGTATCTCAGACTAAATATATAGATAAATCTTTTGGCTCTCATATGATCAGGACATTTACATCGCATGAAGATTTGCAGAAATGTCTCAACGCCATAAAGGATAACGCTTTCCATGTGTCTGATTATCCGGTCATGATCACTCTCGAAGATCATTTGCCACCCAATCTTCAAGGGCAAGTTGCTAAGGTCAGATTGTTTTTTTGCAGAAGAGCTAGAGATGAGTTACTCATTTGAAGAAAAAAAGTGAGTGGTTTACAATAAAAGTATATCTTAGTTGTGATTTTTATGTTTGTAGATGTTAAGTAAGACATTCAGAGGGATGCTGTTTCGTAGTGGCTCAGAGAGTTGTAAGCATTTACCATCACCAGAAGAACTTGAGAGGAAGATTCTGATTTCTACAAAGCCTCCAAAGGAGTATCTTGAGAGCCAAGGTGTTCAGACCTCGAGAACCCCAATGGATGAAGACGCTTCGTGGAGCAGACTCGCAAGTGTAAGAACTGATTTAACGCAAGACGCGAATAATAGTTTTGCAAATACTCTTAGTGCTTCTCTGTTCTTGTGACAGGGTACCAACTTGGCATGGAGAGGAGAAAACAAGAATCCTGAAGAAGAAGAAGAAGAGAGTGAAGCTGTTGGATATAGAGACTTGATCGCGGTTCAGGCTGGGAACTGCAAAAATAGTTTGAAGGATTGCTTGAGTGATGATCCAGAGAAGCCTCGAAGGATAAGCATGAATGAGCAGTGGCTAGAGACTATGGTTAGAACCAGAGGAACAGAGGTGGTAAGGTAAACAAAAATACATTGAACCTTTGACAGAGTTGGATTACTATAAAAAAAAAAAAAACAAAAACAAAAATGAAACAGGTTTACACAGAGGAATCTTGTGAGGATATACCCAAAGAGTACAAGAGTGGACTCATCAAACTTCGATCCTCTTGTTGCATGGACGCACGGTGCCCAAATGGTTGCCTTTAACATGCAAGTAAGTCGCGCAATGTTACTTCATTTCATTAAATGGCTGATGATGAGATACAACAAATGGTTGATCAATGAAGGGTCATGGGAAGCAACTGTGGATAATGCAAGGAATGTTCAGAGGCAACGGAGGGTGTGGCTACGTTAAGAAGCCTCGCATTTTGCTTGACACGCAGACAATCTTTGACCCCTGCAAAAGGCTTCCAATAAAGACCACTCTTAAGGTGAACATCTACACAGGCCAAGGCTGGGATTTAGATTTCCCTCAAACCCACTTCGATCAGTACTCTCCTCCAGATTTCTTCGTTAAGGTATCCTCGCTTTCTTATTCTCCACAAGATTATACTGCGTACATCGAGTTTTGTTTGTTTTCTTTTTAACACGGCATGCATCAGATTGGAATTGCAGGAGTTCCCAGGGACACGGTCTCTTACAGAACCCAAACAGCGGTTGATCAGTGGTTTCCTATATGGAAGGACGAGTTCCTGTTTCAGCTCTCTGTTCCAGAATTGGCACTTTTGTGGTTCAGAGTCCAAGATTACGACAACGACACCCAGAATGATTTCGCCGGACAGACATGTCTTCCTCTGCCGGAACTGAAGTCCGGAGTTAGAGCCGTCCGGCTTCATGATCGAGCAGGAAAGGCTTACAAGAACGCGAGGCTTCTCGTCAGCTTCTCCTTTGATCCTCCTTATACGTTTCACATCTCCTGAGTTTTTATTCTTTCTTCGAATAAGCAGCAGCTACATCTACATGAGTGTGTGTATTTGTGGGTCTCTAAGTTTATAGAATACTTGTACGTATATGTATTTCTTGCTTTCCCCACCCCCACGCGCTTGTCTCCTCTTAGATCTTTTATGAGTATTATTAACTAATAAATATATAAAGATTCGACTTCCTATGACTGTAGCCGCCTGCCTAGAACTGGGTGCCTTGTTTGACTTGCCATCTGATCTTCCTCCACATTTTCGTACCCTATTTATAAACAAAACAACAGAGGAAGAAAATTATAGCTTCTCAAGATCATCGACGCACCATGGAAGCACAAGTCTCCCAAGATATCGTCATCGTCGGCGCCGGAATCTCTGGCCTTTCCACCGCCGTTGGGCTCCACAGGTGTGTGTGTGTGGTCGTGAACGTAGCTGCCTTTTGATTTACAGGCAGAGTAAAAGTTAATCAGAGTGGTGGTGTGTCTGTATTGTGTCACAGGCTTGGGATCAGGAGCATGGTGCTGGAATCTTCGGATATGCTGAGAGCCACAGGATTCGCCTTTACGACTTGGTTCAATGCTTGGAAGGCCATGGAAGCTCTCGGCATTTCTGAGCATATTCGCAGTCTCCATGATCGCCTTCAAGGGTATCAAACTAGCACTAACTTTATTTATCCATACCAACTCTGTAACAAGGAAACTTTATCTCTGGTCTTCTCGATGCAGATGGGTGGTGGGATCCATCTCTGCAGGAATTCCTTCTAAAGAGATGCTCTTCCCAGAATCCGAGTATGTTCCTTGGAAAAACACGTAATGAACGCTAAACAAAAAGAAGAAAGCTTTAAATCTTGTTCAATGGTTTTGTGTGTCAGAGAATACGAATCTCGATGCGTACAGAGGAAGCTGTTGTTGGAGGCTCTAGCTGATGAGTTGCCTCAAGGGACCATAAGGTTTTCGTCTAAGGTTGTTCATATCGAACTGTCTGGACACTACAAGATGGTTCATCTCTCCGACGGAACTATTCTCAAAACCAAGGTATAGTACCTACTTGTCATCTGTAAATAATCTGAGGGCTGGTCTTCATTCTGAACCACATTCAGGTTTTGGTAGGGTGTGATGGAGTGAAATCAGTGGTTGGGAAGTGGCTAGGATTCAAGAATCCGGCAAAAACTGCCCGGTTAGCAATCCGAGGGCTCACACATTTTGCAGCTGGCCACGGATTTGGGAAAAAGTTCTTCCAGTTTTATGGCAACGGTGTTCGTTCGGGTTTCATCCCCTGTGACCACAACACTGTCTACTGGTTCCTAACCCACACCTCTACTGAATTAGGTAATTGGAACTTTACCTTATATCTACAAGTTCTCTGCTGTCACTGACTTTTCTCCTTGCGCTTGGTTAGATGAAAATCCAGAAAACCTCAGAGAGTTTGTGCTGAACAAGGTCAAAGACTTACCTGAAAACATTAAGAGTGTCGTGGAGACCACCGATCTTGATAGCGTTGTGATGTCTCGACTGAAGTACCGGCCTCCGTGGGAACTCCTATGGGCAAACATCACGAAAGACAACGTATGCGTTGCAGGGGATGCACTTCACCCAATGACTCCTGATATCGGGCAAGGAGGTTGCTCTGCCATGGAGGATGGAGTTATCCTCGCTCGTTGTCTCGGTGAAGCTATAAAAGCTAAGAATCTTAAAGGTGAAACAGAAGATGAAGAGGAGATTTATAGGCGGATTGAAAAAGCTTTGAAGAAGTATGCAGGAGAAAGGAAATGGAGAAGCATTGATCTTATAACTACGGCATACACAGTAGGTTTCATACAGCAGAGCACAGGGAAGTGGATGAACCTGTTCAGAGACAAGTTCTTGTCGTCTTTCCTTTCTCGGCTGCTGCTGAAAAAGTCTCATTTCGATTGTGGAAGCCTTGCCCCATGATTCAGTTTTCACTTTTGTTTCAAGGTTATCTAGAACTGTGTTTTTTTGCTTCTGCTTATTTCATATAAACTCTCAAAAAGAAAAGTATGAATGAAGTCGCAAGGTAAGGTTCTATAAAGTCAAAAGCTCGTTTACTTTGAAGGGAAATCTGAGTTCCGATACGAACAAGTGATGAGAAAAGAAATGATATTTATTCAATAAACGATAACAAAAGGATTACATGAACGTATGCAAACTACAAGGCAGCTAAATATAGGCTCAGTTAAAAGTGTAAGACCTAACAATGTTGGTTACGGATTCTGCAAAGGTTCTGGATGTGATCTTTTTACCAGGAACGTGGAAAGGGTTTGAGACGGCATCAACGTATGCGGCGTGGAACTTCCTGAAGAACTGTAGAGAAACGCAGAGGAGAAGATATAAACGAAGAACATGTACCAAAACTCTCTCACTTAAAGACTTTTACTAGGTAGTAGAAGCTAGAGAGTGTTAAAGCCAAAGCAGAAACTTACACTTCTCACATCGGTGTCTCTGACATCCAAATCAGTTGTGACCATGATAAACTTCACTTTTGTGTTAGTCAAGTAACCATAGCTACAGGAGAAGAAAAGAGATGATAGCACAGTGAGTTTTGGCATCATCGGACTTGTGGTGGGTGAATATAAAAGGCAAAGCCATCTGCTTACACTTTGTAGTTCAGTGTTGGATAGAGCAGACCAAGAAAAGCCTCGTTCAATGTTGTACCTGACTTCTTCGGATTGTTCACTGAAGGAAAAAGAAATCAACTTTGAATCCCTGAATTCATTCAAAACAAAGCGATTTCTGGGCAGAGAGTGGAGGAAGAGAGAAGATTAAGAACCTCGCTCATCGATGACATCGAGGGAGCAGTGCACGATGTGGTGGAGCTTAAGGGCATCGTCAGCTTCCGTGAAGCTCTGAATGTAAAGCGGGTTGTTCTGTTCGGATCCAAAAGGACGCAAGGTGAGAAAGGATCCCACTGGATCGGATCTGGATCAAAGCAAAGCAAGAAAATGAAAATTCAGCGGCAAAACCTGGTGGCCGACGACGGCGACGCAGACGATCATCTTTCTCCGACGACGGCGACGATATAACAAATTTATCAATGTCCCATGTTTTGGCAGATCCCGGCTTTGTAGAGTTCAACCACAACTGGGCTGAGTTGGGCTGGGCTTCAACAAATTCTCCGATATTGTTTTGACACACATTATAGGCTCACTATTTGTAAAGAAAGAAAATGGACTATTCGGTTAGGTAGCCACGATTGACCAAGTCACGGCTTGCTGCTACTTGTGAAATAAATAAAAGGGAACTGTATATTTATTTAGTAGATCTGACCAATTAAATAATGTAGTCATAAGATAATGTTTTGTGTTCAATAGTCAAAGTCAAACAAATAATTATCATAGACTTACAATAAGGCATTTTTTAAAAAAAATATATATACACACAACTCTCTTAAACTCATCATTCATACAGTATATATAAATCCATCAGTAATCATCACGCGTCGAAGAACAGAAAGGAACCAAAAGTCGTTCCCTCAGGCAGATCCTCCTTCAAATTCCAGGTACTGTAAATGATAATAGAGATTCCTTGCAAGTTATACACAGTAACCAGTTACCAGTGGCATGGCATCTAATGTTCTTCAGGTTTACACATACAGGTTACTTTATTTTTTGACCAAAACCAGAAATGGACTTTTTCAGTTCAAGCAGAGGAAAGAGAGATGGAAAACGATCAGGTGACTTTTTTCTTTATTTTTCGCTACGTAGCTGTGCCATAGAAGCATACACGATGACTTTCTCAAAAGTATCCTATTTGACAAGCGAATCCAAACGCTGACCAATTCTCATGGATGGTTCGTCTTTTCAGGATTGTTTGGGAAGAAGAGTTCGAGCAAGAGCAATCCGGCGAGCCCTCCTCATCCCGCCGAGGGTAGGTCGCCGCCACCATCGTATCTGACCAACAAAAGGGCCGAAACGGAGTACGATTTCCCAACCTCCGATGAACGAACAACTTACCGGAAACAGCCGGCGTCTGAACGCGTCCCCAACTCCCACCCTAGGCCTCCGGTGTACGGCGGATACGGCACGGTACTCAGTCTGTTTTCTGTTAGTTGCTTCTTTTGACCAAAACATCATATCTGCGTGGATGATATTGAGTTTGCTCTTCTTCTTTAATTGCAGCCTGAGCGTCGTAGAGAAAGAATGAGTTATGAGCCAGAGACCAACGCTCCCTCGAGCCCCTTTCATCCCTCTGGAAACCGCACGGTACTTACTTTTGACCGCCTCTGAATTGAAAGAAAATGGTTCGGGGACATATTGTCTTCTTCCTAGTTGCCTGATATTGGCCTGAATTGCAGCCTGAACGTCGTAGAAAGCCAAGCGAGTATAGTCGGGAACACCACGATCATATGTATGAGGCAGATACCCGAAGCAATGCGAGCCCATTTCACCCTTTCAAAAGCCCTTCTCCATCTCCATACCACACGGTACTCAAAACCTCAAGCTCTCTTGATTCTTCATCACCCATGAATCACTAAACGCTTCTTATGCAGCCTGATCGCCGCAGTACCCAAGACTACGAGGCAATGTACGAGCCTGAGGCCAACACCATGTTTCAGAACAGCGCTCCTGCGAGCCCATTTCATGCAGCCGGAAGCCGCTCTCCATCACCATACAGAACTGTAAGTCTTGTTCGTCATTCTTGAGAACGCAACGAGCCAAATAGATGACACAAAAAAATTCTTTCTAATGGCAGCCTGATGGTCGTGGTGATGAGCAATTTGATGACCTGTATGAGCGAGATGGTGACGTAACACCGCGAAACAGCTCTCCACCGAGCCCGTTTCATCCAGCAGCAAGCCGCTCGCCACCACCACAATCATTCAGAACGGTACTTAAAAACACTCAAAAGTAGAAAGATAAAGATCCTCTTGCAAGTGGATTGACAACAGAGTTTGTTCTTGTAATTCTGCAGCCGGAGCATGGTAATGAACAAATTGGGGACCTGTACGAGGCAGATGGTGATGTAACACCGCGAAACAGCTCTCCACCACAACAACCATACAGAACGGTAAATTCAAGTCTTGCTCACAATTTCTGCTTCAAGCTTCTTCCTAGTGACTAAATAGAATTTGGTCTCTGAATGTGCAGCCCGATCATCGTAGAAACCACCATGATGATGAGCAGATGGATGGCAATGTGATGGCACGGAACAGCGTTCCTCCGAGCCCAGTTCATGGCGGTGCAGCAGCGTACTATTCATCCAGTGACGACGATAACCACTCTACCTATCTCTTTCCAGAAATTGCCACCCCAACTCGTTCCGCCAACGGCACGGTATGAGTCCATATCTCTCTCCGTCATTCACCATTGTTTCTGGTCTAAAACCCCAAATAAAGTGGAAATGGTTTTACACTACGCGCAGCCGGTACACCACAACTATCAGATCGTCGCGGCCGAAACCTATGAGCAAGAGAAGCAGTACGAGCCGCCGGAGCTGCCGGACGAGTCTCAGAGCTTCACGCTGCAGGAGATCGCCAAAATGAGAGGACTCAAGGAAGAGAGTCAATCAATGATCTCCGAGGCTTACGTATCGGTGGCGAACTATAGAGTAAGGGTGAGCGTGGCGGAAACCCTCCAGGCGATCCTGGACAAGCACGGAGACATCGCCGCCTCCTCGAAGCTCCAATCCACCATGACGAGGTCCTACTACCTGGAATCGCTAGCGGCGGTGGTGAAGGAGCTGAGGTCGACGGGGTTGAGGGATCTGACGAAAACGAGAGTGGCGGAGATGGCGGCGGTGGTGAAGGACATGGAGTCGGTGAAAATCCAAGTGTCGTGGCTGAAGAAAGCGATGGAGGAGCTGGAGGAGGCGGTGGACTACTTCGGGGAGTACGACGCGGCGAAGGCGGAGAGAGAGGTGTGCGAGAGGGAAGTGAAGGCGGGGAAGGGAGAGATGGAGGAGATGAGGGCGGAGCTGGGCAAGAGAGAGAAGGAAATCAGAGAATGCAGAGAGAGGGTGACGGTGGTGGCCGGAAAGCTGGGGCAACTGGAAATGAAAGGCTCGAGATTGAACAAGAACCTGGAGCTGTTTGAGTCCAAGGTCCATAAGTTCCAAGGACAAGCCGTCCTTCTCCACGTTTAATAAAAATGTGCACTGTATGATTTGTTGTATGTGTATCATATGATTATCATATCAACTAAGGTTTATCCAAGGGAATTTGTGAATGGATCCAAACTCCGAGATTGCATTTCATCTCACAGAAAACAAAGGCAAGACGAGAGGTTTATCTACATCCATGATCCAACCATTAAACCAGATGCATCCATATGTACACAGCATGAAACAAAAGGGTTAAAACACGATTCAAAGAGCACATGCCTCAGGGCTTATGCTGCTTCTCTATGTCATACAGGACACAGACATCTGCCGCCGTTTTCATCTGACACCAACACAGAAACAAACCAAAAAGACGATAAGAAAGCAGTATATTGGGTAGTTGGATTCGGTGTGGATCAGCCTCGTTTACCTGAATCACATTGATGATCTGCTTGATCGACCAACCAAATATGCTCAACGCCAAGAGTAGAGACAGCGGTGAAAACTGCGCCAATGATTCAACTACCACCTGAAGAAATGGAACCCGAGAGATCTTAGTGCACAAGACCAGCTTTAGAGATTCGATTCGAGAGGAAGAGAAGAGAGGCTCACGTTCATCAGATTTTCCGTCTGCTTCTTTGCGATAAGAAGAAGGATTATATATAGAACCTGTAGTAGTGATATGAGCAAACTCATTGTTACAATTATATCTCTTAGAGACGGAAAAAGTTGTAGTCATGAGAGATATCTCAACCGCAATTACCTCGCAGGAAACACAGCAGTAACACATGAACATCCGGTTTCCATAGTAGAGTCTAAACAACCAGCTCGTGCTGTCTTTCACATCCTTATGGCTGGTCTTCCCTGATAGAAATGTACTGTGACTCGAGTATTAGATTTTCTACGAACACAAAACTATAAACAATGTACAAGTTGAATCAACTGCAACAAAGATTACCTGTACATTTGCAGCCAGTGACTAGCAATATCCAAGGCCAGCAGTGACAGGAAAACCAAGCTAGGCCTGTTTATAGTTGTGTAAGTCCAAGGCTCATGTTAATCACCAGATGAAATATAAAATCAACCAAGTCCATCTCAGGGGAAGGAGGTAAAGAAGATTTGTCACCTGTATATTTGGGAGAGAATCACGAGAAGACACGCTGTGCTGACTCTGCAACCACGCCCAGACCCCCAAAACGATGATAAAGATGTTATATACTAATGTTACACGAAAAAAGCAAGTTAAATGTCGAATGTATATGTAGCACAAGATGAACCTGTCTGTAACCATGTCCAGAACAGCTCCAAATGTAGAGACTGAAAGGGGAAGGAAAAAAAGATCTGTGAGTCACTATCAAGCTCTATCGTTATTGACAGCATAGAACAACATTAAGCTGCTCGAAAAATGTTGTTAAATTACAATATCCTACTACACTGAAACTCGAAACTAGTAACACCAAGCCCCACTCTCCATCAATGTCAAGACTTTATGAGCAACTATAAACAAATATGAGTTGGTTGAAGCTGAAAATGAGACACTGAATAATGATTAAAAAAAAAAAGCACCTTGGTTGAATTTACGGGCGCACCATCCATCGACAGCATCACAACAAAAACTGGAAAACCACATTTACGGGCGATCAAACAAGAATCGAAGACACAAAGAAGAATCAAAGGAGGAATTTTTCAAACCTGAAAAAGTACAAGAGCGAGAAGAGGGTCTTGTTGGAGAAGCAAACAGCAAAGGCAATGCAGTTCAAGACAACTCTCATGTACCCTGCCATTTTGCATGTCACACTGTCATCAAAAAAGATGGCATCTTTTAAACAGAACACAACAATTAAGGAAAATACCAAAACACTCACCAACGATATTCGGAATGTAAAGGTAGACTGATAGCGTCGCCGGTCTCTGCTTCGCATTGGTAGCCATTGGAGACTTCACTTTTGCAATCGATAGAAAAACAAGATCTCACCAACGAACAATGCACCTAAGCGAGATAAGGGAGAGAAGAGAAAGAAAAAAAAAAGAAACAAACTTTAGCACAACTCAACAAGGAAAATGCAAACAGACAGAACCCATCTCCGGTAAAGACGTGAGCACACACCAGCAGTGAGGTCAAATCGATTTTCAGGCGTATGGGCTCGACAAAAGACGGAGAATTTACGCAAGTGGAAATATCAAAAGAAACAAATTTCAAGTTGGAGAATCGGAAATCAGGGGAAAACTATCGAGATTAAGGGATCCGCAGCAAGAGCCTGCAGAGTTGTTCAAAATCGAATCAGATTCGCCTCTTCTCTGAAGCAAACCCGATGGGACACGTTTCGTTTAGTATTCTCAGTTTCGCCCCTTCAACACTTTATTATTTATCAACTTCACCCCCAAATTTCTTTTTGTTTCACAGATTACATCAGCAGACCCAAAACTGGATTAGTTTCTTCGCCCCTTTTCACGCTGCTGAAATTTTACTTGTTATTCAACATTTACCCAAATCGATGTTTTTTTTTTTCTTTCAATAAGTTAACACACATTTGATCAATTTTGACTTCCGAGCAACAATACTAATACAATCCAAATTGGAACTTCACGTTCAAATGATGTAACTTTTGATATTTGATGGGTCCAGGTTCAAATAGACTTCGTATTCTGCATATCCAAATTCAAAATCACCGACAATAATAAGAACTAAATAGTTGAATATTTTATTGTCTTAATATTGCCAAAATTGTATTAAAAATAAAGTGGGTCTCATAATGGTCCATTAGAGGCCCAAGATTTGAGTGAGACCAAGAAACAAAGACTGGTCAAGGGCGGCACGTCGGTGGTACTTGCGAGTCATCGATTATCCAAAAACAATAAAACTCTGTTTCCCCATACAGCGCAAATTACCTTTATCATTTAAAAAAAACAATTATTTATAAGTAAAAAAAGCAGCAGTAAATCTAATGAATCTAACGCACGGGTCTTGTCCCAGTATGAGGTCTATATTTTTTTTTCTTTAATTAATAAAAAATTCAATAATTAATCTAATTTAAAGCCAAGCCGAAAAAGGAAAAATACGAAACTGAAAACATCTGTAGAAAAAAAAAAATGACGAAGATACTTATTAGTGAAGAGAAGAGTCGGAAGATGGTGGGACCAGGAGAGAAAGGTGACCCATCATCGTTCATTTAACTTTGAAATTGAATATTATTATTTTGAAGTCTTTATATGCTTTCACCCCATTTCGTTTCAATATTTACTTCTTTTACATCATCCATCCACTTTCCCATTGTCCCCCTCATAACAGGTTTCACTGTGCGGTGTACTCTCTCTCTCTCCTTCTCCCCCAAGTTTCCTTTCTGATTCTTCGATATCTCTTAGGTGTTTCTATATTTTCTGGAGAGAAGAATATGGGTGTTCTTGATCATGTCTCGGAAATGTTTGATTGCTCTCATGGACACAAGATTAAAAAGCGCAGACAGTTGCAGGTAACCCCCACCTTTCTTTTTTTTCTCGTTCTGACAATCTTGTGCAGATTTAATTTAGCTGAGAATTTTTAGATCTTGGTTTGGAAAAGCAAAAAGAAGATTCGTTGGAAAGTGACGACTCTTGTTGTGTAGAAACTAGATTCCATGAGCTTTGAGTGAGATGTGACTGCTTACTTTGTAGATCTTGTGAATTAGTTACATAACATAACTTATGCTTTTTTTTCTATTATTGTTGGGATTCTTACCTCTTACTTAAAACATTTAGACAGATGTTCTTCCTTTTTTCTTTCATTTTATAAATCTAATTTACAGAATCACGGGGGGGATATAAGAAATCAATAGGATTGAAGCTGTTTTTTTTTGTTTCAGTTAATGTTCCTAACGCCGACCAAATAGATTCGTTTCAATCTGAAAAAACCAGTGGCAGCCATCTGCTAGATTTACACCGGGATTAGTATTCCCCTGTCGGTATCTGTAATTAATTACTATTATTTTTCTCAAGGGAAAAAAAAACAATTAATCGTAATATCGGGGAAATCACGTGAATGCAATTTAGTCGTGATGATTATCTCAGGGACATTAACATTTTTTTTTGTATTTTGTCGTTTGGCGAATTGATGATAAGAATAGACGGTGGAGATCAAAGTGAAGATGGACTGCGAAGGCTGCGAGCGGAAAGTGCGGCGGTCGGTGGAAGGAATGAAGGGTGTGTCGTCCGTGTCACTGGAGCCCAAAGCCCATAAAGTCACTGTGGTCGGCTACGTCGATCCCAACAAGGTGGTGGCTCGGATGGCTCACAGGACCGGCAAGAAAGTCGAGCTCTGGCCGTATGTGCCCTACGACGTGGTGGCTCATCCTTACGCCGCCGGAGTCTACGACAAGAAGGCACCGGCCGGGTATGTGCGAAGAGCGGATGACCCTGGAGTGTCGCAGCTGGCTCGTGCTAGCTCCACCGAGGTCCGCTACACTACTGCTTTTAGTGATGAGAACCCAGCGGCTTGTGTGGTCATGTGATTTGTTATGGACCGCCGTTTCATTTTGTTATGGATTATTAATAATAATCAGTGTGTTGTTTCTTGTCTGTATATTACCATGTGGTAGGTTTCTTGTTTTGGTTTTAGTGACTTGCTCTCTGTACCCATCACACACTTATGATTGTAATATTCCCTTTTCTTCTTCTTTCTGTAATTGTTGTTGTTCCAAAGTCTAATCTTGAGAAATATCTGTTTGCCGAAATATCTGTATATCAAAAGAAACAAAACTGTAGATACAGTATCTCATATCTTGTTCCCTATCAACTCCCCTTTTTCAGCAAAAAAGTAAGATATTCAACATTACCAAGGCAGAGCAACTGTACGAGTATGAAAGGATTTCATGATTTATTGGATCTGATATTGCGACACGCAAAATATATATTGCGATAGTCTAAAAAAATATATCATCTACTACAACTGTTGTTTTTGTTAATGGTAGCGAAAATCTCACTTACGATGGGAGAGAAATCATACGAGGGAGGAGGCACAAGGAAAAATATTGAAGCTAACCTTTATAACTCAATGGTTTAATAAAAGTGCCGTCCATATTCTAGTTTTTGCTGGTAATCCAACTTAAAGTTACCATGGTTTTTGACTGACCAAATGAAATCTAAAAGGGGAAGATAAGCCTATCATCTTTCTTTATCTACAACACAATAAATAGCTTTTCTTTCTGCAAGAGACAAAGAGGAATGCACCAAAACATCCACAAAGGTTTCAGACAACACATTCTCTATATCCTCATTACAAGTCTCCCGGGGCATCTTCGGCTTTTGTCAGATCATTCAAACCCGAAAAGCAAAATCAAAATCAGCGTCTTCCGATGTAAATGTACAAAGAGAGAGAGAGAGAGGAGAGAGCGAGAGTTGGAGCCTCTGCTTATGACAGGTCGAACGATCCTTGCCCTTCGTTGATGGCGTAGAGCAGTTTCTTGTACATGATTTCCTGTTTCAGGTACAACAAGTCCTCAGGCTTACAAACAACAACTTCACGGAACACATGATGGACTCAAAGACAACAAGTGACATGACTCACCTTTGTCGAATAAGGAGGGAGCTTAAGATAGTTGGCGCAAGTCATTACGCTGGGAAGATCATCGTCTGCCGTCTCCGAAGCCCCTGTTCCGTTCGCTGCCGCACTTGAGGTTGATGAATGCTGCAGACAACAATATTTTAGAAGCCCATTGAGAACCATTACAGAAAAGCTTCACGAAATCAAAGAGCCAATATTATATCTGATAAAACACCACAATGCGTGTCTGATCTTGGAAAATAAGACCAAAAGCCCATAGACCACGCATAGATAGATATTAAGTAAAGATTTTTTACCTTTCTCACAATCGTCAGCTTTGGATTCAAAACAGCTAGCCCACCAGGAGGAAGCCTAGGAGCTCCAGTTACAAATTGGCAGAAAGCCCTCTGCTGATCCGCTGTAAGTTCTCCCATGATCTCCAGTAACTACAGTGAGGGTGAAAATAAGACTCAGAAAAAAATCGCCAGTGCAGTAGCAAAAGCTGATTGTAAACCGAAATGGTTTCTAATTGCTCAATATAAACGGATAAATTGACATACATTAATGATTGCCGGACTTTTAGCAGTATAACCGTGATCAAACTTGATATGTTCAGCAAGAGTCTCCGCCTGCAAAAATAAAAGGTTTCAGAAATGAAATTCTATGTAAGGGATTCAAGTCTCCTGGGTGTGGAAAACTAAAAAGGTAGAAAAATCACCTCCCACAACTCTCTACGACCACACAGCAAATAGTCCAGCTCGGAAGGGGTGAATATTTGTAGAGATGTTACGTCAAACACCTGAGAATTATGTGAATTAACAAAGACGTTTTGTAAAGATAAAAAATGCAGGCAAAAATTTGAGCTCAGCCTAAAACAAAAACAGAAGAAGTCTCTAATCAACAGAAACCACACTTTCGGTATTATTTAGAAGCCACAGGCAACATGAAGAGAGAGAGAGGGAGAGAGAGAGACAGCAGAGTCTGCGAAACTGCTAACCTGATTGAATCCAGATCTAAAGGCTTCAATCTGCCGGGTAACTCCTCTCTTGACAGTAGCATCAACGACAAGGGATATATACTCTTCAAGACTATTCATATCAACCTGTAACAGAAGAGCACGGCATCAGCAATCATGGACAGGGACTAAAAGAAAAGTAAGACGTGGGGTTGTAGGCTATAAGACGGTACAATTTCATCTCCTGGTCTCAGAATGTATTCAGGATAGCCAGGAAGCGTGAAGTCCAAGCAGAGATCTTCTATACGGGATCCACGTAAACATAAATCAGAACCAGCGCTGCAATTGTCACCGCCTACTGCCTCCAGATAGTGCTTGCGGCCAACAAGAACACGAAACTCTTGCAAAGTCTTGCCAAGCTCGGTATCAAATAATATGATATCATGCAAATCAAGCTCCTGCTTAAGCGAGAAAAATAATAAGAGGGGGAAATAAATAAATAAAACAACAATGAAAACCAACTATTTCAATCTCAACTAAACAAACCAAGTTAAAAAAACTCACTTGACCAAGAATAAGCTTATAAAACGCTGTACTCAATGGGACGTCCAGTAGCCGTCCATCTTGAAGTGCTTTTGCCATCACACGCCCTAAAAGCCGGAAATATTCAATGACTTTATGAAACCGACTACCTTCAGATACGTCAGCTGTAGAGGGCCAAGGTCGAGGAAACAACCCAAGCGGTGCCTGAACTATATCTCTGTCCCTAGCTGCGGATGATTTCCCGTCTTCAATCTCACCTCTATCAATTTGCATAGATACCATGTCACCAGAATTTGATCTCCACATCCCAAGCGCAACCTTTTGTAGATCATGGCTTAGGAGTGTGTAAAACTCAAGTGTAGGGCCTAGACCAGTACCAACTTCACCAAAATATTCTACTTCAAGCACAGCTTTTTGGCTAGAATACATCTCCATAACTTTCGCAGCAGAATCTAATATTCTATTTCGGGATACACGGACTTTCTGGCGCTGCAACCTCCCTATTCTCATCTCTCGTTCATTTGTAGACCCACTGCCGTCAGCACCTTGCTGCTGCTGCAAGCGGTTCAATGCGCGGGACAACCCAAAAGCAGTTGAATAGAAATACTGTCTCCGGGTCTGAAACGGAAACAAAAACGGGCATGCTCTAGTCAACTGGTAGCACCAAGAGGGAAGACTACCACTGCACAAAGCAAGCGCATCCTGGATCTGTCGAGCTAATTTGGGTGTAAGTTTGCTATTGATGAATTCTTCATGAGAAATCTTAGCAGCAGCAGTTGTCTTCAGATCATCTAGACTTGTAATTTTACCCTCTGCGAAACGATCAGAAACAGTTTGGGCTCTCAACCGAGGGCCAAGCTGATTTAACCCCTCTAATACACGCAACAGCGCCAGAACATTATAAGTAGAATTTGACTTCTCAAGATCGCACGGAAGCTCCCCTTGTAAGATACTATCCAAAAGAGATGCCTTATATGACTGAGATTCTACGCTAGAATTGGCAGTAGCAGATTTAGTGGATTTTGATAGTGTGGTAGAACTTGCTGCACCAACAGACAACCTATTCGCTTGACTCTCCGGCCTCTGGTACATGATGGTGTAAATATCATTGAATCTGCTTCCATCACTTGACATGAAATCGCTGCCACCGAACCTTTCATCATCGTCTTCATCTAGCATAAGTTGTCGCTGCACAGCCTGATATATCGTCAAATGCCTACTAAGTTGCTTTCCTCCTGCAGTAAATAATAACTTAGAGGGCTCGTCGGAACTTCGATATAGGGTACGCCCATGCAGGTCTCTACTTCCCCTGATACCTCTACCACTGGCAGCTCCAAGCCCAGCCATTGCCGCAGCAGCAAAGGAGAGTGCACCCCTAGAACCGTAAGAATTCCCAATGCCAGCATCAATAGAATCAGATCCCCTCGCTGCTGCTGCTCCACTAGTGCCACCTGAAGCTGGATTCATCTGTCGCCCGCTAGAGGCCAGACCAGCACCACCGTCATCATCCACTGCGTCCCCCAATTTTACATCATGCACTTTATCAGGCGTGCACATGGGAAGACTGTCATCCAACACCTGGAAACGAATGTATAGATATGATTGTAATGTTATTGTAGAAATTAAGACCGATAGCAGCCAGATAAATAAGAGAAGTGGTATGAAGTTAGTAATTATTTTTGTCAATTCTAAAAGGAAATGTTCAATATGAGTTCGTCTCAGCATGGCAAACTAATCCAAAATTTTGGAAGCTATCAAGCGTTATTGGCAATGTAGCATCTTTCATGTTGTTAGCAAGAGAAATAACTACGGAGTGTAATGTACATACTGGTTAAAAAACAAATATGAAGGAATACTTACATCGTCATTATCATCATCTTCATCATCAGACATGTCATCCTCTTCAATCACCAAGGCATCATCAATGTCGACAGGGGCTATTTCCAATTCCTCATCCTGCAAGGCATAAAGGTAAGATAGTGGTGCATTAGCAGATCACGCCACAAATATCATATGATGCAACACAATTAAACAACCATGTAATCCAAAACTTTGTACAATAACATACCTCGGAGCTGGAGTCTCCGCTAGCTGGTTTCATATGTGTATCTTTGTCAAGGACAGCTCTTCTTTGAGCACTGCTCCTTGTTTGAGGCCCCTTATCAGCTGGAACGGGCTTCATAACGCCTTTACCTTTTCCTTTAGATGAGCTGGTACCTTTCTCATGCACAGCTTCTTTCTTTGAGGTATCACCTATGTTAATTGCTGATCTAGATCTAGAAGAATGACGACGTGTGGTGGAAGCCGGAGTTGACGAGGATGGTGATGAAACACCAGCACCGCTAGGTAACGTGCCTGGCTCTGTATTTCCAGCAGGCGCTGCATGCTTCATACCAGATTCACTCCGTTGAACTCGGGGCCAAAGAAATTCTTCTACCGCTGCAATGCTTGCCAGTGGATCTATAAGAACAATATTGGAGGAGTAATCACGTAGTGTCTTCTCTCCAGGTGCACGGCATAATCGCAACTTTAAAGGATGTGCCAAAGCACTCAATCCAGATGAGAGACGAGCACTTCCACCTAATGACCTTGAGGGATGACTAAGGACGACGGGAAAGCGTTCCAGTGAAGATAAAGCATCTTGAAGTTTCTGAATCAAAACTGTCATAGGAGGGATCTTTCCCTCATTACCATCAGACGGAAGTGCGACTTCTAGAAAAGCTTTGAATCTTCTGAGCCCATCTTGGCGAAGTTTGGGCAAATTAACCTCGGAGATCTTCTCTTTGGAAAAGTACCCACAAGAGAAATAGTCAAGCAAAGCTGCAACCACACCACTGCCAATAAACTCAAAAGTTGAGACTCCATCCCCTTTGCTAAGCTCGCCAAGTATCTCAGAAATGACACCAATCAAGTATTCTTCCTTGCTAGCAGAAAAATCGCCAAGGCATGGCCCAGAGGCTTTGGATTTTCCCTTTCCTTTCACTTTATGCTCATCTATACTAGCAGTTAGCTTCGTGCAAAGATTCTTTAGATGTAAGAGATCATCTGTAACTCCAACATCGAGATCCCCGCCATCAGACGGGAAGTACTTGTCTTTGAATGCTTTGGCACAGGAGCTAACTGTTTCCTTTAGCAAGAAGCTAGAGGTAGGAGAATCTAGGGAATTATGGTTTGCACCTACGTTAACCGACGCAGAATTCTTAAGCTCTTCTGACTGATTTCCATCAGAACTGGCATTACTACTTCGCCGTCTATATCGCCTAGATCGTGCAGATCCTGGCACACAGTCATTTTCCTTATCAGTAGGTGAAGCATGAGAAATAGGTTTACCAACCAAGACAAGTTGATCTACAGCATGAACCACCCCTTCCCTCACAAACACTTTCGAGAATGTTTCAGGAAGCTTTTCCATCAGAATTTCTGCAACTTGTAGAGCAGGAACCAAGACTTGTGGATCTTTCCATGCCAATACACCAGCCAAGAAGCTACATAGCAAAAAAATAAACGTAAGAAGTTGCATTGCACCCACTGCCATGAAAAACATAATTTTAATCATAAACAGCATACCTCGATATATTTGTGTCACCAATTAGAGATTGAATCATTTCTGAAGTGCTGAAATACATCAACTTTCCGATAACTGACAGACATTTATGGCGAATAGTACCATTGACACTAGAACCATAAATCTGTTGGAAAGAAAGCAAGGATAGTTAGACGTACAGCAGGTGGTATCAACATTGTTTGTAGCAAATGCAGCAAAAAATTACCTGCACTAAAACTGGAAGAAGATCCAGTCCAAATTTCTGCAGAAGTTCAGGTTGATCAGCAAGTAATTTTTCTCTAGGTGAAACTTTTGGTGAATCGTCTTGTTTTCCTGAAGTACTTGGAGAAGATTTCTTTTGGCCTGAACCTTTCACCAAAGTGTTTGTGCTAGTAGGAAGGGAGATAACTCCTTCTGGCAATGGAGGGAGGAGCTCATTCGCTAGGTTGACTATCTCAAAGATCTAAGATACAAAACAAAAGTAATAATTCAAAACATTTCTGAAAACAAGAATAAATTCAAGAATTAGCGAACCAAGGGCTACACAACAAATAAACCAGATAAAGCACATTGATGAACCTCTAACTCTCTATACCACCTCTAACACAAGACCTCCAAAATAAATAAAGCTCAAAAGACCTTTTTAACATAGATCATGATCTATCCGCTATACAAACACCTACGCAAAATACGGCAAACAAATAAAAATGAGGAAACTAAAGCTGAAATAGAGAATCTATGCCAGCTCCAAGTGATCGATCCCTAACCATTTCACTGTATACCATTCATACAAAAGCTAGTATTTTTTAATCAGGTAGTGAACAAAAAACAATTATGATATCAACAAGTAAAATCAATACCTGATCTGCGGGCCTGCTCAGTGCTGGAGATACAGATGCATTAGCAGAGACACCAGGACCCGACAGAATATCCTTAAGAATGCTACTAATGCCGAGAAGAAGCAATGTCCTGAATCCAAGAGGTGAGCCGCTCGCACAGGTGGAAAGTAATCGGATTAACCCCTGCGCACAATATGGTGAAAATGTCATCTTGTGAATAAAGATAAATACACAAAGCACAAAAGAATTTACACATACCGTGTATGTTGAAACGCCCAGAGATGCTTGCCCACCTCCTGAGTTGGTAGTGGAAATAAGAGACGCAGCTTGAGTCACAAGGCCATGGTTGCATAATTCATCCAATTTCTCAGGGTGCGAAGCAAATGCTTCAGCAATCCGAGTCAGACATATAGAAGCATATTCCAAAACCTGCCACCATACGAAAAAAATTATGGAGGAAACTGAGGCAAGAGCGGAACAAGATAGTACCATATCACAACAAAAAGAAGGATAGTTACCTTCGAATCATGATACTGAAGTAGGTTTGTCAGTAATGGTACAGCTTCCATAACATAATCAGATGCATCAGAAGGTAATTTCTTGCACATATTTGCAGCAGTAGATAGTGCTACACGCTACAAGAAGCGAAGCAACAGATGCATTAGATACACGTGAACGGTGTAAGTAAAGCATAAATGAAAAAGTTACAAACATAACACACCTGGACTCCAGTGGAGAAGAAATCAAGATATGAGAGCACTGCCATCAGAGCGCCAGCTCGCAAACAGGCAGTTGGGTGCTCCTGAGATATCTTTTTGAGAGCTTGCAGAGACTGTTGTAAAACACATTAAGCATACAAATCAAATTTCAAGCTTGATCCTTGAGCAAATTAAAACACCAGAATTTAGAATTAAATAAAAATCAACAAAATCTCAAAGTTTTGATAGGATAGCCAACCTGCTCGGCCAAGTCCATGTACTCGATGGTTAGCAATCTGGCGACAAAGCATGAAACAGCGCCGTAATGTACAACGGCGGCACAAGAAGACGGCAAAACATCACATAGATGGGTAAGAGCCCTGGCCGCAAGAAGCATTATGTCGGGATTGCTTTCATGGTTTAGTAGACCAACGAGAACAGGGACGAAGGAATCAACAGAGAAGGTGCTTAATGAGTCTTCAGTCCCAATGGATAGCATCTCGCATAGCTGGGTTAAAGCCTCGACCTGCTTTCCCTCTTCTCCTTCGGAGCGCAAGCCAGAGAGTATCTTCTTCATCCTCCCATTTAAGTGGGAAGAAGAAGCAGAGCCGATACCAGAGGAAGGAAGCAAGTCATCGAGGCCAGCTCCAAGCTTCCTCAGCAAACCTTGTAAAGCACTGCTGGCGGAGCTCATGTTGGGATGCATGAAACCCCCGTTGCCATCCTCGCTGTCATTGTCGTCGTCGTCGTCAGCGGCGGCAGCAGCAGCGGCAGCATCCATGTTGAGTTGTTCTCTGGCTCGGTCTCTTTCTCTTTCTCTATCCCTAATCCTAACGTCGTGCTCCTTCTCCTTGCCCTTGTCAGAATTACTGTTGTCGTTACCCCTGTTACCTCGTCCGCCTCGGCGAAATCCAGAAGACTCGGTGGAGGTGTCCATGGGAGTAGCAGCGGCGGCGGCGGAGCGAGAAGAGCGAGAGCGGGTGGAAGAGGAAGGTGCAGTGGTGGTAGCGGCAACAGAGGAGGAAGAGGAAGAGGAAAGACGAGCGCGTTTGCTGCGGGTGGTGGGGCCTGAGGGAGGAGGAGGTGAAGAAGAAGAAGAAGATGGGGCAGTTGAGGTCGCCTCCGCCCGCTTGCGGCTCCGAGTTTCCATACAAAGGAAGAAACCCCGAGTGTGGGATTTGCTCTCTCTCGATCAGAGAGATTCTGATCGGACACTCGCTCGCATATCAGGTCCAACGATCGAATTAAGCTCGCACGAAACCCTAATTTGCCAGCCGATCGGAGGAGCTATAGAGAAGCCGTGACGCTGATCAACGATTTTTCGAAATCAAAAAGGGATGATGAGATCGGAATCGAGAGGGGGAAGCAAGGAAGAGAAGAAGGATCTTCAATTTTACACACCGGATTAGAAGAAAACCCTAAATCGAGTGGGGGAATGAAACAAAAGGGAGGAGAAAAGGGCTTTTGTACAGAATATAGAATGAAGCGAATACGATACCGTTTCCCCTGCTCCTTCGGGCTTTTGGGACAAGAACTGGACACGGGGATCCATCCGCTACGTGTGATTCGTTTGCTCCATTAAAGCTCCATACGATATCGTTTTTACTTTGGTCTGCTCGGCGTTTTGCTTTTTCCATATTATTATTTGTTCTCTTTTATTCATCTGGGCCGTCCATCAGTTATAGAGATCTGCCGATATGCACGGGCTTAAAGCCCATTACACTTTATAGAGCTTCACTTTCTCTTTTGACTCTACTACCTTCTCACAACTTATTTTATTCAGTGAGACATGGTTTCTAACTTTCTATCATTTTTGGGTTTTTTCCTTGAGCCATTTAGTAATGGCCCATTTTACACTTATATATAAAATATTAAAAAGATTTTTTTTTTATGTTGATTGGTCTTATTTGACTATGTTTAACTTTTATATATACATATGTTGGTATTAAAATGGTGCAGTTGCGGTTCCGAGTTTCCATACAAAGGAAGAAATCCGGAGTGTTAGATTTGCTCGCTCACGATCAGAGATCCAATATATCTTTACCTTCAGTACTTGGACCTAACTGTATACTCAAGCTTATAAATAAAATATCAAACAAATGAATACGTATTTATTTAAACAACTAAAAATAAAAAGTGGAAGGTGAACCAAATCCCACGTCCCCAACCGCATACGGACCTAATTAGTATATAATTATCCAACTCTTAAAATTATCATTTACACCAAGAAAATGACAAATTAATTAGTACTATATTATTGTTGTAGGGCATCTACATTATATTTGACAAAAATGTTACTATCGTTTTATCATCACACATCGCTATTTCATCCACGTCATTTAGAATCCCATTGGTACTAATAACAAACGTTATTCTATTACACACAAAAACGTACAGTATATAGAAAGAATAATTCATCAGAACAACTATTAACATGATGCTTAAAACGCTCTTCGCATGTATATATGTTTTTTTTTTCTTGGCATAAAGGAGTGTTGATTCAATAGGATTTTCGTAAAACAATACTATAGTTAGTCATCTTTACGAAATTGTAAAGAAAATAGACCAAGAATCCAATTAATAAGGATATTTGGTGAGTGTTTAAAAGTGATTTGGGGTTTGATTTGATTCAAATATAAATGTTAGTAACTTTTGTTGCTGATCTGAAGAATCGTGGGCTTTCGCTGAGAACCTAACCTTCTAGAATAGCACCATTATCATGCATGAGGGTGAGTGATTGTATACCAATAGATTTTTAAAAGAAACTGAAATTCAACAACTCTCGCTTTTTCGTTTTTTCCATCTTTTTGAATAAACCATTTATTTTTCAACTCTTCTCAAATTTTCCACCTAACTTACCAAGATTCACAATTTTTTGGTTAACATATGGGTACGCATACGGCATACACATACACACAAGATAACAAATTTATTATTCTATGAACTTCTGTTACGCTTTCCATCGTTGAACTATTTTTCTTACATGATCACAGCATATGTTAACTAATATACGATGGAAACGATCAGTGTTAGCAACTTATCGCATTCTACAAAAAAAAGGATATGTGATATACACGATTAGTGTTATAATATTATATTCCGTCAGTGAAAGGTTAATTAAAACTATCCCTATAATATTTGGGTGAGAAGTCTTGGTTTTCAAGTCTCTAATTAAAAAAAAAAAAAAAACAATAAGAAGTTGGTTAGAGGTAAGTCAAGGCTCCGGAAGGCACATTCTTTATTCAGATTTGATTATAATTTGTGTATATGTACGATCTTTTGGTGGTTCTTGTTGTATTGTTTTTATATACTGACATATAAAAGAAGCATGACACATTATCACAGATATTTTAAACGAAGTGCTTGTCATTTGAGAAAATGTATATCTATATAGTACATATATTTTTGTGAGCTTATTATACCCGTCCCTGCCTACGCATATATAATTAGTCATTTGATTTAGCGAGTGACTGTATTAGGGTTAAGATCTATGTATACAAAAAATTAAGAATTAACCTAATGCAGTATATACACTTAATAAGAAACTGTTGACCAGTACAAACCACAAAGCCTATAGTTGACCTGCACTTGTACAAAATTACTCATTAACTTTACCACCTACCTCCACAACTTAATTATCCCTCCTCTTCATTATTGCTATAAGAATCCCCTTTCTTACCTAGCGGTAAAACCTAGTGTCAAACTTTCAGTTCACTGAATTTTTGTTTTTCTATGTGTAATAATTATTCTTACAAACTTGAATATGCAAAAAATTGTAGTAGAAATAACGATTAAGATCTTGAAAAACATGGCGTGTATTATGGGCATATGAAAATGGTTTAACAGGAAAAAGCGAAGAAAAATCAAAATTGCCCAATCATTCTGAGTAGAGCGATTATGTACAAAAATAAGATGAAATTTGGAGAATAAAATACTAATAAAATATCGTCATGTTTAATTAAGAAACGTCCCAAAAGACCATGATGCCATATATGTCAAGCTTCTCACTCATTGTACCAAAACGAAAGGCCACCATACACTACTCATTCAAATCCATCCCACCAACTCACATCTAGAAGCAATTATAAGTTCAACTCTCTTGTCTCTCCCTCTCTCTCTCTCTTCTCTCTCTCTCTCTTGTCTCTCTCCTCCCTATCATCTAGAAGCAATTATAAATATATATATATATATATAACTCTCTCTAGCATAATTTAAGTCAAAGCCCTATATAAACTATACACCAAAGCTTTGAACCTTCAACCAAACCCAAAATCCAAGTGCCCCACCAAATGTTTCAATCCTCTTCCACTACACAAAAAAAAACAACTTAATCCCTTTATACCCTTTTAGCCAAAACCCTTGCTAAAAGCCAATCCACCAACATATATAAAATAACAAGAACACACTTGATCGATTCGTGCCTCTTTATATATATCAGATTTGATATCAAGACATCAAGAAATAAGATCTCAAGCAGCAAAAACAGAAAGAAAACAAACAAACAAGAAGAAGGATGGGAAGGTCACCATGTTGTGAGAAAGCTCACACAAACAAAGGAGCATGGACCAAAGAAGAGGACGAGAGGCTCATAGCATACATTAAAGCTCATGGCGAAGGCTGCTGGCGTTCTCTCCCTAAAGCCGCCGGCCTTCTCCGCTGTGGCAAAAGTTGCCGTCTCCGGTGGATCAACTATCTCCGGCCTGACCTTAAGCGCGGAAACTTCACCGAGGAAGAGGACGAGCTCATCATCAAGCTCCATAGCCTTCTTGGTAACAAGTGAGTACCTAATTATTCCCTTTATACTTTTTTTTTTATATATAATCCATGCAAAAAATAAAGATAGGAATTAATTTTGACGATGTCTATATATATATATATATATATATATTCATTATTTTTAACTTGGTGATATAATATAGATGGTCGCTTATTGCCGGGAGATTACCCGGGAGAACAGATAACGAGATAAAGAACTATTGGAACACACATATTCGAAGAAAGCTGATAAACAGAGGGATTGATCCAACGACTCACAGAGCAATCCAAGAATCATCAGCTTCTCAGGATTCTAAACCTACACAACTTGAACCAATTACGAGTAACAACACCATCAATATCTCCTTTACTTCTTCCTCTTCTGCTCCGAAGCTCGAAGCTTTCCAAGAAAGCATAAGTTTTCCGGGAAAACCAGAGAACATCTCAATGCTTACGTTCAAAGAAGAAAAGGTCGAGGAGGGGCCAATGGAAGAGAAGTTGCCAGATTTGAATCTTGAGCTCAGAATCAGTCTTCCCGATGCTGCAGATCGTCGTCAAGGCGCAGAAACGCCGCGTTGTTGTTTCAAGTGCAGCTTAGGGATGATAAACGGCATGGAGTGCATGTGTGGAAGGATGAGATGCGATGTAGCCGGAGGTAGCAGCGGCAGTGGCAACGCGGGTGACATGGGCAACGGGTTTGATTTTTTAGGGTTGGCCAAGAAAGAGACCGCTTCTCTTTTGGGTTTTAGAAGCTTGGAAATGAAATATTAAATGTCATGTTTAGGCGTAACTGTACAAACCTTTTTTTGCCTAGAGATATTTTGTATTGGACCATTTTTTACTGTTGAATTTTAAACTCTATATCAAACGTTTCTTTCTTCGTCAACAAAATTTTTACAAAAAAAAAAAAAAAGAAACTTCACTGCAAAACAATATTATGTAGATCGATATCTACTTCATGAAGGTAATATTATGTAGTAAGAGGCTGGTTGCCTTAAAAAGACTCATTATCCAATGTTGGACATAAGCCAAATAAGGAGAAAAGGTGTTATTAGGATATAGCTTCTTCATCACATAATACTTAGATTAAAAATAGATTGTTAAGCTCTCTCTCTAATAACAAGGAAGAATATGAAAAGAAAACAAATGGTGGTGACAAGTGGAGAGTGAGGTTTGTAGTTAATTTGGCACGGGTAGATATATCAGTTGAAAACAAAAATAATGAATGTGTTAGAGATTTATATATAAATGGAAAAAGAAAAATAAAAAACCATAAAGGAAGGAAGCAACAACCAATGGACCCTTTCTTCTACCAAACTCTATTTATTTCTCACTACCCATCTCCCTACCAACCTATATACCAACCTTTCCTCTCATCCTTTTGTCCACTTACATTACATACCATACATACATGCATACATATATATTAAAAAAAAGATATATATAGAAGTTTCATTGAATGTAGCCACATGCTTGAAATATTAGAAAGAGTGATTCGTAAAGTAAAACATTGTTGTATCGTAAGATTGCGTATTAAACCGGTACCCATCCCTATGGCCTATGCTTACTATCTCATCTCAAATCCCAAAAATAATTAGTTACTCCCTGTTTTCCATAACCGGTACCCATCCCTATGGCATATACTATTCATTACGTGATAAGTTGGTGACATTACATATAACTATAATTTGCCAGGGAATTAAAAACGGGGATTTAGAGATCAATGCAATCTGAAGTTAATTAATATGTTGGTGATAAAGTTGTACGGGCACCGGATCCATTGAAACACACACAAATAGAAATGCTGTGTTTAAATTGACCAATTGGTTGCAACTCTTTATACGTATCGATACGTATGATCTCAGCCAATCGATCTCTTTTTCCAAATTATTGCATGAGTGCTTTTAAGCATTAGATATATCAATCTGAAGAAAATGAATACATTTGTTTGGTATTTTTTTTTCTATGTCGATGTATTTTGTGGTAATTAGTTAAATGTTAATTATATATATTGAAATTACTTGTTTGTGATGTTATCATTTGCATGAGTGCTTTTAAGCCTGAAATCCGAAATCGACTCTTGTATAACTAAAATTCAAATGGTTGTTTTTTTTTGGTATTCTTTTTCTATGTCGATGTATTTTGTGGTAATTAGTTAATTGGTTACATTTTGACGTTAGGAATATGAATTAACGCTTGATAGGATTATTTTGGAAATGAAAGAGATGGGAGAGAGGAGTGGTGAGAACTGAGGATAAGGAAAAAGGGGAAAAGGACAAAAGATGACCACACAAGTGAAGAAGACAGACGCACCTGCCTCTCCCTCTTTTATAAAAAAACAAAGCTTTATTTATTTTATTTTTTAGTTTCTTCTTTTTTTCTAAAATCGACTTTTTCAAAGGTGTTAGGTAGATGCAATAGAAGCTTCTATTAGATTTCTATTTCTTGCTCTTTTTTTTTTTAAATGTTATATATAGTTGCTGCGAGTCTTTTTGTCTTTCCCTATCTTACTGCTCTTAAAGGGAAGAGTTAAAATTTGTGACCAAGTTTGCCAAAATTTTTAAAAAGTCTTACAAAAGTTTAACAATTTCATTTGTGTAGCTTAGTCTAGGATAAAAATGGTACAATAAGTATACTACATAATGTAATTTAGATCAATCATGAATTTTAATTTTGGTTAGCATAACAAAAGAAAATTCAAAAATTGTGTAGTTGAAATATCTACTGGATTAGTGGGTTAAAGCTTTCAAGTTTCCGCATCTCGTCTGTTGGACTTGGGATGCGTTTTAGAATGAGTTATCAAAATCGGTATTAATAGGCTTTTACTAAGTGCCCACTGACCCAAAGCCCAATGAAAGTAAGAAGGAAGCTGGTTGCGATGACTCGTACAACAATAATAACACCATTTTAAAAGAAAGAAATCCAAGAGAGACGAAGGTCTTCACATTATCATAAGGCAGAGATTACTAAAAAGAGTTCTTCATCAGTTCTATATGATCTCTCTCTATCAAACCCCAAAGAGGCAACAACAACTTTATTGAGAGCCCATCATCATACTGATACGTCCGTCTCCTTCTTCACTTCTTCTCATCCTCCCCTTTGCTACTACTCTCATCCTCCTCGTTACGCTGCTAGCAATTTTAACATAACACATCATCAGAATCTTTCTTTTTCAAATGTCACAAGATATAGCAACCAATGATGAAGACGCACCTTTGATTCGTCTGGCAGAGATGCTAGCAGCGCTTTCACCGCTGGATCATTTGGATCCACTCCCGGAAGCTGCGTTGTGTACAACAAACAGTTAGGACCACAATACTTACTAACACTAGCTACTTTTTCTCTGTCCTTTTGCATCGTAAAAGCGCTTACCGATGACAGAACCGATGATATGAAAGCTTGATCTCCCAAGAGGTTTCCAGCACCTGTAGCTTCACTCGACTCTTCCCCACTCATTGACATCTGCAGAGCTGCACATGGATCAAGACAAATATAAGGGGTCTTTCTCTCATCAAAATATCCAAAGTTTTCAGATTTATTTTCTCACAGTTCCAATTACAAGCAAAGGCTGATTTTGCACAAATATGCTTTTACCACACACTTCTACTCACCTAAAGCCAAATCCTGGTCCTCATCCGCCGCTTCTGACATGTTTACATCACTCACGGACATAGCAATTGCCTGATCTAGCAACGCGTTGTCCTCATCCTGCCACATAGTTTCTCATCGTAAGAAAACTCTATGATAAACAATCTCCGTCTGTGGCTATATAAGAATGCTATACTCAACACAGAAACATAACTACTAACCATTGGTTCAGCGCTCTTCTCAGTTGTCCTAGCAGCCGTCTCCTGTGAGCCAGAAGCTGTATCCCCGTCTTTGTCTTTCTGACCTGCCTCATCGGCTGCCTTCTTCGCAGCAGCCTCTTGCCTTGCTCTCTCCTCTTCCATGGAGACCCGAAGGGCAAGAGCTAGCTCTGGATCGATATTTGGATCTACACCAAAGTCAAAGTCCCCACCTGCTGCAGCCGCAGCAGCTGCCGCAGAAACATACCCACTTGCACCCTCATCACCAGTGAATACAGGTGTGCTGTAAGAAAATTTAAGAGTTACACGTTACGAAGATAATTTCAACTAGAGACAACAATTGTCTAAATAAAGCAAGCAGAGATAAACAAATGTTCTTTGAAGTTTGTAGTATTGATAAGAGTCAAGACTGCAGAGCTCAACGACCTAAATCAAAACACATGCGATGCCCTTATCAACCTGGCTAATGGTTGAACTGTTCCATTTATAATATACAAGTTAAGAGGCAAGGAAGAAAATTGATTATACCTGAGCAGCACATCTGAGAGAGCATTGGCTCCAGATGGAACATGAACAATGTGGCTGCCGTCGTTGTTATTAACGGCTGTAAGGAGGGCCTCCAGTTTCTGAGGCTTTTCCTCATCATCATCTTCTCCAAAATTGACAATGTCAAGAGAGACACTATTCTTTTTGAGCCGTTTCCCAACTAACTCCAAGGCCTTCTTTTCATACTTGATTGGACTGAAAAGCAGAAGCACAAGACCAACATCAGATAACTATACAACAAGAAAAAAAAGACTATGCAAGCACACAAGAAAGTCAGTACCTTCCAGCAAAAACTATAATCCTTTGGCGTTGATTCTTGTTTTGCCGATGCTTGAGAGCTAGCTGAGCAATCTGGATCGCCGCTGTTAAGTTAATCTCCCCTCCCACATCAAGGCCTGAAAAGATGGCGCAAGTAGCAAACACTGATTTCAAAACCCATCAAACTAAATGATTCCTAAACAAAAAGCCAAAACTAGACCAGTTTCCAATAGCTCCTCTCAGTACAAAAAAAGCTTCACTGAATTGCTGCCTGTGGGCGTTTAGAGACTTACCGTGCATACACGCCAAAATCTTGCCAAGATCAGAAGTAGGAGTTGTCAAAACCCTAACCCCTTTCCCTGCCATCGTCAGAACCCCCACCGTGTTCTCTGGATTCGACTGCAATTGCAAACGAAAGATCCCTAAATCACAACCTAGAAAAAGAACCCTAAACGAGTCCAGTGACAAAATACGATGGCAAGTTATCAATTTACCTGGGTTTTCGCCCCGCAGAGAAGATTCACAGCTTCCGTTTGAGCCTGTAACCTAGACGGAGAGTAATCTCCGTTTCGCATCCACTCGGAGTTATCGATGCATATCATAGTCGCCTACGCAGAAATCCGCAATTGGTAAATTAAGAATCAAACAAGGAGATCGACGAAGAAATCGAAATACTCAAATCAGAAGCAGATGCAATTCGAGAATCACCTCAAGAACCATTGTGTCGAAACGTCGAGAGAACCTTCAAGTTGTCGTAGAGAGAAAGTCAGGCACTTCTGAGATTTAGACGACCGATAAGCGTGACATGTGCTTCTTAAATACGCCTTTTTATTTTTACTTTCCTCTTTAACACCCCCGTATTTTATCTTTTTCACATTAAATCAGATCGCAAAAAACGAAATTTAATGAATTGTTAATTTTCTAATAATTTAGATTCCTAATCAGATTAAAAAAAAAATCGATTTGCAATACATTAAAAAGTTATAAAATAAAATAAAATGAACAAATAAGAAAATGAAAATTTCAATGATTCGTTTTCAATCAAAACAATGAGTTATCAATTTTTCAAAAAAGATTAAATATGATAAAAGAAATAAATTGAATTCAAATAGTTTTAGAATCCAATTCATAAGATTCATTTGTAAAATAATATGCGAATTCTAAATTTATGACATAGTTTATAGCAAAACATATCCTATATATAATAAAAAAAAAAATAGAGACCAACTTACAGTAATCCCTAAAACTAAGTCTTTTTATTCAAGATTACCCCCATAAATCTACAAAACGTAATATAAAAACCACAAAAAGACAAACGACCAATCACCAGATACACTCTACTCAGGAATTTACAATGGTGAAAAACGAATGTAGAACACAAATAAAATACAAAAACGAATACAACAAGCAAAGAAACTGGTCTCAATCATGTTCTTCTATGCATTAAGAGCATTTGGGAGGAGCGAAGATCTTGTGCTTCTGCTGATCGGCAAGTGAACGTAAACCTCGTGAACCTCTTGCTTGCAAACATCTCCCTTGTCTCGATCAATGGCGTAACAAACATAGATTGTGTCGATCACATTGTCAAGAACATGTACAAAGAAAGCCAACATCACAATCAGTAAGAGCCACGCGAGAATAGCCACCAAGTACGAATCTATACCCAAGTTGCTCACTCCTCTCAGAACAGCCCATGTCTGATAATGCGTATCATTAAACACCCGAAATTAGTAACTCAGAAGGTTAAAAGGTTTTAGTTAGTGAGAAGCACAAGTAAGTTTATACTTACCGCGACTGCATAAGCGGCTGAGAGGACAAAGACAATTCCGGTTAGAATTCGAGTGGAAACTGTTTCGACAAAAACGGCTGAGAGTAGATTGCGTCTCAAGAGTTCGTAACTCATTTTGGCAGAGGTGCAATAGGCTTCGCCTGTTATTGCAGCAAAGTTGATGGTGAACTTGTTGAGATAGTCAACAGCTCCAAGTAAGGCGTTTGCGCAGCAACGGAGAGCCAAGTTCACTATGCCTTGTGGGTTCTCTTCTCTTGCGTTGTCCACAATGGCTCGGACCACACGAACAACGGATATGAGGATTCCTGAGAGACATATTGTACCAAAGGACTGCCCAAATGCGTTCCTGAAGAGATACAGATATGCAAGAAGAGTAAAGAGTTGCACATGATTTAATAGAAACCACAACAGATTTCAGAGACTAATACGGATTTAGATCCTCAAAACTAGAACCTTCTTTTCACCATAACAACCAAGATTAGAAGATGGACTTCAATACAACTAAGAGACCTTTAAGCAAGGCCTCCCTACACTCAAATTCGAGTCAAAAACGGCAAGAAACAGTCCAAAAGCAATTCGAAAATGATATGACGCAAGCTTATATATGAACTAGGAGCATCAAGTGTAAGAAAACACTGCACAGAAAAATTAGGGGAAAACAAAACTGAAGGAATCAAAGATAGTGTGGGGAATCACCTCAAAGAACTCCGGATGCATTTTTTAGGCAGTGAGTCTTCATTGGAGAAATACCACTGAGCAATAGCTCCACTTATGACATATACTTGCATTTCCACCATTACAGCAAGAGACCAGAGCATAGTTATAATGGCAAGCGCATAATACGCAGGAACCCAGGAATCTTCCTTCCACTCACAAAAGTATTCACCATCCAATTCTCTGGGCACGAACTTGCCATTAAACCTTGCAAACACCAAGAACACCACAATCGGCGCATAGTACACCACTAAGCCGAGGGTAAGCAACGGCAACACAACAAAAAGCTTCAGGTTTTGGGACAAGGCATGTGATGCAACACCGATGATTTGGATGGTGAGCTCAATTCTGTGCCAATTAGCGACTATGATCCAGACGATAATGCCGATGATCAAGAAAACGAAGACCAGGACAAGGATTCTGTAAGCTAGAGGGAGGGCATCACTACAAGAAGAGCTAAGAGTACAGGCGACGAACCAATAGACATTGAAAAAGATGGGAAACACGACAAAGAGAGGTAAGCAAGCATAAACAATCTGCTTAGTGTAGTGTTTGAGCAAGAGCAGGACGATAAAGCAGAAGGGCGCGCTTAAAACTAGCGTGACAACAAGGGTCCAGATCAAATCCTTGTCAAAGGCTGAATCAGACGAAGAAAGCATACCGTACATAGTCGAGGGTGTCGTGAAGGTGGGATTTTTGACGCAAGAGCTAGAGGTGAGATCGTAGGTGAAGGAAGAGGAGCTGCCGTAATCACTATTCCTATGGAAAATCGAGAAGACTCCGAAACCGAAAGTGGAGAAGACGAAGAGATAAAAGAGAAGAAGGAAAGGGATGTCTTTGAAAGGCCTGGGACCAAAGTGGTACGAGATCTGAAGAAACTGGGTAGGGTCGGATTCAGGATCACTTGGACGCGGGGAATCGAGAGCGGACGTGGAGGGTTTTGAGAGAAGAGGGTGCGAGGGGGAGGATGAGTCGTAGATCGCAGCGAATTTGGTGGGGTCGCCGTCGTCCGCCGCCATGGTCGTCCAAAGAAATTGCGACGCCTCTGGAGCTAAGAAGTGAAGAAGGAAGCAGAAGCAGAAGACGGCGAGACTTGAATTTGCATTTGTATTGTTATTAATCACAGAGTAATTAGTAACGACGACCACCACCGCCCAAGCGGCGAAGCGAAAATGATCAAAAACGATCGCCACACCAGACGTACCTCTAGATTAGCTTATAATTCCTTGATTTAAAACTAAACTACAGTATGTAATACCGTCCAAAAAGATAATAATTAATTCTCGTAATGTTATCCCATTAAAAAATACTATCAGTCAAATGCAGAAAGACAACAATAACAATAATACTGTTGTATCTTTTTAATACGAATAAATGAATTCGAGAAACAATTTCCAGACTCCCATCTGAGCCCATTGGACCCAATGAAACTTGGCCTTTTAAAGCCCAAAGCGTCGCATGCGAGAGAATGGTCCCCTTTAAGGAGCGTGCACTTGAATTTTGCAGGCGTGAGAGTTTGTTTTTGGGACAAGAAATGGTACGGATTGGGTGGGTTAAGACTTGTAACCAAAGCATCCTGTCGTGGCAAAGACAGTACTAAAGTAGCTCCTCTATAGACTGACTACTATACAAATATATAAAAAAGCACACGGCTTCACATGAAGCCTTGACACAGAACCCACCCACTTCGTGTATAACAACAACATCACGTGAACTCACTTAATAGTTTCTGTGTTCTGACATATTGTTGTTCCCTCCTCTCTGTATCAAACTCTGCCAAATAGGGAATGGCTTAACCTCTCTCATCCAATCATATCAAGACACTTGGCTTTCATCCCCCTAATTTCTCTCCTTTCCCTTTCCCACAATCTCAGGATTTTGTCCTCTTTGCTTTGAATCATGAAACATTCTTCCATGTCTGGTTTGATTCTCTGGGCCATTTCTCTCCTCCTCACCACTTTCACCATAGCTTCTTCGTCAAGTGGTACGTATGATCAATCATATATTATATATCTACACGACTTTTTGCTTGATAGATGTTTATATCTATTCTTCATGTATAACAGATGGACCTTTCTACGATTCTACTGCCTATACAGAGGTGAATTATTACAAATATCTGGTATATTATATATATATATATATATATTATGTAAATACTGATTTCTGAGGAAAAACACAACGGAAATGAGCAGTGTAGAGCGGAACCAGAGAAACCACTTTACAACGGAGGTATACTGAAAGACAAAGAACCTTCTGTTTCAGGCACAGACACTCTCAGGAGCGCTGGTTCTCGTTACACACCAGCTTACATATTGCACAACCTCACCCAAAACACCATCTATTGCTTCTCCAGTTAAGTATTTTATTCTTAATATATATATATATCACTACAATGATGGAATGTGACGATCTGATTGGGAGAAAAGAAAAAAAAAAGCAGTTTGGGTGAAGATAGAGGCTGGTGCTGCATCAGCTCGTGTAAGAGCAAGGCTGAGAACAGACAACGCCACTTTAAACTGCGTTGGTTCTGTCTCTACCAAACATGGTTGCTGGTCTTTCCTCAAAGGCGGCTTCCTTCTTGATTCTCCTTCCCAACTATCCATCCTCTTCTTTGAGGTAACTAATTCAATACAGAGATGCTCAAAAGACTCGGTCAAGAGGATCAAAGATTGTATATTTCCTTGATAATGCATTGCAGACATCAAGCTATGATGGCAAAATCCAATTAGGAGTGGCGAGTGCTTCTCTTGAGTCTTTCACGCAAGAACAATGGAAGAAGAGCCAAGATTACTTCATTAATACGGTAAAGTAACAACAGAATTTGCTAACATCAAAATCGAAAACTACAGACAGTCTTTGTGTGGGTGTGTAACTTGAAAACATTTTCAGGCGAGAAAACGAGCAGTGACAATTCACGTGGCCCGAGAAAACGGAGAGAGCGTTGAAGGAGCAGTGGTGAGGGTAGAGCAGATCTCTAAAGACTTCCCAATTGGGTCTGCCATCTCCAAAACCATTCTCACAAACATTCCTTACCAAGTAAGCGGACCACTCCCTAGTCCCTAGCTAGACGGTGCCTTGTTATTCATCTCTCATCTCTCTCTCTCTCTCTCCCCGTAGGAGTGGTTCGTGAAGAGATTCGACGCGACGGTGTTTGAGAACGAGCTGAAGTGGTACGCGACGGAGCCCGATCAAGGCAGACTCAACTACACATTCGCTGATCAGATGATGAATTTCGTGAGGGGCAACAGAATCATCGCTCGCGGCCACAACATCTTCTGGGAAGACCCCAGATACACTCCCGCCTGGGTCCGCAATCTAACCGGAGACGATCTCCGGTCCGCGGTTAACCGGAGAATCAGGAGTCTAATGACTCGGTACAGAGGAGAGTTCGTGCACTGGGACGTGAGCAACGAGATGCTCCATTATGACTTCTACGAAAGCCGATTGGGGAAAAACGCGTCGTACGCCTTCTTCGAGGCGGCGCGTGAGATTGACCCTCTGGCGACTCTGTTCCTGAACGACTTCAACGTGGTGGAGACGTGCAGCGACGAGAGGTCGACGGTCGACGAGTACATCGCGAGGGTCAGGGAGCTCCAGCGGTACGACGGCGGTGGCCTACGGATGGACGGAGTTGGGCTAGAGGGTCACTTCACGACGCCGAACGTGGCGCTGATGAGGGCCAACCTCGACAAGCTGGCGAGGCTGGAGCTCCCAATATGGCTCACCGAGATTGATATCAGCAGCAGCCTCGACCACCGCACTCAGGTATACATTGGCCTTTTCCGGGTAACAAACAAGGTTTAGCTCTGGTTCTGGTGACAAATTTCTGCTGTTCAATTTGCCCTTTCTCTTGTTTTAATTGATTTGGAAACAAAGTGATTGTCGTCTAAGTAGACAAATTTAATTTAATTATTCATATGCATATTTGTTTTGTTTGCAGGCGAATTATTTGGAGCAAGTGTTACGGGAAGGATTCTCGCACCCATGGGTGAAGGGTATAATGCTATGGACCGCACTTCACCCTTCCGGCTGTTACCAAATGTGCCTTACTGACGATAAATTTCAAAACCTTCCGGCGGGAGACGTGGTGGATAAGAAGCTTATAGAATGGACGACCGGTGAGGTTAACGCAGCGACCGACGACCATGGTTCCTTCAGCTTCTTGGGCTTTTTGGGAGAGTATAGAGTCGGCATCATGTATGAGGGTAAAACGGTGAACTCGTCTTTCTCGCTATCCAGAGACCCTCAGACCAAACATGTTAGGCTCCAAATCTAACGTGTGTGCTATGTTTTAGATTATCCGTTACCTATTATTATATTGCTGCGAATGTTATACGGTCGATAGTTATCAATAAGAAACCTAAACAGGGTAAATTTGCAAATCTTCAATTAGAAAAATAATTGAATGTACTGGTGCGAGTGGTGGAGGACACAAACAAAAGTGACAACGGGTCAAAAAGGAGATGAAATGAGACGCGACTTTGTGGCGTGGGCTAACTTTCTTTATAAATTTATAATTTGTTTCACATATACTGAGACATCAAATCGACATAAATCCCTGAAAAGTAACACTAAAAGCTAAGTAGCATCATTCACTTCACACAGCCATTAACTCTGTGGGAGGCCCAGCTTGGCTCTCACTAATATTTAACACTAATTTTTAAGAAATAGACCAACCAATATCCACACGCAATAAATATCGATCTTGCTTATGGCGCATTAGTACTAAACCCAACTAAGCTCACCACATAAAACATATCTCACAATTTCGATTTTCGAGCATGAAACAATCCTTTCCAAGGCAGATGAAGCAAGAACACCAACACACAAAGCTACAATGCAAAACCCTAAAAGCCAAATTGTTGCCGTCCTACGCGAAAAAACCGAGTGTATCAACAACACAATCTAAAATGAAACAAGGCAAAAATACTAACAAAACAAACTACCACAGTCAAAGATGGATACTACAAGAAAATAACAAAGGTGAATGCGGCGAGTAATGTTGCTAGTGAAGTGCCGGCTAGTCGGCTCGAGTCTCCCATGGCCAAACCAGCCATCCATGATCCATCTTGCAACATCGTCTCTCCCGAATCATTACCCGACCCAGTACCCTGAGACCCGTACCCATCACCCTGACTCTGACCCTGTTGTTCACCCTGGCCCGAGTAACCCGCATCCGAACCGGGCACTGGATCTGAACCTTGCGAGGTCGCCGACGAGTCTGATACCGGTGTGGGGTAGCTTGTCGATTTCTGACTGTCATCAACAAACGGGGAAAAGAATATACACTAGTCAATAATAATAAGATAGTAATTTCAGATGTTGCAACTTGCGTTTTCAAACAGGTTTTGGGATTTTCTGCAACAATTGCTGCAAATTTCTCGTGAAGATTCATCGTTATTGACAAACAAAGAGAATCTTTTTGCCTTTATAAAACGGTGGTTTATGAAAAGAAGAGATACAAACTTCGGCTTTTGCATAAAAAAGATAACAACACATACCCAGAATAAAGTAGATCCTATGGTTCATTAATAATTACGAACCCCATTAACCCAAAAAGTTTCAATTTTTTCGAAAAACAAATCCAAAAATTGTGGAAAACAAAGAATAACAATGTGTGTGTAAAGTGAGGAAATCGAGGGCATTTTACCTTGGGGAAGAAGGGCAAAACGTCACCGTATAGTCTCCACCGGCGCAAGTGAAAGTGCTCGTAGCATCGTCGTAGGCGTAGCTGTAGGACCGAGGACAGGCGGCTTTGAACATCTGCGAGTAAACGGAAGGTCGACAAGTCGAAGGTGTAGCGTACGCGCCGCTGCAACAGTACTCAGGACTCCGAAACGCTTCACACGCGCTTTTACAAGCGTCTCCGTCGCCGAAACGCAGCTCAGCAGGGCACTGAAGGTTAAGATCGGAAGTGCAGCCCGTAGAAGCACACTGCCCAGAACCACCGGCGACTTCAACGATCATCGGAATGTTGTAACCGTCGACGAGGCTCACGTCGTAGAAATCGTCACCGCCAGTGCCAAGAGTGAACTCCGCGAGGGTAACAGGCGGAGCGGCGCCGAGTCCGCCGCATTCGACTTGGTTTGAGCCGCAGTCTCCCGTTGTGCAAGTACCGGAGCCAGAACCGTCGAAGCTGCAACCGGTTCGAGCCCAGAATCGACCGGACCAACCGGTTGGGGCTTGGAGAGAGCGTGAGGTGTCCTTAGGGAGCTCGAATCCGGTGGTGGAGAGAGCAGGTGAGCCAGCATTCGCCAGAATTCCAGGCCATACGGTGAAGGCGCACCGATTTGCGAATGTGAATGTTGAGCCGTACGAACCTTAGAGCAAAGGATAAGAACCAAATCAGAAAGGAGAAAATATGAAGCTTTGAACCGAGTTTAAAGTAGCAAGAAGTGGTTCTACCTGCGGAAGCTAAGAGCAGAACTATGAAGGTCAGTGTGAGAGTACAAGACCCGCGACGAGAGGAAAGATCCATTACAGTTTTTCTTACTCTCGCTCCTCTTTGGTCTGATCTAATGAAAAGTGAAGATCTTTGCTCTTGTGAGGAAGATGGAAGAGAGAGGAGAGACTAGAAAAACTATGAAGCTATTTGGTTAAAATGGAGTTTGTGATCTTTATATTTAATTTAGTTTTCCCCCTAAAATGGAGTTTGTGATCTTTAGATATAGATGTTACTGGGCTCTATGCCTGAAACCTGCTGACAAATTTTCTCTTATGCAATTATTGAAAAAAAAACAAAGAAATTGGTTTTAAATAGAAAAGAAAAAATCGATTAATGAGTATAGAGAGAGAGATAAGAGGACAAGTGGTTTCGGATATCATTATTTTGTCCAGTTATTTTTTTTTCCTGTCTATATTTGAAGTCTTATTTTATTAGTTCTATTTAACTATGTGTATGTTAAGTTGATTAGCTAGAAGCCGAAGAGCTCTTGGGCCAAGTGGTTAAGGTCCACCAAATTTCTGGTCTCTGCAAATTTGTGTGGTTTTTGTTTGTTTTTCTTCGTTTGGAACGAAAGAATAGGGCATGGCTCACAAGATCAATTGGGCTTAAGACTTCGGCCTGGTGGAAAGTGGGGACCGCGTCCGATATATTTTTAGACGTTGGGTTACGCAAAAGTAAAAAAAGACAAAAAAATAATAAAGAGAAGCTCTTTGGGGGTAAGATGGGACCTACAAAAACTATGTAAAGCATATTTATTTCGTGATGTGATGTAACATTACGCACGGAACAAAACAATGGCTGCCCACACTCTCACTCGCAACTTAAATTTATTGAGATGTTCCAGTTTCAGTCCCAAACTTTTGTTCAAGGAAGAAAGAAATAAATCATCCATATATCGCCAAGTTTTCCGGATCCCTAACAATGATGAACATCTCTCCTATATATTCATAATCAGAAACAATTTCAAAAATTGTTCATACCCATTACCATCGACATCTGAGCTGGACTGAGTCTTTTGACTCCTAAATATTGTCGAAAGTTTTACTTGGCCGAGGTAAATGATAAACTAACAGCAGTCCCGATTGTTTAATCATTTCAGTCTCTAAAGCCTGAGCACTGAGGTATTTCTATATTGACCTGGGCGGTGAAAACGCAGGATGGATTTCTATCTTATACTAATTGACAAAGAAATAGCAGAGGACATAAAAAAACTTGAAACGAGAAAGGAGTGCAAAAGAAGAGTTGATTTACATGTTCCGACCGTAAAAGACATGTGCTATATATATGAAATTTGCTATGTAATGTGCCTGAAAGAAGAAAAGATGAAACGAAAATAATGAGAAACTGAAGTCGCCAATGCAAAAATTTCAATTGCAAGACAAACCTAAAGGCATGTACGGCTCAGCGGCTGCGCGGATGAGGCAAATGTAACATGCTCTTATTGACTAGAGGTAGTGTCGCCCCATCTTTCCTCGACCCTAACAGCTTCTCGCTGCAAACCAAACCATAACCATTGGTGATCAAACAGCTGGGATACATGTAACGACAAACAAACACATGTACCTAACTCCAATCAAATGATGGGGCAAAACGGTCAACATCTCACCTTGTATACGGCGGCGGACAGAAGATGATGACGTAGTCGGCTCCGGTGGCGCATGTGTAGGTGCTCGTCTTATCGTCATACGCGTAGCTGTAGGCGCGTGGGCACGCGTGCTTAAAGAAGAGCGAGTACACCGAAGGCTCACACGTGTCCGGCGTCGCGTACGCATCGCTGCAGCAATACCGCGGGTCCCCGAACGCCTCGCACGCGCTCCGGCAAGCCACGCCGTTCCTTTTCCCACCAGCCACCAGCTTTAGGTCTCTTGGGCACGCGCCGTTCAAGTCCACCAGGCACCCCGTCGCTCCGCATCCTCCCACCACGATTTTCTTGGGCAGGATCAGCATCGGGAGGTTGTAGCCGTCCACGAGGCTGACATCGTAGAAGTCTAGTCCTCCGGTGCCGTTGAGGGTAAACTCGGCGAGCGTTGCGGGTGGTTTAGCTCCAGAGCCGGAACACTCGACCTTGCCGGAGCCGCAGTCTGCGGTCAAGCATACGAAAGAGCGGGAGCTCGGATCTTGCGAGCACAAGGTTCTTGCCCAGAGACGACCGGACCACGACGCCGGGATTGCGACGGTTTTGGATTTTCCACTGGCGAGGCGAAATCCGGTTGTGGGGAGCGGCGGTGAGGTGGCGCCGGAGAGAAAGCCGGGCCATATCGTGTTCCGGCAACGATTGGTGATCTTGAATGAAATCGGCTCAACAACTTCTGCAACGGGAAATTTAATGGAATCAAGAAGGGTAATGATTTTTATTCAGGTCGATGATAAGAACGGCAACAAAGAAACATAATCAATCACCTGAAAGAGAGAGCAGAAAACCCAACATCATCACGAAGGAGATGATTCGATTCATCATCGTGAACTTTACTTTCGTTGCTGAAAAGAGCGGCGAAAGAGAAGAGAAAAGCCTCCGTCTCTTTCTGTTTTCTATTCAACCGAATCAAACCGAAACCGATTATTTCTAGTCCAATCTGGGTTTCGCTGATCGAAAGTTAAACCGGTTTTCTGATGCGCACGTGGGAGTTGTGGGTGTGGGCCTTTGAACATGCCAAATTTCCAAGATAACAACACAAAAAGCATTTCTAATTGATCCAAAATCTTCATATATCCCACTTTTTGATCTGCTTATCCATTAAGAGCTACAGTAAAATGCGAGGGTTTCTACCTTCAAGAATCGGTGGCGTTTTACACGGGCGAGAGTTCTTTTGACTAGTTTCATTTATTAAAAAAGAAATCCAATTTTAAGAATTCAATTAATAATGAGGATGATGGAGATTGCAATTGGTATTAAATTCCACCCAGTCCATGAACTAAATGCCAACACTTAAGTGCTTCCACGATCAATAGATTTTGTATCTCTGTAAATTATCAACCATGAAGACTCAAAACTCGAGTATCAGATCTGAAGATGACGAATTCCAGAGATTCATGATGATTAAACAACAAAACCCAGAATATAGTTTGCGTATGAACACTTGAAATAGAGCAGAAGTTGATTTTTCACCCATCACAAGCACCACCATAAAACCATAAAGTAGCATAAACAAATAACCATAAGTCCTAATCAGAAACCATCAAGAGATTATGAGAAGACTCGAAAGTAAACTAAGAAACGACAGAAATCCATCATAAGCAAAAACCGGAAAATAAAAAGATAGTACGCGGCGGCGACAAGACGATCTGATCATGTTTGAGATGACGGATTCAGCCTGCCCCGCCCAAGGATAGGTTTCCGTTTTAACGCCCACCGCTGGTGCAATCCCTGGAGAAATGTCCAGACTCCCCACATGTGTAGCAGCTTCCTCCACCGCCACCACCTCCACCGCCGTACCTTCCTCCACCCCCGTAGCCACCTCCTCCTCCTCTGTCTCCACCGTAACCACCTCCTCCGTAGCCACCACCGCCTCCTCCGTAGCCTCCACCGCCTTCTGAACAGTCCCTCGCCATGTGACCGGGCTCACCACACTTGTAGCAGTCGCTTCCTCCACGGCCACCGCCACCACCTCTTCCTCCGAAACCACCGCCGCCAAATCCACCTCCGGATCCACGGCCTCCGCCTCTACCGCCACCAAAGCCTCCGCGTCCGCCAGATGAACCACCGCCGTTTCCTTGGACGGGAGCGCCGTCGGGTCCAGACACATCGATGGCCTTTTGACGGCCATTGCTGTCTACCTCAACCTCGAACTCGACAGGTTCATCGGCGGCGAGGCTTCGGAATCCCTCAGATCTGATGGAGGACTGGTGAACGAAGAGATCTTCAGAGCCGTCATCGGGAGTGATGAAGCCGAAGCCCTTCTGCGAGTCAAACCACTTGACGGAGCCCTTGCGCTTCGCACCACCGTTGTTGTTTTCGCCACTCATTCTCAAGGAAATCTCTCTAAACACCTCTCAGACGAAACCCTAGAAATTAGAAATTCACACTACAGATCTCTCTCCACGCTGCCGCTGTTTATATGCGTAGGAGAGGTGTGGCAAGGGTATGACTGCCACGTCATCACATTAATCTATTTTTTCCACCTCTTTTTTTTGTTTTCCTCTAAAATTTACAGTGTTGCCAAAACAGAATTCTTTTTTTTTGACCAGATTTAATTAATAATTCTGAACATATATAAATATTAGGATTTTGGTTGATTTCGAAAACAAATTTGTGACTAAATTTATTTTTCTCTTTTAACAAAAAAAAAAAAAAAAGAAGAAGAGAGAATCTGTTAATGGGAAAACAAATAGGGGTATCAAAATAAAATTGTGTTGCAAAGAGGAGGAAAAAACAAGGACATAAAAATGGGCCAGCCTGTGTAAGGGCTTAATTATTTAATCCTTATCGGGAAACAGAATGGATCGTTGGCCCAGCGAGCCGTTGTATCTGGACGGTTGGGGTGTTTTCCAGGAGAGATAACAACCGTCAGATTTTGGACGTTGTAATAATAATTTACATTTAAAAATTTAAATGCTAGTAAAATAAAAAGAAGAGGGTAGTTTGGGAATAGAGAGATCATTTAATTTGATTACTATATACGTTTCTGGTGCAGTCAACATTAAAGAATGGCCCACGTCAGCAGATGTTTCAACTTGGTCAACAAAGTTTATTATTTTCAGTCTGGTCAATACGCATTTACTGTCCCACTTCATAAACCAGAAATTTTAATTCAGTGAAGTAAATTGAGACGACTTTGACCGCACAGATGGACGAAGTTACTGAAGTACATAGACAAGTTATTGAAGAAAAATAAATTAGACACAAAGATCAAACAATGTAGCTTAGTTATAAGAAATGTGCGTAATTCAAGAGTAAAAGCTGCTACTGTATGATACCGGTCCATTTGTCCTCTTGTGTAAAGTGGTTGTCTTTCATTATGCTTTCTTTCGATTTTTTCAATTCCTTTTGTAGTTTTGTTTTGATTATGAGGAAAGGGAAAGGTTTTTTTTTTCTTCTGTTTTGGGGTCAAAATGAGAAAAGGGAAAACAAAAAATTAAAAGGCCATAGTGATGATATAATTCGAGTTAAATAGGACGGAGCCGTTTTATGAAACGATTTCTCTTCTTCCTGGGAAACCCGCTAATCTGGACAGAGAGTTTCAGTGCATCTGCACCCGCCGGATTCTGGAATGTAGGCGGCTGTCATCTGCCCTTCTTTTTCAAGTTATATGTGTTCTGAACATATGTTCCCGTAATTGACTGTATTCTTGAACCTGACATCTTTCTCGTTATTGTTATTTAGTACTCCAAGGCTGTATGTAAATCATCAATTATGAGTAACAGTATCACTCAACATACCTCCCGTTGGGGATATTTAAAAACTAAGATCGTATCACTTTCTTGTATGATCTTTTCTTTTATTGGTTACCTTTTCTTTTATAGCACATTTTCAAGAGCTATGATGCTTCGTCCTAGTCCTGTCTCAGCTCACTAATTCTTTCTCCAGGACTTGTGTGTCGTGTTGTCTTTGCAATGCAGTTTTGTTTCTTCAACTGAGTTCCATTTTCTTGCTGTATAGGTTGTGTAATTATATTAGAGAATGCATATAAGTGTAATTATATTTGCTACTATAGCTAAGCTGCCTTCGCCTATTGAAAAAAAAGGACATTGCAGCAGATATATCTCAGGTTATTATCTTGTTTAAGCTCTATGACTGTTGAATCTCTCAACATATATATATGCGTTGGCTTTTAATGGTTTCATGACTTCAATCTGAATGCTGAACGACCATCGTCGCCTATATAAAGAGACAGATGCTTGCGAATTTCTTTCCTTGATTATTGGATCTCGGGCAATTGTATTATATATTATCCAGTAGCAATGAACATCAATATACAGCCTCAAATCACATGCACACACACACTGACATGTTCCCATACCAAAAAAACAAACGGCTTAATACACAAGAAACGGCCATGTTTCCTTGAAAAAAAGAAGAAGATATACATACATACAAAGTCTCTAGGCCTTCCCTTGAGCTCTTGCGAAGGTGAGGCCAACGCAGGCATCAACAAAGTCTTTGTCAATGAAATCCGTTGAGAAGATCTGCAGTTTGTCTGCGCATCCCCTCTTCACACACTCGATGATGAAAACCTTTGCGTAGCAGTGAATCCGCCTCGTCACCGGTTTTACACACAAGATCGGGTTATCAGGCTGCGGCGTGACTGTGTTCTCCACCCGGTAGAAGAACTTCCGGGAAGAAGCCGGCTGCTGCTGGCTCAAATGCTTCAGGTTACTCTCGAACTTGGTCGAAGGCAGATCCGTATCGATCCAATTGTCTTTCAGGTAACCTGCGCTCCACAGGGGATCTCCCTTCTTCGGCTGACCCGATTTCCTCGGTTTCCAAACGCATATCACTCTCTTTGGCAGCAACTCAGCCACCGTCTTTCCGAACACGTGATCGTCCTGGTGTATCAGATGCTCCCCGAGCTGTTCGACGAGGTACTTGTCGAACTCCGGCGGATCCTCGTGTCCAAACTCTGTCCTGATCTCGAGGATGACAACCTCTGACTCTGTTTCGGATAGAAACCGTTTGAGATCCGCCAGGACGACGTCGACGCTGTAAGTCTTGAGGATTCCGTGGCAGACACGGCGGTCTTCTTGGACTCGGATGTCGAGGACTCGGGTGCCCGCCACGAGCTGGTCGTAGATAGAGAGAGACTGGCACTGCGCGAAGGGACGGGACACGAACCGGATCCCGATTTTGTTGGTGGCTGAGTCGTGCGTCCCTGGCCACACGATCTTGTTGATATGAAGCGTCTCGGGTCCCACGCCGGCCATCCAGTTTTTCCGATCGGACGGCATGTAATCGCACCCCGGAAATTCGCAGCCGCATGATTTCTGGAGATCGGTGAGGACTTTCTTCTCGGTGGAGATTGCTTTTCGCCGCTCGAGCTGTTTCGAAAGGTGAGACCCCATTGGTGAGGATGAAGCTTTGCTCTCTTCTGATGAGTAAATACATGCATATATATATAAAAATAAATGAGAATAAACAAAACTGATCTGTTGTTATGATTCTTGTTTTGTCATTTTTTATTGTTATGCTTTGTTCTGTTAAAATATTGTTATGCTTATGCTTTATGATTATTATTGGTATGAAAAAGTTGCGAAATATGCGTTTTATCTTTTATTAATTGTGCCACTTCTAGTTCTATCACAAAGCACCGATTGGATCTTCAGAAATCATTAGTAGTGTATGTAAGCCTGCAATTACTATATACAGTTTTCTCCAAAAGTTTCTGGAATATTTAATGTTTGTGAAATTATATGTGATAAGTGTGACTATTGTGTGACCTGGCTGATTGATTAGTTGAGATATATTTCAAAGAGTTGTTGGGTTGTAAATTTGTAATTGATGGAGAATGCTTGGTAGGTCCATTTTTTGTATGCTGTCTTCATTTTTGTACTTTTTAAAAAAGCTTTCTATGAGCTGGCTTCCCTCGACGTGAAAGATATCAATAGAACGTGATTTTGATTGTATTAAAAAAGGAATGTTTATTTTTTGTATCCTTCGTTATTAGTAGACACATGTTCAGTTTTTATTCATCTTAATGTGATAAAATCATATACTGTACTGAGCTGTCCATAGATTTTTAAAGGACATTAACATTATATTTGGATGAAGTATAGATAGGATCCGAAGGGAAACAAATGATACACAGGGCCTACCATGTGTTCTTACATCTGAAAGAGACATAATCCCTAAAACCTTAAAACACATACGTAATCCGGGTTAATGGTAACTGATGACGTTAAATCGAAAAGAAAACATTTGGTTATTCTCTGAGGCTTTTCATTGGTTAATATTCCGAATTAGAAAACATACGAGTCTGAATCTGAATAACAAATTTAGCATTCGGTTAATAATGGTAAACAGTCGCATCATATCGGAGAACAGCGTCGCCAGTTTTCATGTCGATCTGATGCGTTTTGATTTTGACGAAACCTCTCGCCATTCTGAATCTCCCACGGCCGCCGACAATTGCGATCTCTCGCTCTCCGGCCTCTTCCGCCACCGGATTCCTCGAGAACACGCTAATCGAGCTCCCGTTGAACTTCCCCGTCGTGAACGCCAAGTCGGCGTACATCACGATCGTGAATTTACTCATGTCCTTGCTCCCGGACACGTACATCCCACGCCCGTTTCCGATCTCCTTCGAATCTTTCTCCGGCCCGACGGTGAGCGAATCGTCTATCGCGAACAGGCTTCCGAACCCTACCGCCGAATCTGCGCGGCCGGTCAAGTTGGCGTGCGCGATTCGGACGGCGCTGGGGTTTTTGCCACTGAGGGTATCATGGAGATAGAAGCGGACACGTGTCACTTTCTCCTCCCTGAGATTAGCCGCCTTGGTCTTCCCGTAGTAGTCGGAATCGCTACTCGCCGTAACGGCCACGGTTAAACAGAGCGCGAAGCATAATGTTATTATCTCGCTTTTCATAATTAAAAAATAATATTATACAATGAAGAAGGATTAGCATCAAAAGTGAAAATCATATATAATAATGTTTATAATACTGTTTTCAGCAGTAATGTAGTAGTGTAAGGAAAACTGTTGGTAAGATATTCTTCTATAAGTATGATTCTACGTAATTAGAAAGAACAATTCAAAAGAGTGTATTTGTCATCATTATTCATAAAGTCTGTTTGATATTTTCCTGTGTTAAGAAAACAAAAAAAGTAGTAGTAGTAATAGATAGATGCATGTATTATTCAGCTTCATGAATCAGTTTTTAATACAATAAGCTTTCACTCATTCTCAATCTAAATCTGATGTGAAAATTTAACTCAACCGACATTTGGCAGATTTACTTCAGTTTTTAGATTTGGATTGAGATTTCAGTTTAGATAAGACCCTAGTGAAGACCTGTCAGATATATAAAACTCCATCCCCAGAATCTGAACTGAAAGGGATCCTTAAAGCTCTAATCAGATCTCTGTAACGATGTGTCGACGCTCCAATCACAAAGAAACAGTACATTCGAATAACAAAGAATAAGCTCTCAACTCGAGAAAAAAAAACAATAACTCATGAAACGAATAACAAATTGTACAACTCAAAGAAAGACACCCAAAACCCTAAAAAGCTGCGACACAAGTATGCAAAGAAGACTCAGAGAGAGATTGTAAAGACCCTACCAAAATTTTCTATCGAGTTCCACACACAAACTTATCACCATCCAAATTTAACAACACAAATTCTCATAGGCTAAATAAACCTCGAGGACTCAACTTTTCTCATAGAAATAACTCACGACTCTTTTTAGTTTTTGTTCTCAGCCTCTTCCTTGTTAGAGGCTTCCTCGTGAGCCTCTTCCTTGTTAGCCGCTTCCTCGTTAGCCTCATCCTTAATAGGCTCTTCTACAGCTGCTCCCTCCTCAGATTGCTCAGAGCTTCAATAAGACAAAATAATCCAAGTGTAAGAAAACATGCGAGTAACCCAATTCCACTAATTAAAACAGCCATATCAAATAACAAAAACAGAAAAAGAGATTCAATCTTTCAGTCCAGAATGAGGTTCGTTACAAGACATCAAGTTCCATGTGTGTTTCCACTATGGATGCACAAATGACACCAAATCAACTCTCCCCTTTAACCCAATTTCATCCATCAACTATAGCAACTATGAATCCGCATATCAATAACCAATCAAGACAAGAGAGACAAGCAATCAAAGCAAACTAGAGAAGTGAAAGTTTTGTACCTTTTCCTCCAACTTCTTTCAGTACGATCGTCCTTATGGGCATTGCCAAGACCAAACCCCATCTTCCCCGGAGACCTCGCATCAGGCTTCTCAATGGCCGCCGCAACGTCCTTTAACTTGACAGCCTCCAGCTTCTCCTCAATCTCCTTCCAATCTTGGCCTTTCTCAGCCAAAACCTCCTCCCTAGGCCTGGCGTTCCCGAAAGGGTTCGCACCTTTAGGCTTCTCTACAGCGGCCTTCACCGGGCTTTCCGGCTTCACCTCCACAACGGCGGCCACGGGAAGCGTACGGGGCTGTAACACCAATCTCGGCCTTGATCCGCCGCTCGGAGGTGCTGCTCCCCCGGTCTCTTCTCTTCTCCTCCCCCAGCTGTCCGAATCAGAGCCGCCGCTGTATTGCGAATCCCGGTTTCTGGACAAGGATTCGAAACTTCCCCTTTTCTCGAATCTATCACCGCTACCGACGACTCTCCGGGGCTCCGAAGGCTTAGTCGAGACCCAGCTATCGACTTCATCAGCCTTGGACTGAGACTGAGATTCGAAGAATCCGCCGCCTCTCTCTCTCCTGTCGAATCCAACGGATTGGGGCTTCTTCCCGGCGGCCCAGTTATCAGTCTCATCCGCACGCGACGGACCGGAATCCCTGTCCCTAGTGCCTCTCCTTTCCCCGTCTTCCGAAACCCTAGACGGACCCCACCTCGAGTCATCCCTTCCATAGCTCCGGAAACCCTTAGATCTGTCGAGCTCCTCGGCGGAGCGCTCGCGGGGACCGGTGGGGAGGGAGACGAGCTCAGCCTGAGTGAGCCGCTCCGTCTGCGGAGCCGGTGCCGCCTTGACAGAGCTGTAGGAAGCGAATTCGGCGAGTGATAAGGTTTGGGCCTTCTTCTTCTTGGATTTGGTGGTCGCCGCAGCGGCCAAGGAGGGAAAGTCGGAGGAGGAGTTGTTGCCCTGTTTGGAGGAAGGAAGGGCTTGTTGCTGGAGCTCGGCTTCGTGTTCCTCCGCATCCAGAGCCCAAGCACCAGGCTTTGCCCAAACAGATGATACAGCAGCCGCCATGATTGATTGTTGTTCCTTCGCTTCTTCTTCTTCTTCTCTGCTTCTTCTTCTTTGGGTGAATGAATGGCTCTCGTTGTCTAGAACCCTCAGAAGCACACCACCGCCCTTTATATAATTGACTTTTGTAGGTTTTGATCCGACGGTCTTAAGTTTATCAGAGCAATAAGGGTAATTATATAATTTTATTTTCTTTCCTTTTCCTACAAGAAGGAAAAATTCCCTTAAACCAAATACATGTAGTAATCGAATCCTCTCTTTCGTTTATCTCGTTCCAAATAATAATATGTACTAAAAATTACTAATTACACAAATACAATGATATCAAAAATCTGTACAGACACCATAATTTGGACAAATGTTATTTACAGCCCCTGCATGTATTATTAGAGTGACAGATTCCTAATACTCAGGACTGTACAAACTTACGAGATGTTCTTCGTCAAAGCTCTTTCCTGAGTCGTGCCATCTCATTGTCCCTGAAGCAGCTTGTTCCTCTTCTCTCGTGGCATGGAGTATAACTGTTCCTGTTAGCACAGTGATGAATCCACATATCTCCGAGGCTATGCTATCTGTGTTTTGCCCATACCAGTCCTGCACAAAACTCATTTCATTTCTTCTGAATCTTTGCGCTTAATAAACATTAGCTATGTCACTGCCTAATATCTACCTTGAACATGATCGCACTAGCAACAATCGTGAGGGTTGTGAACATCACATAATAGATTGGGGAAACAATTGCTGCGTTGAATGTGTCCAGCGCCTGGCAAAAGCAGAACATACTTTTGTGTTAAACCAACCAAAAGAGACACAAGTACAACTTCTTTTTCTTACCTTGTTCAGGTATATCATCTGCATAACGACACAGACTGCTGCAACCATGACAAAAAACCAAGTCTCTGCATACCAGATCTGGTTTATCCCCTCCAATGTTAACTTTATCGCAATCCCCACGGCCTTTATGCTCATAACCTAAATACCAAAACTTTACGAGAAGATAGATGGGCAAGTACAACGATGCTTTCCAAGAAACTCAAACTTACTGTGAGAGAACCCATCAATGAACAGATTCCGATATAAACAAGAATGTTTGTTTGGCCGCAGAGAGGTTCACAGTAGAGAACCAAAGCCAGTACAATCGACATTGATGTGGCTACGTAGATTAGAAAAGCTGTCTCATGCAAAAGATTAAAGGAACCACCGTAAGTTATTCCTCACAGAGATTAGAAAAAAAAAACACAAGTGTGTGTGTGTGTGTGTGTGTAGAGACTAAAGAGAGAGAAACCTGGTTGCATTGCTAGTTTCCAGATTTCTTCAACAGAATTTGGAGTGTGCTCCTGAGGTGCATGTATGACGATCATAACTGATCCCACGATGCAGCAAACACATCCCCAAACCCCCATTTTCCTAAGTTTTTCGTTTAATAAGAAATGTGCCAAAACAGCACTGGTAACCAAATGAAAGGTTAGGCAGAGAAGAGGTGAAATTATCAAAACAAGTGAGATATGAAAAAAACTGTCACCTGATGATTATACTTAATGCACCGAGAGGGGTGACTAGTACAGCCGGTGCATAAACGTAAGCCACAAAGTTTGCAATTTCTCCAAAAGTCACTGAGAGTTACAAATCGAATTTAGAGAGTTATCGAAAAAGGGAAGAAGGAGATAAGGGCGTGGTTACTCACTTGTCACCAAGCCTACCCACCAGAGTGGCTCTAACAAATATGTATATCCTCCAATCCCTGCATCATCACATAATCCCATTTCTTGATTATCAATTCAATGACAGAACCAATTCGCATCTATTGGCGATGTGGAGTACATAAGAAGAATTAAACATATCTGCATAGGACATAAGATGTGTATATTGGAGGGCACTAACGAAAACTCCAGAGTCCAGACGGCTAAAAGCTAACTTGAGGAGATGGTTTCAAAATTCGATTGCTTTAAGCATTTTTTAGCAGACAGGGTCCTAGGACACGGAATCTAATTCGGTACAAAGCAAAAGAAAAAGAAAAAACAACTGAAAGGATAAAGAATCAAGCAGCAAAAGGGGATTGGCGGAAACGAACCAGCTCGGGTGCCATTAGCAGCAGCACGCTTGAGACCTTTCTTCTTCAAGATGAAGCTCGATCCAACGAATACAGTGGACGCCACAGCTAATACCAAACCCTTCTCATTGTCCGACACCATTTCTGTCTCTTTACAGCAAAGAATGAGAATCTATCTCGCCCCCAAAACAATCTATCTGTCTCGTTCAAGCTCCGTCCACGTTATCTGATTGCTTTGATCAAATCGCAAAAGAGAGGTTGAAGGAAACCTGCGGAAGGAGAGAGAAGGCGACGAAGGAGAATCGCAAGAATGTTGCGCCGTGGTGAATTCAAATTGGGGAGAGAGAAAGACCCAAAAACAAAACTTGTCGAGAGACGACAGCTCATTGGGAATTCGTCGCCTTGCCGGAACATTACCCCAATTCTGATTTGAAACACGCGCTAATATTCCTCTGCTTCGCGGACGATCTGGCATCTCTGTGCTGTGAGGTGATTTTAGTATTAATCAATTAATTACAGCCATTTTCGACAAACCTAATCTATTAAAAAATACCGTGAAATTTTCGAATATCCCAGATACACGAGAAATAAATTTGGATAATGAAATTTTCATTTAAAAATGGACGGGACATCTTTCACACGTATGGACTTCATTCGCATCTTTTTTATTCTGAATGAAAGGCATAATGCGCGTGTGCTGGCTTCTCGTTGCCCGTAATTTTTGGGGCCTCACTTGATTCTGAATAAAAGCCTTATATTTTTTGTTCAAATTTTATTTATATCTAACTTCATCATGTAAATAAAAGCAATTGGGGTTGAGAATCGACTAGACGGGCGTAACTTGATTATGGGCCAGATTTTAGGTTGAAAACTTAGCCATAATCATCTGTAAGGCCCATTATATATTAGTGGAGTTATCTATGATTAAAATTTAGGTTTTATTTTGATTGATCAACCGAGAAAGACCAACTGTGATATATATGATTAGTTCTCTCACTTTTAGAGATGCAAACTTTTACTTTTTATTTTCTTTAATTACCATGAGAATCAACATGTGTGTTTAGACCAAAACGTCGAACACTGACTCAAAAAGTTACTTGGCTATCAGTGTTTACATCATCCACTCACGTTTTCATCATACCTAGTCACTAGTCAGTTGTGTCTCTCAATATATGATGGTTAGTTCAAAGGATCGTTTGTTTGTGGCATTCCTTGTTATACAAGGCAAACTATAATGGCAAGAGTGGTGAAACAAGCTCATTTATTTATGGTAGTAGTTAATTAGGGTGAACAAAGTGGGCAAGTTTTTACTCTCTGTCACCAAATGGAACAGCAAAAAAGCAAAAGCAGAGGACACACCATGACCATTGATCACTAACCACCAGAGACGCTAGACTTATTTAAGAGAGCTGACCACAATCGGCCACAACGACGGGCTTCGACAGCTTCCCAGACGACGATCCGACCTTCTCGATCGCCTTCACCACGTCAAGGCCTTCAACCACCTGGCCGAACACCACGTGCTTACCGTCGAGCCAATCGGTTTTGACGGTGCAGATGAAGAACTGAGATCCGTTGGTGTTGGGACCGGCGTTCGCCATCGACAGGATTCCGGGACCCGTGTGCTTCCTCTCGAAATTCTCGTCCTTGAACTTATCCCCGTAGATCGACTCACCTCCCGTCCCGTTCCCGGCGGTGAAGTCTCCTCCCTGGCACATGAAACCCGGGATCACGCGGTGGAAGGAAGATCCCTTGAAGTGCAGGGGCTTCCCCTTCTTCCCCACACCCTTCTCTCCGGTGCACAGAGCTCTGAAATTCTCTGCCGTCTCTGGAGTCTTATCGGTGTACAACTCCATCACGATCCTTCCCGCCGGCTGGCCACCGATGCTCATGTCAAAGAAAACCTTTGGGAACGCCATTGTTGTTGTGGATGGATTTTGCGGTGACTCAGGTGGGTCATGCATTTATTGCGCAAGGGAAGCGGCGAATATCTCTCAGACGAGATCCATCCATACACGTGGAAATATCTCAACGGCTCTTCAAAAACTTAACCGTGGTTAAGTTAGGGTAAGGCAGTGCGTGAAGTGGGATGAGTATCTCAGACTTGGCATATGCCCCCTGGAGCTGCCGCTCCCAACGTGCCACACGTGTCTACTACTACCATCACAAACGCCTCTTTGCACCCACAAAAACGCCTAATCCACCACTTTCGTTTATCTTTGCATTATCCTCGCCCTAAATACTCAAATACATATTGGCAAACTTTAATTCCCATTTCTTATTATAACGTTAGATACTTTCATCAATCTTGAAAACGATAAGTTTATATGGGCTATTGCTAAAAATATCTAAATTATATAATTTATAGAAACGCATACCCATTAGTCCATTATCATATACACGAGTCCACGCGAATCGTATGACAGCTACATCTTCTTTCTTCTTGGATTCCAGAACCAGAAAAGTCTTTTGAGTATAGATAAAAACAAAAAACAAAAAAAAGATTTATTCGGAAGTGCACTTTCTGCGGTCAAGAGTGAGAGAGAGAAGCAATCAAAAGAATTTGTTGAGGTAAGCGATTAGAAAAACGAAAGCGACGGCGTTACGAGCGGCCCAAAAAGGAGTGGATCAGCATTGAGCCCAACATTGTTTAAAGTTTGCTTTTCCTTTCATACTTTAATACATACATTGCATATATTCATGTAACAATGCTCCAATAATACCATCGGTCACCCGCATAAAATCTCACGTAATTTTCAGTCCCTACAGCGATCCGGGATACAGAAAGACAGCTATTTTCTTCAGTGAATCCATAGACGGTTCCAAGTACGCATGCCCTTCTGCAACTGTTCGACAGAAAGAAGCAATGTTACCCACCAAAATTTTCACTTTTTATTGATCATGCAAATCCCAAATCATCAAAATTAACCTTTTTCAGGACAAGGGAGGAAACAGTTGTTACCTTTGACTAACTTTTTTAAGTCTTTGGAGAAGTTATCCACACGGCCAAAAACTGGATGGATCCTGCAAACCTGTACAACACAGAGTTCCAAGTATAACGACATCTCTGTCATCTGGAGCAGCAAAAGGCACAACTTCTTCACTTCATCAGGAACCTCTTTGGATCTGTAATTATCACAAAGCTCAGTGACTATCGCGTTGGCTTGGTCCTGCATTGAAACATACACATTGTAGTACCAGGCACAGATAAGGAAAAATATAACACTCACTGTATCTTCTTGTTCTCAAGTTATAGTAATACCTGTAGACCGTGTAAAATCTCCGGCTCCGGAAGCTCAGGGAAATGAGCAAGATCGACATATCCCACTTCCTCTGCCCTTTTAACAACACCCTCTGCTTGCAAACACAGAAAATTCAACAAGAGAGAAGCCACTCTATATATCTGTACCGCAACCAAGTCTGAAAAGTGTGATTGAGGAACAGATCCAGGATGCTCTGTCGTTTGTCCTCTAACAACTATAGCAGTCGAGATTGACACAGCACCGAGCTTGGGTTTCCCGACGCAAACTAAAGGTGCTACAGCAAACCATCCGTGTTTGCTGTTGATGAAAGACAGTCTTTTGCACGAATCAAACTCTTCTTTCACTACTGGAGGGCATAACAGTTGAGATGATTGAATCTGAGACTCTCTGAGGCGTTGAGCGCCTTTGCTGATAAAGGCCAAGAGATGTATAGTCATTTCTCTTAATGGAGAATCCATCTCCTTCATAATTTTAACCCATGATCTCCAATGGCTTGCTAATGCACACATCAGAAGGAGAGTATGCTCGGTTTCTCTTAGATAAGCAAGGGAAGTCCATGTCCGTTGAGTTCGTGGTCTCACTTTGTCACGATTATCAGAAGGGAAATCCGGCGCAGCGAGATAATATGAGATCATGTAACCTTTCTCTAAGAAAAAGTAAGATATGACACTTTCCACAATATCAGCACCCACAGAACCGGATCCTAGAGAATGAACCATGGCCGTAACCACAGCCAAACCGATTCCCCAGATATGCTGAGGTTTTTCTGTCTTTTCTAGCAGCGAGCCCTTTTCGTTGTCAGATAGCAGTGTAGACGTTCCATCCGGCAAGTCAATCAACAAAGCTCTTAAAGTCGAGAAAAATCCAGAATTTAGAAGCATCTGAGCAGCGCCTTGAACTTGAGCAATAGTTAAGAAAAATTTCATTATTGCTGAAACGGATGCCGTGGATTTTTTGTCCTGAAGCTGTAGAATGACATGCTGCAAGCGGAGATGACTCTGTATAATAGGGAGCCATGTCTCTGGCGTCAGAAAATTTCGGAGAATCACGTCTACTGTGGTCAGGCAGAGAGTCAAGTACTCGGGATTCCCCATGAAGTTGCAGAGAAGGGGTAATAATCCAATAGTCGCATCGGATATATCAGCAAAATCTTTGGCTGGCACCATATGCCCCATCCCACTCAAGTTTGGGCTGTCTGAATCAAAACCCACAACCAGGAGCAACACCTCAAGCAGGAGGTTTATCGTCTTCCTCAATATCGCATTTGAATGCCTCAAACTACCAAGAATTTTGAGGCCAAGCCCAACATTTCTCAGGACAAGAGCACACATAGATAATGGCAGATTTTTCTTCGCGGATTTCAAAAGATGGGATAGCAAGTCTGCCTGTGCAGTAAGTATATCAAACACAATCTTAGGTGCATTCCAGAGAGAGGCAAGTGAATCAACCGTGGTGCAGAATTTTTGGCACACTTCATTAATGCTTGAAATAGCAACTCGAGAAGGGACTTTTCTTTCCACAGCCGCACCTTCTTCAAGTGACTGCACATAAGGTGTAGAATCATGAGTTAAGACATGCACCATTTCTACTGTCTAGTACATTTGGGTTAGTTATCAACTAATACGTTCAATGCGAGGAACGACAGAACAAATCTATTTAGAACAAAGAAACTTACATTATCCTCGTAAAGTGTCAATACTGATGTCAATGCATGCAAAATAGAGAGCTGCGAAGTTGAGAGTAAAAACATCGAGTTTGCTCTCTGCATGTAACTCAACATCTCCTCTGTTGTCGTTTTAGATGACTTCCACTCGGAGAAATCCCAAATATCAATACCTAATTCTGTTCGTATCTGCTGAATGTCAAACAAACAATTGTCCGCCAAAGCCATATATTTGTCCTTATCGATTTTATGTTTGTATCTCTCCCAAAAGCTCGACTCAACTAGAAACTGAAAAAGCTCTTTGAATGGACCGGTTGGGATATCACGACCCTCAAGTTTTCCTTGTAGATGACAGAATAGATCGCTGAGAATCAAAGGCATCAACTCCTTTCCCCCGCTAGCAAATAGAACCCAACAGATTATAAGCAAATACGTGATGATATGATAAACTCTTTAAATATCAGGAGAACGAATGTTTGATAAAGATAAATGCGTCACTGTATTTGGAAAAAAGCAAAGACATGCTAGGAAAGTTTAGTAAAAATGTCAGAAACAATAGTCTTACCTATAACCGAGTTTTGAATATTGAGCCAACAACTCAGAAAAAGCAGGCTGGGCACAAAGCTGTCAGCAGACAGACATCAGAATCAAAATGACAAGGCCTTGAAAAGTGCGTCGAAGGGACCAAAGATATAAATTAATTCAAAAGAGATGAACATACCATTTCTGATATAAGTTTGATCTTCCCAACTAAAGCCATAGACAATGCTCCTGCGCCAGATGTTTCCAGTTTCACAATCAAATGCACAACAAGTAAAACGGAAGCAACCTAACAATGAAACAAAATGAGCAATATTTAAAACTCAGTAATTTCTGAAAGATGGAGGTGATGAAACTCTACTGCATGTGCTCTACAAGTAAAAAATATATGCCAGGCAGAAGATGGACCTTTGCTTGAAAGTTTCTTTCACTTTCACCATCTACAGAAGAAACTGTATGGATAAGGCCATCTAAAACAGATATGTCGCACCATTTTGAAAAGATATCCTTGGGATCTGAATCAGCTGTCAAAGTTAATTTTGATGGAGATACTGCATTATATGTCTTCTCTTTCAGCTCCAAGCATGGTTTTTTAAGTGACTCCGCAAACAACAACTTCTTGTTCAAAAACATGTTGCAGGCCATAATTTCCAAAACAGTTGACTGACACTGATATTTCACATGTAATTTAGAAATTTCTTCACTGCCAAAACTTCCAATTGACGAATCCTTTAGCTTAGACCCCTGTGATATGATGCTGGAAAATTCCTGCCACACCTTCTTTGACGCCTTAAATGTTTCTAGAATATTCACGTATTGCCCAGCCTCTTGCCAAAGGGTTTTAAGGAAATCAAGTAAACTAAGTAATATATCCGTGCGTCTGGAGAAAGTGAGACCATCAGCAAAAATATGTCAGGGATACAGCCTATCTAGAAACTTTCGGCTAGAGATTCAGGGTAAATAGAGCCAAAATGAAAGAAAAAAATCAGCCTTTAACGTACCTATTGACAAAATCAGTTGCTCTCTCGACATATTGCAGGATAGTGTATAATAAGCGAGATTTACAAGCCAGTTCAGGAGCTGAGGAAACCTCTTTGCTCGACTGTTTTATGTTACCAGCATCTGAGTCTTCGTTTGAATCAAATATGGCAACTAAAAGAGCAGGCTGAAGAAACAAGATAATAAAATGAAACAAAATCAGTATGAAGAAACTTGAGAATCTAAATGGTTTTAAGCAGATCGATTGCTGTGACAAGAAAATCAAAGAAAGAATTGCAAGCAACCTGATATCTTGCCGCAACAGTAAGTAGTTTCATGGTGGCAACGACTAGATCTTCATTTTGTCCTGATAGATCAAGTGCGATCTGGCTAACCGAATATCTTAAATCTGTGATCTAAAAGGGAAATTGTAAATCGATCGATACATATATACAGCAGAATATAGTAAATGCACAAAAAGAAATAACAGATAAAGCAAGATGTAATTCTAACCTGTTTATCGTCTAGACCAAAGCATGCATTGCTTATTGTATAGAGTTGTGATGATTCTGCCACGGCAAATAACTTTGAGAGCACTTTAACAGCACCAAGCTGTATAGTCTGCAGGAAACATATGATTTTTAGACATATGGTTTGTCAAAGCAAAAATTTCTGCGAATTTGAATGGAGTCCATACAGGATTGCGGAAGCAAGATATCAGTGATGTGATAGCTGCAACAACTGGGATCGGTTTAGTTGTAGACGACAGAATAGCTTGATGAAACACGGAAAGACCAGAATGTGTACTCTGCAATAATTTAGAGCAAAGTATCAACTTCCACAATGCCTGGAAAGGTAAAAAGTATGACCAACCACATACATTTAAGTGAGAGATCAATATGTTCAAACAATTATAGCTGACCCAAACAAAATTCAATGCGTGTTTTAACTCTGCAAAATTAAAATTGTAAAGAGTTTAATCTCTTTAACTGGAAAGAGTGAACAATAGCTATTTTCTGTTATAGGATGTACTTGGCAACTTGCAAAGCTTTTAACAAGGTTATAGCGAGACAAAAAATTTACCTCAGAAGATTGGGAGAGTGTGATATCTAAAACATCCAAAACAGAGACTATAGCAAGTTGCCATCCTTCAATCTCTGCTGGTTCGATAAAACGGCTTACACAAAGGTTCTGTCGCAATGTAACATATCAGGAAATCAATTAAAAAAACATCTCAGACTAGGACCGTAGATGTAAGGCAATTCCAGAGCATATCCAAACCTCTAAAGTTTGCGTAGTCGTACAGATGATTCGGAATAGAGCGCTGTGAACAGAGGCATCGTTCAGCAAGATATCAAGGAGAACATCCTTCAGCTTTGTGGAGAATGTACTGAATCTGAGACACGTTTTCATCACTTCAATGGCCTGGGGAAACCGGGAAGATATTTTTGTTAAAAAAAGCTAGGAATCCATTGACTCCAATTACCAAGTCAACAATTAATAGGTAGTCGACAGAGAGGAAGATATATCTCATAATTAGCGACATACCTTTAGTGTCACATTCCAACGCATATTTCCATGATTGTATTTCCAAAATTCATGACTAACAAGAATATACTGCAGCGAGAAAACAATTAGAGCAAGAACTACATCATTCTCCATTCCTCCCTCCACAAGTTGCATGGTAAATTCTAGGACTGCAAGATATAAAAACAAATACATTAGGTAATAAAGCGACAGGTTAAATAAACAGAGAATCGAGACAGTCATGCAGATTATGCACTCAACGATATGCTACACAAACTTGCCTGATATGACCAATGGGCAGCTTGTATCATTCTTCTCGCAGTCAATCAAGATCATCTTTGCCAATTTCCCGGAGAGCGACCATGATCCACTTTTTGTATATAAAACAATGGAAAGAGTAAGAATGTAGTCAAATCATCACAAACTAAAATGCAGCTAGAGAATGCACAACAGGATGGAGCAAAATAAATTAAAAATTAAGCATCATCGTCCACTTTAACACTCCAATTAAAAAGTAAACACTAAAAACAGTACTTCCCAAAGTGAGCTTCCTTGGAAACAATCGGATGGTGCTTAGCAATTGATGACATACTCAGCGATTCGTCAATAACTCTACTTCATTTCTAGATCTAGAAAGTTTTCATGTGAAATTTTGTCTTTTTGGATAAGCATATCAAAGTACTGCTTGCTATCAGTTATGTATCACCTCCTCGTGGATAACCGATGACTCTTCTGTTTTTTTAGTGTTTATTTCTATGCCTATGTGTACGAAACATTTGAAAATAAACTAAATTAGAAAATCGGACACTGTATGTGATGTGTGGTCCAACCTCAATGAAATATTATAGCCACTGTCCGGGACGCCTGATCCTGAAGTCATGTCAAATATATTTGCCTTTAAAACCATGGGAGCGACACTTGATGGGGAACTGCTCCAAGAGAAAGTAAATTTAGCCATCAATATTGTTCCACATAGAACTAATACCAAGTTCCAAAGAATATCATATGACAAGATTTGCACATGACGGTCGATACTAGGAAAGATATTTGCTAATAGGTATAGTGAAGAAATTTTGTAAACCAAGACAACAAAAGAATAAGCATCACAAGAACTTACCATCGCAGCAGCTTAGCTAGGATATCAATAGCCATTGCCATCACAGCTGCACCGCAAGAGTCAAATGTCAAGCTTCTGACTGAATTGCATATTATATCAACCACCCTGTAAAAAATCACAAAGATAATATCTCCTCTGAAGCAGCTTAGGAACAGAGGGTGTAAAAATAAAATAAAAAGCAAGTACTTCACCTCACATCACTTTCCATCTTCCCACTCATGTAAGAGTCGTGAACATGAAAAAAGTGACTGATATTGAGCAAGGAGAAACATACAGCCTGAAATCAAATTATAAAACCTGGTCAGAGAAGAAAAACTAAGGATACATATTTTATGACAGACCAAACATAGTGTCTTAGATTGTTATTTTGAGAAGAAAAAAAAAGTCAGAGAATAATTGATTCAAAGGAAGACAAATCTATATCGTCTTCTCATGATGTACAAATATTAGAGCAATCCCTCGTCAGAGAAGAAAAAATAAGGATGTATATTTTATGACAGAAGAGACGTCCAAACATAAGCCTTAGATTAAAATTTTGAGAAACTGGTCAGAGAAGGATTTTTAAGGAAGACAAGGCCATAGTCTACCTCATTGTGTACAAATACTAAAGCAGTCCTTACTTCATAAACCTGGAAAAAAAAATGAGGATGGAGCAATGCAGTTACCTTGTTACATGTTACCATTCGACGAAGCAGCTCGAGAGTCGCAAAAGCTTCACGATTGTTACCAGTGTAGAGTCCATTGGCAAGACGGATGATCAACACTATCACGCCGGATAATGAATACTTGGAAAAGGAAATGTATTTCATGAATCAGTATTTCTCAAGCTAAACCATTTGATAGCACTTAACACCACAAAAGAGATAAAACTGGCGGATTCGTCTTTATGAATATTTTTTTAAACGATAAAATCACTTACTTCCCACCGTACAAGGCCAGTATTTTCACTGATTATTCTCAGAATTTGCCCACGAGTATTGCTGGGAATAACTAAACCTTCAAGGCCTGGAATATGCAACGGCTGGGAAGTTTCAACAAGCTGGGAGGCATCATCCACTAGAAAGCCACTAGTAATATCAAATAAGGTTGACATCCCCACTGATTTATCCAGAAAGTTGTATCTGCACAAAGAAATCACAGCAGATTGTACGGTAATGATGGTTGGCAAAACGAGGAAGCTTAGATTTATGCGTGTAGAGTATTCTGCCTTTATGCAGAACATCGCTCTAGTCTAGATAGAAAAGTTACAGATAAGAGTACATAGTAACAGATAGTCTATTGTCTGATTACTACTTACACACATTCAGCAGGCCAGCTTCCTTCACTCAGGGACGACAAGAGACGAATGAATTCCGCACTTCTGAATGGAAATTCTCTCTCCAAATCAAAGAGAAGACACCGGATAGGGCCATCAACAAAACTTTTTCGATCCCAAAACTGACTACAGAGAGACTCCTGGAAAATGAAGGCACATCATGAAGGAAAAAGTTAATGAACATTTATGGATGTGTAACATAAAGGAAAAAGTTAGGGACAGCATGCATAAACGATACCTCTCCTTGATAAACCTTGCAAAGGATCTCCAATATCAACTCCTGGGTGGCATCTTCCAGCTGCCAAAAATGTAAAGATGGGTAAGATTTGAAACAATTCACATTCATATAGTTCATTATCTACATTAATGGAGTATTACCTGAAAATTGATCTCATAAGACGCAATAAATGCTGATATAAAATTCCTCAAGACAGTACGATAACCTGACACGGGTCCCTGGAAAAGGTTAAAAATAATGATAGAATCAATACAGGGAAGCATGACATGAACAAAACTTGGAGAGGGTTAGTCGCTAGTGAAATAGAACTTACAAAATTATTTGATAGATAAACAAATGCCAATCTCAAGAAAACAAACTACGCCAAGCTTGGTAACAGGAATTTCGTAACTTACATTGAAATCATTTAACACGTTACTTTGAAGAATTTCAAGGAAATAGCTCAAGGATGCTGCCTCAAAAGCTTGATGAACATAGCTCACGTGATCTATCTCCTGGTAATCAAGAAAAATAAATACATAACATGAACTATGCGTGTCCTCTGACTAGATAATGGAAGTATTCTCGCTTTCATACCATCAGGAAAGGAATTTCCTCCTTCCCAGGAAGTGATGAAATTAGACACAAAAACACTGCCCATGCAAGGACTAGAGGTCCTGCTTCTTTTACTTCGAAAGTGTTGAGGCTAGAGATTGTTGCATCCATCTCTTGGACATCAATAATGGAGAATACACAAGGGCCAGACCTTATAAGAAAAGTAGAACCTTTAGGCAATGTCGACATATATTCAGGGGAAAGTAGGATTAAGGAAATGTATCAATTACGTATCATGTTTGAAGAATGCTAACTTTCTCAGTGCAGTTTTCCTCAAGAGTTAGTTAAACAAACCTGAAAGGTACTCCGTCATGAACCATTTGTAACAGATTCTCCATGTCGAGCGTGTCTATAAGAATCATCAACAACTGAATTTTTACACGACATGCAGAAAGCTGTGCTTCAGGTGACACTGCCAGCTTCCTAAAATTATAGGAGCCCAAAAGAATTCCCTGCAACACAGCACTTATCAGTACATAAGATTGGTTACAGAAAAACTGAAAGCGGCCTTGGGCATGTGGCTGGTGACTCGAGATACCTTGTATAAGAAACACAGTTTTCTCCATCTTTCTCCATTGCAAGTATAAAATGATTCATGGTAAAGAAGGAAAAGAATATCTAAAACCAAATTGTCCTCAATTAGTGTCTCCTCCGCCCACAGAGTTAACAGATTGACATCCTACAAAAGTTTTGTAGATAAAATCAAATTTGGACAGGCAATGGTAACTGGAATGAAATAACCCCAGTCCTAAAATCAGTAAATCCAAGGTCCTACATAATAATAAGATTGAATGAGATGTTAAGAAGGGCAAGGACTCTGAACACACACCATCTGCTGTGGGAAAGAAGAGGACAAAAGGTCCTCAAGAACTGATGATTGTTGTCTTTCAAGCCCATCTGATATCAGCTTTACAGCTTCGTCCCTAGTAGTATTTTCCTCTCTTGTTGAATATACTGTACAAATACTACAATTAGTTGAAAACGAGACAGGAATGGAAATTTTGGGTAAAAGTTTGACACGGGAAACCCCACCATCAGAAAATAATCATTCATAGCAATCTGAATTTGTGACTATGCATGCCCATATTTGTTAAGACATTTGAAACTAGGAGATTATAAAAAAGGGAAAAACAAAATCATGACTTACAGGCATGGATGAGAATACGCTTTGTACACTTTAGTAGGCACTGGCGCTCTATGTAATACTGAAGCAATATCTTCAAAAATAGCATTGGAACAAAAGGGCAGCAAAAGCGTTAGCAAGAAAGCTGAAGAAATAAATCTTAACTGATTACAAATTAAAAGTCAATGGTGAACATATAGGATAGGAACAATTACATTACAATGAGTTACAGAACATACTACGAAAAACAAACCGGAGAAACAAGTAGCCACTAATAAAGCTGGTCGTTTCACGCTATTGTTACATTTCTTAAATTCTTTTGTTGCTAACTTATAACAGAGACAACAATCAGGATATCGAGAAGAAATCTCCTAACCGAAAACAGGAACCAAAGAAAGCAGTTCATTTAGAAAACTTGTGAATTATAACTCACAGATCATTTCAAAAGATTCTATTCATTCAACAAAACCTGAATTTATATGCAAAAATAGAGACGGCGAAACATTAAAGGAAGCTGAGACCCGTAAGCTAGGACTCACCACGTCAACGAAATCGTGAGCTACCGAGTCAGTTGTTCCATATTCCTGCTCCGTCGATCTTTCCACAAGGATGTATGATTGGATTTCATCTAGATTCTGTCCAGATTCCAAAAAAATTACAAGACAAAAAAACTGAGCATCAGTTATCTAATCATTTATCCACATCCAGTTGCGCGCATCAGTTATCTAATCATTCTCTGACGCAATGCCATTTATCAGTGTGGAATTGGGACTTAATCAACTGAGCAGTAATTTGAAATTCAAGCACAGACTATATACGAAGCGAATAACAGGGATATGTAGGATTGAAAAACCTACATGATTTGAGGTCGACATGAATAAAACCAACAGAGTTTTCTTTCGAGCTCAAAGGAAACTTAAGAATCGAGAAGAAACTAACCAGATAAGAGCTGATTCGAAGCGCTTTCTCTTTGAGCTCGGGTTTAATCACCAGCTGGTGCTCCTTAACCTTGACTACATCCGAATTCAGAGCATCTTTTGATTTCCCACTCGGTGACTTGAACATCGACAGGGTGTTAACGAACCAGGCGTGGTTTTTCTCCAACTTCTCCGCCTGAAATTGAGACAGCAAAACCAAAATTAGCACCAGTGTCCCGCACGAAGAAACCCTTATCGCATATGTATATGACGGGGGGAGAGAGATGTTACGATGGGCTGAGGGAGGTCATCGGAGAGAGATGCATTCTCGAGTTCGGTGAGAAGAGAGCCAAACGGATCCCACCAGAGGGAGGGATCGACGGATTTAGGGTTCGCCATTGATAGAGCTCTGTGAAAGACCAGTTCGAGGGCGCGCTTAAACCCTAGAGACAAAGAGGAGGAGATTGCAAAATCGAGATTTTGGGATTTTAATTGTTTTCGCGCTTTTCAGACATTATGTCTTTTGAGAAAAAAATACAATAAAATACCAAATGAATAATTCAGTTTGGGCTCTGGTGACAAAATACTCTGTATCACTATGAAGGCTTATTGAATATTTCTCCTAACTGTTACTAGGAAGTACAGAAAGTTGTAAATTTATAGCACAGTTCAAAATAATACTATAATAGACTCAAAATATGCAGTGTGACAATAACATCCGCCTGCTCTCGATTCAGAGGTTGTAGGCAGGTTTTCACTTTTCATCCTAGATCATTCCTTAAACAAAGGGGTCTTTTAATTCGTTTTATTCAAACTGTTTAAGTGCCATTTGGCATTAGAACATCATATCAAAATGCCGCTTCGTCTTTGAAAGTCACTCAACTGCTTTTTTTTAAATAGTCACTGCCAAACTCAATTTTTGCATGTAATTGGTGATATTTCAAATTTTTAAATAGATCGTGGTTTCAAATTACTGCACTGGTCACCTTAAACTGATCATCATCGGGAAAGGAATCATTACCATATTATTGCTGGAAGATATAAACAAACAGTCTACACATATATAACTCGGAGAGAAAGCAGACAAAGATGAGAGAGATAATACAAACAAAATATTAAACATGCAGGATAATATTTTAAAAAGGGGGTTTCTTTTAGAAAAAGCAGCACATTGATCATATCTGAGTATACGTATATATATACGTATTAATTTCTCACGGTTGTGTCGGCAACGGAGGCCATTTGCCGAACTTAGGGTGGTGAATGTATTTAGGAGGAAGAGGCGGAAACTTTGGAAGTGGTGGAAGTGGCGGACATGGCTTCTTCGGAAGCACCACCGGTGGTATGTATACTGGTACCGGCGGAGGACATGGCTTCTTCGGAAGCACCACCGGTGGTATGTATACGGGTACCGGCGGAGGACATGGCTTCTTCGGAATCACCACCGGTGGTTTGTATACTGGTACCGGCGGAGGACAAGGCTTCTTCGGGATCACCGGTGGCACGTAGATTGGTGGATGCTCTATCTTCGGCGGCGGCTTGTAGATTGGAACCGGCGGTGGAAGCTCTATCTTCGGTGGTTTAGGCGGGCACGGTTTCTTTGGCGGCTTGTGGATTGGTACCGGCGGTGGAAGGACTATCTTCGGCGGCGGCTTGTGGACTGGAACCGGTGGTGGATCAACTTTCTTCGGCGGTTTTGGCGGACAAGGCTTCTTAGGCGGTGGTTTGTGGACTGGCACCGGCGGTGGAAGCTCGATCTTCGGCGGCTTAGGTGGGCATGGCTTCTTGGGGATTGGCGGTGGCTTGTGTACCGGAACCGGAGGTGGGTGCTCTACCTTTGGTGGCGGCTTGTAAACGGGAACCGGAGGTGGGTGCTCGACCTTTGGTGGTGGCTTGTAAACCGGAACCGGAGGTGGGTGCTCTACCTTTGGCGGCGGCTTGTAAACCGGAACCGGCGGGGGACAAGGCTTCTTAGGAACAGGCGGTGGTTCGTGAACCGGGACAGGTGGGGGAAGTTCCACCTTTGGGGGTGGCTCGTGAACTGGGACAGGTGGGGGAAGCTCTACCTTTGGCGGTGGCTCGTGAACCGGGACAGGTGGGGGAAGTTCCACCTTCGGGGGTGGTTCGTAAACCGGAACCGGAGGTGGGACCTCCACGGGGGGAGGTGGGCAAGGTTTCTTGAATTTAGGAAAGGGTGGAAGCTCCAACGGTGGAGGTAAAGGGAAAGGATGATCAAATCCCTTAAAAGGAGGGAACTTAGGCATATGCCAAAAGAATTTCGAAACGCAAAGTTCCGGTGAAAATTTCAGATTTTGTTTGAGACCCAGAACGTGTTTATCTCCGGATTTCGATAAAAACACAATCTTGGTGGATTCAATGCCGTCGTGAGCCGGGCAAGGGGTTCCCGCCGCACTGTGAAGCTGAGCGTAACACTCCTCCTTTAAGGCTCCGTCGTGGGAGACAATGTCATGAGGAATATTTAGACCAAACTTTCCTTCGTCGTCAATGTTTCCGGAACCTTTTGTAACAAAATGGCCTTTATTTACCTTGCACTCAATCGTCACTCGGAGTCCTACAACAAGAATAATAATCAAACATTGCTCAAACAATCACAAAAAAAAAATAAAGAGATGAAGCAATATATATTATGAATATGTGGTTACCTGAGAATGCATGGGGGTTTTTGATCTTGCTCTCGGCGTAACCGACAACTTCGACGACACGAGCGAGAGAGAGAGACGCTGAAAAGAGAAGTGCCACGAGGAGGAGGAGGCACGGAACCGAGCCTCGAGGTTCGGGTAAGATCCTCATTGGGATTCTCACCCTCTGTGATCTCTGACACACTACGTACTCTTTCGTTCCCTAAAAGTATAAAGTATATAAGAAGAAGGAAACTGTACGATATCTAAGGTTAAGTATTAGTAGAGAAGATGATATGATTATAGCGAGACTCCATCTCGTTTATATAATGGTCTTATCACAGGTTTTAGTTATTATTACTAAGCTTTTTATCCCTTTATTTTACCAACAATAATTGGATTCGGCGGTTTCTTTTATTTTGTGTTATTTTTTTTTAATTAATGTCATGTTCCATCTTCTAACTTTCGTCTATATATACGGCCATAGTTTATCATACTTTTCATGCAGGGTGGTTGAAGCAATTTGACTTTCCTATTTATCTTTTTATTAGACAAATCCATTCAGATTTACTTTTTGTTTTCCCTAAATGACGTTTTTTCAAAAGACAATTTAGAACCTTTTCCCCCCTAAATACACACTGTCGACCTTTTATCACAAGAACCTAATTTGATCCATAAATATATATATATATATATTTAACGTTTTTATGGTCTGTGTGTGATACAGCCTATAATGAAAAAGTAATGCATGCAGAGGCTGCAGGATGACCATGCATATATTGTAATATATTTTGATTTGTCTCGCAGACACGGTATAATTTATGTAAGAAAAGCAAATGAAATAATGAATGTGTATATAAATACGTGCAAACCAACCCCAGATTGAAGCGAATCACATTATGGTTAGAAGTGAAACTTTAATATTTATGGAAAGAAAAAAAAATGATAGTCACACTTCTTGTGCTTCTTGTCCCGGCCCCTCCTGGCCTCATTAATTATCCTACTTTTTATTGTTATAATCCATGTAAGATTTTATATATACTGTATACATACTTGGTTATAACTATGTTGGGCATGCAGCCTGCTGCCATGATTTACCTTTGTAACTAGAACGTACCGTACATAAATCAAAATGATTAGATATACTATCGAATTTGGTTAGAGAAGAGGTTTGATTTATTGGCATTTAGTTAGATGGGGAACGATAAGTTAATTTTTGTCATCAGTCTTTAAAGTATTTGAAGCTGGCAAGGCCCATCGTCCTACAATCAAACTTAGCCAGCTCAAAAGCCTAGTATTTTTTTTTTCTTTCTTTTTTAGGAAAAAGATCTAATATGAATCTCGTTTTCTTCGAAACGAAAAGCAGAGTCGAAAACCCACTTAAGAAGGACGAAAGCTTTGCAAACCCGATACCTTTTGGTTAACTAATCTAATTAACTGATCAAAATGATAATCAAGTAGTGTTGTCCAATAATCTGATTAGTAGTCTTCATCAATTGATGCAAAATTAGCAAAGTTGATATCACTAATCCACATGAGTGATTGTCTTTGAGAGTAAATATATAGTCCGACTTCTTTCGAATATAGAGAACTAATTGTAAACGAATATGATAAGTTTTGTTCCGGAATGTATTATGAGGAGTATTTAACAAACTGACAGGGCGAACTAGTAATTCTAAAATGTCATTGTATGGTTACTGGTTGAGTCAAGTTATATAGGAGAGACATCATTATGCATCATTGCCATATTAAAGCTCTACCTACCCATCCACGCCCATTAATACGATGGCTTTGGACAGTTGGACAATATAAGAGGCTCAAGTTGAAAGATATACTCATATCAACCTTCCGGTAATGTGTACAGATTAAATTCTTGCATACTGTACATTGTCACCAATAAGGCCCATTTCTTAAATGTAAGAACATGTAATAAATAGCATAATTGGGTAGATCGATGAGTATTGTCAAAAGCTCTAAGCGATTATGCTTCCAATTTTATACAACTGTAAAGGTATAAAAGTCATTTACAGATTTAAGAAACAATTGTTTGATAAAAGAATTTAAGTGTTGTATTCGTTATATGTGTATACAAAATTCAATTTTTCGTTTAAAACAATCAATGTAGTATGTAGTATGTACATGCATGACTTCTTAAAGTACGGACAGGATTCTGACTCAACACATATAACCGACGGCGAAAAGATTAATTGATCACTAGAAACAATCGTAAATTGATCATCAAGGAAGGTAAATCCCAACTTAATTAAGTGGCAACAATAAATGCGGGCTGACAAAAAAACGTAGCAAACAAGAAAAATGATATAGTTTTGGGGCAGCCAAGGACATAGTCCCCACATGGTGTGAGTTTTGCGATATAATGTTTGTTAGGTGAAATGCGATAAATATGTGAACTGTATATGGTTCCACATTGATTGATCAACGAAAAATAGTTTATGTATATTATAAAAAAAAAACGAATTGTTTTATGATTCTGAGACGAACGCAAGAAAATATCCCAAGATCTAGATGTTGACAGATTCTCTGGTATACAACTGCACTGTTTGTATAAACTCAGAGATATGTAGTATATATAGTCGCACTCTGTAACGCCTTTTACTAGTAGAAGTAAACACAAAGGTTGATGTCCAAAATGAATTGCAGGGACGGTTTGATATGAGGTCAAAATGTGAGAATACGTAATAGAAAATGTTAGTGAGGGTTTAACAAAAGCAATGAAAAACAATGCCATCTCATCCTGAACTGGTTTCTGACAATGTCTCCACGCGGGAAAGCATCCATAGGAATGTAAAAGGAATAAATGGACCAAGAGACTTTTACTAGTAAAAGTAAACACAAAAAATTGATGTCCAAAATTAATTGCACGGACGGTTTGATATGAGATGAAAATGTGAGTACATAATAGAAAATGATACTGAGGGTTTAATAAAAGCAATGAAAAACAAGATAATCTGAATTTCCGATGTCAAATGCCATAAAAAGTAAGTAATGAATTCCTGAATCGGATCAAACCAGCAGATCCCTTTCTCACCCAACAGTACAAACACAACAATTCCAACCCAAATCTAACGATAAGACACACACACAACATGTTATCAAAAATCACAAACCGGAGAGACAAATTTCTACCTCTTTCCAAAAGAACCGAGGAGGTGGAGAGCGAGACAGAGGAGAGTTGGCAGAGATATATGCTAGACTATATATAGCTTAGTAGAAAATACATTTTCAATTTACTGATGAATTCAAAGTAATTACAACGAAATCCAAGCGTGTGAGCTTGCAAATTCCAATCAAGCCCAATCCAATTTCTTAAAAGGTAACTAACGAGTCCTTATTATATACCCAAGGCCTATGTACAAAAAGAAATGTATAACAACTAAATCTTTCCATGTTGACCTTTTTTCTCTAGCACTCTTTCCTCTCTTCACGCTTGTCTATATCTATACCACCTTGAAGCATTGTTGCTCATTTACCTCCAATTATACAGTTTTTAGATGAAGCCAAAATCACACTAACAACTATCAACACCACAAGTACGGCTCACCCATCTTTCTAAATATTGTAAAAGATCATAAATCCAGCGCCTAAACACTCAGCCGCTAATTCAAATCTTTTTTTTATTCTCAAAATGACTAAAAGTTGTACCAAATGTAGATAGAGTGAAATGCATATTGTGATTGCATATACACCGCCGTTAGTCTTGAGGTAGTCAGAAGAATATCAATGATGCCACTTGTCCAACATTCTTGGTGAAATTGTGGACAGTACGCCCTTGTTTCTGCAAATTCTTTTACATACTGTTTTATGTTCAAATAATATCAAATAATAAAAGTTATGTTAGTCTTGATAACATACGTAAGCGAATAAAAAAAATACTTTCATTTATAATTTTTCATATAACATAAAATTGTTACATAACAAAACAATAGAATTAAATTAATATTCTAAAGTGTAATTTAAAATTTATTTTTTCTTAACTTTTTCCATAAAATTATTAATTAAAATTTTAAAACCAATATTCTTTAATAATTCTCTTTTGATAATAAGATAAAGAAATCACTCAAGTGAAGACAATTTTTTTTTATCATTTTCAGCTTTAAAAACTCTTCTCAAACAAATGCAACTGAAACTGAAACATTAATAATGTCCTATATCCCTAATTCTTCAATAATATTAATTATTTCTACTTTTTATTTAAATGCTATTGACTTATTGTTTGCTTTTTTTTAAAATGTAAATCCATATTTAGGTTTAAATAAAGTAGACTCATATCATATTTGAAACCTATATATAATTTAATAATAATAATATAATGCTCTAAAATTTTCTTTAAAAAGGGCATCCACTCAACCACAACAGTAAATAAGAAAATGAAGTGTTTAGATTATATCTATTCTATTTAGTAGACTAAACAAATTTCCCCAATATAATTTCCAAATCTTTTAAGAGAATAGATTTTAAGAGAATGTATTGAAACTGAAAATTTTAGAAGATTTTGTGATTATTTTAAAATTTTATGTTATTCAATTAATGATTTTTAAATATTTTATCAAAATTGATGTTATTAAATATGAAATTTATATAAAACCAATAAAAATCACTTAAACTTTTAAATTATTCAATCAAAAATTTGTAAAAACTAAATCAAATCTATTATTATTGAAAATATTTTAAATAATAGATTTAAAAAAATATTAAGTATTATTAAATAATTTAGTGGAGTTTGTTAGTTAAAAATATAAAAATTAAATTTTATTATTTAAAGTAAAATTTCATATAATTTTAATATCTAATCATATCAATTTTTTCAGTTCATATAAAATCATCTAAAAATTTATTAAAATTCAAATATTTTTAAATTCTCTAAAATTTCAGTTTTCCATAATTACGACTTTGGGCACAAAATGGTTAACTTAGTAATTTGACACGAGTCAACCAAAACCGGTCCTATTTTTTTAATCTCCGATCAGATATTCCCATAAATTGTTGCCGAGAAAATCAGAGACAGAAAAAGAAGAAGCCGAAAGGGAAAAATCGAGCATGAAGGAGACGAAGACTCCGATTCACGTGGTGTGGTCATGGGTAAGGAGGCAACCTCCGAAGGTGAAGGCTTTTCTCGCGGTGGTCACTGGCATGGCGGCTTTGGTTCTGCTCAGATTCATTGTTCACGACCACGACAATCTCTTCGTTGCCGCTGAAGCTGTCCATTCCATCGGGATCTGTGTTCTCATTTACAAACTCATGAAGGAAAAGACCTGTGCCGGTAAAATTCAAAACTTTCCTTGTTGAGTTGTGTTCGATCACCTCCAATTTTAGGGTTTTTGAAGCAGCTTCTGTTGGTATATATTTGTATGCTCTTAGCAAAATTACTTGTCAACGTCACAACTCCTTTGTCGAAATTTTGGGGCTTTGATCAGAATTCCATTGGTTTATCAGTATAGTCTGTTCCCGGAAGTAGCTTTTAGTCATAGTTTGTAGAATCATCATCTTCATAATCACGGGCTCAGTTTTGCAATTTACGGTTCAAAAGTGTGTACCTTTTGTGCTTTTTACTCATATTATTGTGTGAATGATGTTGCAGGATTGTCATTGAAATCTCAGGAGCTTACGGCGATATTTCTAGCTGTTAGGCTGTATTGCAGCTTTGTAATGGAATATGATATACACACTATTCTGGATTTGGCAACTTTGGGAACAACTCTCTGGGTTATATATATGATCCGATTTAAGTTAAGGGCTAGTTACATGGAAGATAAAGACAACTTTGCACTCTATTATGTGGTAAGTCATGTGCTTTTGATCCTCAAGTTACCACTCGTGCTGGGTATAAGCAACTAAAAGTCGTTGTTATGAGTTAAGCTTATATTGTAAGGTCAGAGCGAAAGGGTAGGCGGTAACGATTTTCCAATATTTAATGTGCAGCTTGTGCCCTGTGCTGTGTTAGCTGTGTTGATCCATCCATCGACCTCTCACAACATATTAAACAGGATTTCGTGGGCATTATGTGTATACCTTGAAGCTGTCTCAGTACTGCCTCAGCTGCGAGTGATGCAGAACACAAAGGTCACATCTTTATTTCACTAGTCCTTTTTTTGTTGTTTCACCCTCTCATAAATAATCTGAACCTATTTGGTGGTTTCAGATTGTTGAACCGTTCACGGCGCATTATGTTTTTGCACTTGGAGTAGCAAGGTTCCTTAGCTGTGCCCACTGGGTTTTACAGGTTAGCTTTGATCATAAACCGGAAAGCAAGTCCCTCTACTTGACAAGTGTTGTTGGTTTCTAACTTGAAAGTGCTCTGTGTGATGTTATCGAAACAGGTTGTGGACACGCGGGGACGATTACTTGTCGCATTGGGTTACGGATTGTGGCCATCAATGGTTCTCATCTCCGAAATTGTTCAAACTTTCATCCTGGCTGATTTCTGTTACTACTACGTCAAAAGGTATCTTTAGTCCTTCCCTCGCACTCTTTAGCTATTATTATGATACAGTAAAGTCAACTCAAAAAGGGTTAAACCTTTGAATCTTCTTCTGCAGCGTCTTCGGAGGGCAGCTTGTTCTCCGGCTACCGTCTGGAGTAGTATAAGTTAAAAGATAGAATACGCATCCAATGATGTAACATCCAAATGAGCTCGCCGGAAATTCTAATCGGAGACAGTTCAATTGTGCTTTACCTCCGATCGTTTGTGTGTCTGAGGTGACGAATTAATTTTACTGTGTTGTATATTTTTGAACATTGAGGGGGTGGGGCTTTCACGTCTTTCCGGTTACTTATATTTGCTTTTGACAAGGACAATGTTTGAGAAATAAGCTACTATCGAACCTAATTCGCATTCAGAAATCCAACTAGTATTTGAACGGTTGAATAATAGAAAACAAGCAAATAATAAGAAAAAACGTCTCAAAAATTGAAGTTTATTATCAAGGAATATAGTCGTCGGAAAGTGCGATACTGATGCTTTAAAAGAGAATCTCGGATGATAATAAACAGCGCAACACAGAGGTTAAAGATCTGAAAGTGTTTTGCCATTGATGAAGTTGATGACTTTAGTGGCAGTCTCCTCCAGCGCCGAAGTCACAACTGCCAAGTTCTGCAAGAACTCTTCTGCGGTGGGTTTATCCCCGTCGACCAGATCGGTCACAGCTTTTAAGAACATTACTGGCACTTTCAGAAGATCAGCAACGTAGGCCACAGCAGCACCCTGTAAAGCCCAGACCCCAAAAAAGAGCTTCAAGAAAACTGCATGTGATTTTCTTGCCTAGTTACTGCTTACTAGAGAGAGAGAGAGATGTTAACATCAGATTACCTCCATGTCCTTGAGCGTAGCGTCATTGGCGATGATCAATGATTCGTCTTGAGTGGACATGTCCAACGAGTCACCAGTAGATAACCTGCCAATCTGATAACACCAAATCCTAATGAAGAATATGCATGTGAAAACTGAGATACACAGTTTCGACTCTGTTATATATACCTTCAAACTGAGTTCCTCGAGGAGATTGGGGGTTGAGAATGCTTGACGAAGACCAACTCCATACAGATCAAACATCTGAAAAAAAGATACACCAACATCATTAGTTCATTACTCAGCAACTCGCGAACTGAAATGGGAAGGAGCAAGAGCTTACCGGAATCGGTATTCTTCTATCATGGAACACAACATCAGATACAACGAACACATCGCCTATGTTGGCTCCTTTGACCTGAATATGTTCAGCCAAGCAGCAGTTTAAATAAACCCAACATCCACATATTGTATGCCGGAGAGAGATTAGATTGAATCAAGTTCATTAGACGAGTAACAAAATCAAACCAAAACATGATCAACTATCAATGTACCTTGAAGCCACCACAGGTTCCGGCATTGATTATAATGTCAGGTTGTAATGCTTGTATAGAAGCAAAAGTAATGAGAGAAGCCGGAACAGTTCCGACACTATCGATCCCTGGAGAGAGACATCCCAAAGAGCTCATTTTCATCAAAAGCATAACATCAAACCGAGAGAGAGATTCAAAGGCTATTCTTATCAAATCAAAAACTTGCCTAACGCTGCATCTTTTCCGGGGCAAACTACATTGATTCGAAGATCTTTATGCACCCCGTGATACAGGACCCAGGGCAATCCTTTACCAAGCCTGTAACTTTTTCTTTGTTAAATTTCTCAAAGACCAAAACAAGCAAAATCAGTAATCGGAGAGAGAGAGAAGGAGCTCTTAACGGCGAATCAGTGGTTTCTGAGAGTCCGAACTTGTTCACCAAAGGTAGAGCCTCCGCTTGCATAGCTGCAGCGCCATCAGAATTCGGAAATGATAAAGTAAGAAGAAGAAGCAACCCGATCCATCGAATATCGGTAGATGAAGAAAGAGCAAAGTACCGATGACGAAGACGACTGTGGAGATCGGCCTACGGCTTTCCGATTGAGCTTTCTCGATGTCGTTTGATCCATCTCCGGGAGGAGCCATACCTCTTCCGATTCTCTCGTTACGCGTTCGATTCCCAGGAGCAATCCGAGAATCGACAAGACACGGCACGAAAATCCAGCGAATACGATACCTTTTATGTATTTCCCTTTTGGTCCTCGAGGTATTTTTATTCTTATTATTATTGTATTACTGTCTGCTAATGACCATTATTAATTGGTGTTTTGGTATACACAATTACATTAATTAAAAGAATTTACAGTGTTAAGTGGGATCTTTCAAGTAAAATAAAATTCTGTCAAACAACTAGAATTTTCATTTTCGTCAACTACAATGACTACTATATGTTTAAATCTGCTTCAACCTTAATAGTAGTAAACGAATTTCACAATCATACATAATTCTACTGCAAAACGTTTTGCATTTTTTTCACACCAAAGCATATAACAAGAGATTTATTGATCATCATGAAACTCATCACCTCGAGCTTTTTATTCTGTCGAGTGTCCACATGGCCTTCTCCCTCGAATACATCAACTCATCGACTCGCAAAGGCAAATGCTTCTGTTGTTAATTTTGATAGAAATAGATTATGTATTTTCATGTAACTATGTATGTCGATTGGTTAAGATTTTTTCAATATTTAAGTTGGAATTTTCTAGCTCCTTGAATTTTGCGATCGTTTTTCTCATTCATGTGTTGGAAAAGATAAAGCAACGTAACTCTAAAACGGTTGAGGCTTTTAAGTGTAGACAAATAACGATAGAACTGATATAAAATATTTCGTGAGCGAAGGAGATTTATTGGCGTGCATTTCGTTACCTACCAAAGTAAAAGTAGTTAACATACATGATTTGAAACAAAATAACATTGCATCCCATGATTAAAAAAAAAAAACAAGGCATGAGTATAATCACCACTCCCATACGAGGAAACCACAAACTTTGAATCTGTATAAGAAAAGAAATGAAGATGCTTTTTTCTTATCCATCCAAAAGTAAGATGGTTTCCTCAAATATCTAAAACTTAGGGGGGTAATTAAAAACTCAAAACCATAACCTTTTGTTGTTGTTGTTTCTCCCCATTTGAACGACTATTAATTAAATAGAAGGCTCGGCTGTTTCAGTCGGAGGCGGCGGCAGAAAGGTGGAGGAGGTGAGCGGCTCGTGAACCACCGAGTTAGAGGACACCGAGATCGGACAACCCTCAAGCTGCAACATTATACTCCCCAATATCTCTGCCATTGTTTTTTTAAACTCCTCTTCTTTCACCAACTTTCCATCATCTCCATTCACCATCTTCAACGCTTCCATTATCATATCATCCATCTTTTAAAACAAGCACATTTAACTAATCAATGTCGTTCAACACAAATATCACCCACGACTAAAACATCTTCAAATGTCATGTTTCTTTGCCTTTGCATGCTAGTCTTTTTTCTTTTAAAGAAAATATTCTAGCAGTCAAAAGAACTATTTTCTTGCGTTTACAAATTGATAAAAATATTTCCTACTGATAACTAGTCGTCACTAAACTATTGAGTATGTAAAATGCAAATGCAAACAAACAACCGAAAAGCCAGAGTATTATTATTTACCTGGGACACCGCACCTATTGGTGGTAAAGTCGCAGATGGTGCAACAGTGTCGAGCACAGCCCGTAGATACTCTTTAGACACCTTACCGTGACGGTCTTTTGGGATTAACTCCAAGGCAACGTTTAATGCCTGCGACCAAAACATTCGCGTGACTAGCTCGTTCCCATCATTTCAAGACTTACACTTCTTGTTAATTATACCTACGCTTGCTAACACATATATGTATGAAAGTTTACCTTATCGAATTCAAATTTATTGGACAAGAGCCTCTTGATACCGCTCCCATCGAAGGTGTTTTCGCTGTGGGCGACAATCACGGGCTGTTCATTGAGACGCTGAGCCACTCTCTCCACGACTCTCTTGAATGCTTCCAAGAATCTTTCCTGAGACACGCTCTTCTCTTTCTTATCTTCTTCATCGAGACAAGAGTCAACGATTGGTTCTATGATGTTGCTCATTACCTGAAACAAGAACTTGGCCTATAAGGTCACTAGTCTCTAGCAACTTATAACATCAAACACGAACTCGGACATAGAATTCAATTGTTTGTGCGTTGTGTATATATATACGTATTTCATTTGTATAAATATGATCGGATTGCACGTCCCGTCCCGTATATATATACGTATTTGTATAAAGCAAGTCTGATGAGGAAGAAATAACTATAGACAAAGTAAATACCCATGGATCGTTGGAAGGAGGCATTCCATGATCAACAGAAAGAGACTGGAGAGCTTTGACGATACAATCACGGAGCGATGATGCTTCCTCGCAACTGGGGATCTCCGAAAAGTAGACGGAGACGATCTCAGATTCGTATCCAGGGCTGCGAATAAACTCCGAGAGATCCTCACCGTCCATCCTGAGGATGACGATGGGGTCGCGTTTCAGACCAGCAGCCATACCCAACAAGATATCTGACAACACTTCTTTGAACCCTGTCTTGCTCACTTTCTCTTGACTCCCATGAGTGAATTCGTTTAAGACCTGTTACTAGCAATTTATTAATGACGTTACAAGTGATGAAAATAAATGTACGGATGAGAGACAGATCGAAGGTTGTTAGTTTAGTCTCGTTGTCTCTTCTTTAAATACACCAAAAACAAAACCAAACCACAAAGTAATAGCATTGGATATATCCAACGAGAAAAGATTCGTATTCGGATTTACTCCTTCTTGGATAATTTTTCAATAAGCGAATCTTAATAAATAACTACGAACTACACATGCATTTGTGTATTTATTCGAAGTCCTCTTGGTCTAATTGACTAATTGATTAGTCCACGTGATTCATGCGAGACACGAAGTAGGTTTAACGTATTGAATGTAATACTGTAGTTTCAGGTTTCAGTGTCGGTAAAAAGAAATTACTACTACCTTCATTTTCTGGGTTCACATCAAACAGTCTTCTTAATTTGTAGAAAAAGAAATGTCTTCGCATATTTTTTTCGAACTTTGAAATTAGAGGACGGCGTTCGATGTTTTCGTAAAATATGGTATAGTTAGGAATAGAATAAGGTATAAATAAGGGTTTTCCTTATCAGAAAAATACAGTGGGATATTGTAAAGAAAAAAGTGTTACGAAGGCTTTGTATGATGTATAAATACGAAATATTTTAAAACAGCCACATGATAATATTTAATAATAACTAGATGTTTCAGGCATGAGCGAGAAGAACGACACGAGGGGCTAATTTGTGGTATGGTAGAGGATAAGGTCACCGACCAAATCAATTATCATTTATTTAAATCAACTAGTACTTAAATATTATTTTTGTACCTATTCCCCTACAACAGCAAGAGGAAGTAGAATGTATCCACCAAAACACTAGGCAAGTATCAAGAAGATAACTGTAATAAAATGTTGAGATTCTCTTTTAACCTTGTCAGTAATATAATTACGCATTCTAGTTTTCTTAATTTACAAATGATACGAATACTGTATATGACCATTCCTAAGATCATAAAGAAGAGCTTTTCTTTTTTTTAGATGCTAACATTTCTAAGTAGTAAAAAAAAGAAAACAAAACTAAATAAATGCGCGCTATGTGCGATAGGGCGAACCATCATATCACGATTAATATAAACTTGATAATAAAGAAGTTGGAAAAAAGTTCACCTCGGAGTAGATATGATCGGAATCAGAGGAAGTGCCTTGAGTAGGCAAACCAAGGATGGCGCCGATATCAGCAACGGCGGGCTGTAACTCCGTCACGGAGAGCTCACCATCTTCGTCTTGATCTAACTGTTGAAACTTGTGTTCCACAAATTTGTCGAATACTTTCTCGTTTTCGACCAGCTCAACTATGTCCGACCCATCAAGTACTTGTTGCTGTTGTTGCTGGTGGTTGTTGCTTCTCATGTCCATTTATGGAATCTACGCTTCTTCTTTCTTTTGCTTTTGCTTTTTTAGTCGCGAGAGTCCTGTGAGAGATCCCGTGAGGACAGCACGAGAAAAGGAAGAATAGAAAGTTGACACACACACCAAAAGAAAAACTCGTCTTTTTTTTTTTTTTTTTTTTTTGTTCGGGTTTGGTTCGGACTTGCCTGTTCTTTATATGTATATATAACGATGAGAAATATATTACTAGTTGCTAGTTGGAAATTTAATACAGAATCTTTTAATTTTTCTTGGTACTTATCACTTGTTTCATATAATCTCAATTCATTTTATATGTGTGGATAGGTCACCACCAAACATATAGTAACTTTGAAAGCTTTATTAAGTCTTTTTTTTTTTCTCCCCACCTACTATTAAAACATTTTTTAAAAGGCTAATTTGATATTCATTGATTTTACGTTTGCATTTTTGTCCATCTTTGTAATATGATCGTATTTTGTTCTTATGATTACAGGTAGACCATATGCAGACTTTTAAAGTTCATCTAGCTGTGGATATATTTCGTATATATATTTCTTTAGAAACATCGCAAAAGATGTAAATATAAATTGTGTTGCTCGAGACTAATTAATTGACTTTATTTCGATTATTTCGCTAAAAGAAACTCCGTCTGGTTTTTTATCAGCTAATTCCCATTTGTAAGAATTCTATACATAACAAATTACGCGAACAAGAAAATCAAACATTTTTTTGGTCAGCCTAATTCAAACCTTCCTTTCATCTCACAATTTGGATGAAAAAATTACTTCCCCATGGGGAGTGTTAGGTTCGCTATGTGACTTCAGTAACCGACAAGAACATCGTAAAGTACACGATGTTTAGTCATAATGCCTGTGCCGTTTTAATCAATAGTCGGTTGCTTTTTAGCTTTTTTCAAACTAGAGTATTCCGATATATGATTTCGAAAACTTGTAATTACTTTATATTAATTGGAAAAAAAAAAGAGAACTTCTCCAAAACAGGTAAAAAAATCATTAAATTACACACGATCGTGACGTTTTGTAAACAGCAAACTCAATGGAATCTTGTGACGTTTTGTAAACAGAAACCCCATGAAACCTTGAAGGTAGGAGCGCATCAAACTTGTATCGATCAACTAATGTTGGTGGTTTGCAAATTCACGTCAAAGACAGTTGTACACTGAAACCATTATCACAAGATGAATTGGTATGTCATAACATGCTTTTAATCTCTTGAAAATTACTAATACTCGATTAAGATGACCAATCAGTCATTTGTTTTGCATGGACGTGATGAATACAAAAACCTGCTGAAAAAGTTGAGGAATTATAAACAATGATTCATAGACTTCAGATAAGTGCAATTAATTGAGATCACTGTGAAAAAGGATATTAGTTGTTTTTGCATTCTTTTTCATTTTCATCTCTTATTATTTGTACTGGAGATTTCACTAACAACTAACAAGTGTCGATCGACTCATGAGAGATGATTTATTGGATAATGCATAAACCGTAAATAACCTTATAAACAAGAATCATGTCAGTCATACAAATTCTATATGGCAATTAGATCGGTGATGACGTGGCAGTCGTCCATGAAAAGTCATGGAGACACTTGTTGATTATTTAACACTCTGTGTTCTTCCATCATTGGTCGACATCTCTGTGCTGGCGTAAAGCAAAATGGTGCCGTCTCGCCATTACAAAGTCAAAGCGGGGCGGTTATATATATATATAGTATTTGATTTATTATATACATATTTTTTTTTCCCGAATGTTATTTTAAAATTTAATTCTTGTTTTGTAAAGACTATTGTTTTATACGTTTTAATAAAATCTTAACCGGGCTGACCCGACCCAGCCCAATTCAAGTCAACAACAAACGAATCGATCAAACATGTTAATCGGGTTGACCCGACCCAGCTCAATTCAAAGCCCATAAAATCCATTCGGTTTGACCCCCCCCCCACATACCAGACGTATATTTTAAAGTTCGATGTTGGGGTTTGGCCCTAATTAAACACTACGTAACACAAAAGATCATCAATTCATCATAGACGACGACAATAAATATACAAAAGTTTTGTTTAGTCGAACTAATATAATTAGTTAGTTTGAAAATCGTGGATAATAGAAGCCCCAAATCCCATCTAATCCAAGCCCACAAAAGTCAGTATAAATCCAGTCTAGGGCTTCTATCTATAACCTAATAATCCTTCAAACAGTTGAAGGTTTTTGCATCTCCAACCATGGCCGACCAGAGGAAGGAGCACAAGGAATCCGATGAAATTTTGGTACTCACATTGTATTTTTTTTGCTAGTAGAAGCAACTCTTTCAAAAAAGAGGAAAATATGTGGGTGTAATACTATTACACTGAGATCTTTTTCTTTTTAATTTACTTCTTCAATCACAGATGGTTAAACATCACATTTATGTGTATAATATTTTTTTTTATAAATTAATAATTTTAGGATTATGAATTTTATAATAAATTTATAGAAATACTAATTTATAAATTTATTATTTGGTTGGTAAATTTATTTTAAAACTGTTTTTTATTAATTTAATAGATATTAATTTATAAATGTTTTACTGTTTTATTATGTGTGTTTTAAACAACCCATAATTTGAAATAGCAATTTTAATTATGTCACAATTTCATACTAGAAATTTCCTTTTTAGTGATTCGCAAGAAGATTTTTATTTTAAGTTAGAATTTGTAAAGTCAAACTCATATTCAGTAATGACAGGTATACAAAATTGATATTTTAAATAACAAATGAATATATTGTTATACAGTATTTTTAATTTGTAATTTCCCTTTTAGTGTTACCAAAGATAAAGTGTAACTGGCAGCTTTAACATTTATCATATGGTGATTTAAACTAGAATTTGTGGTGTCAAACTTATATTCAGTTGTGACAAGTATAGAAACTTAAAGAACAAATAATGTAATCTAATGAATATTTCATTGTACGGTATTTTTAAGTAGTAATTGGTCCTGTTTTATTTTGCTAGGTTTTGAAACTTAAGGGAATTTTCATTGTGCTAATAAAAAATTCATGTTGTACTTCTGTTTGTGTAGGTTCAACAAAAAATTTGGTTTTGGAACCAATCAATAAACAGCTTCATGTGAATTCCACAAATGTGTAAATGTTTGAATATATTTCTTCTAACAACTAGCAAAATGAGCTATTCTCTTGAATATGTATGATTAGTGTTCAATCTATTCTTTTTTGGTGACAAATTTTAAATTTATCTTATTTATAATTTTTCTTTTTCTTCTACAAGTTTGAGTATGTTTATTTGATAGGAGTGTAGCAAATTTACATCAATCCCAATTCAACAATCATCCGTATAAAACCACAAAAAGTTAATAAATTATAAAACTTGAAAAAGCAAGTGAATCTAATTCTCGTATAGAATTTATATTACTGACATATATAGAATTTATATTACTTACCTGTATATTATTTATAAAGTTTAAGCAAGAATTTTGCACATACATAGCACTAGCTCTAGCTGACACAATAGACCCCTTAGCTGACACATTACCTCTGACCCGCAAGCCGGATGGTGTTGATTCTTGTCATCTAGCTTTCAGATGAAAGTATCCACCACATGAATTCTGCAAAATGTGTATTTACCATCATCCAAAAGGTGAAAATATCAAAGACTTCAAAGAGTATAAAAATTTATCACATGGTGCATATTAAATGGATCTAAATACTCTGACAAGAACATCTTACCAACCGTTGTTGCGGTAACAAGTGCAATTGTCCATGAAAAGCCCCTTGTTGAGATGACGTAAAACTGCAAGAGTAAAACTGCAAGCCTGTGCAGTTTGGTCACTACTAAGTCATAGCCGACCAGCTTATATATGGATTAGGCGGTCCATTACGTTATTTATAACATTGACGTTATCATTGATTAAGAATGACATATTCATGATTTACTTGAAATTACATGTTCAAAAAAGTAAACATATCATATTATAATTAGTTCCTTCGAAAATCGTGAAGCCCAAAATCCCATTTAAGAAAAGCCAAGCCCACAAAAGTCAGACTTATATATAACCTAATAATCCTTCAAACAGTTGAAAGGTTTTTGCATCTCTAACCATGGCCGATCAGAGGAAGAGGCACAAGGAATCAGATGTAATCATCTTCTTCTTCTTCCCTTATTCTTGTGTCTTTCGTCATCAACCGCTTTTGACTGGACCTTGTTTTTCTTTTGGATCTTTTCAGGTCCAAGCAACCCCGACACAAGAGCAGGAGAATCGGAAGAAGCAGAAGAAGGTCGGATCCTAACCTAACCGCGACACACTGTTGGGATTCGTTTACATTCTTCGATCCCATATGATTTTGGGCATTAATTAATCAGCGATATGCTTTTAGTGCGTGAACATTTTACTAATTTAGGCTCTTAACACCTACTCCTTCCTTCCAGTTTGAAACGAACCTGGAGGAGGATTCAGATACCTTAGAGCGTGAGAAGCAGCAGGAGCGCAAGTATCTCCAGAAGCTCAAGAAGCAGAAGAAGGTTGGTTTTGTCCTAATACCCTGCTTAGTTGCTTTTGGATCGTTAGTTTGTCGTCCTCATGATTCGGATGACTTGCTCAATTTTTTGTTCTAATTATACGGCAGAAAATAGCTGAATTAAGAAATCTTCTAAAGGAGAAAACCGAAATTATCAAAAAATTAGAGAAGAAGACAGATGTACCGGAGATTTCATTGAAGGTATGTGTGTTTTTCATTTTAATGTTGTATGAGTTGTTATGCTTTTGTATTTGTCGAGGAATGATACCCGTACACTGTATAAATGATGTATTTTCTAACCATGTCTGTACTGTAGGAGAAAGAAACGCCAAATAAGGAGTGCGTTTTCGAATGTAAAGATGCATCTTTGAAGAAGAACCCGCAGACCATTCTCGTAAAGGGATTCAACTGTTCCTTTCCTCGGGATGAAATCAAGAGCGCATTGAGAAAGCACTTTAGTTCTTGTGGACCGGTCACTGCGATTTTTATTCCCTTTCATTGTAAAACCGGTCGTCCCATGGGGTTTGTGACTTGTTCCTCCAGTTGCTGATTTTAAATGCAAACCATATCATTTACTCTCTCTCTCTCTCTTGTTTCCTTTCAGATATGCTTTCATTAACATGGGACAAGAGGCAGAAAAGGCATTAAAACTCAATAGAAGTTGCTTGGAAGGGCAGATTCTTTCTGTTTCGATGGCAATAAAGAGTGAAGAATACGGTGGCTATAGAGATCTTCATGGTTGTGAACGTTGTCACAAAGCTCATATGAAGCGCGTAATTGAACGCTTCCATAATAGTTTCGGTTTCCGACCCCCCTCGGGTACTTTAATTATTTTCTTTGTTATTGAATCTTCTTCAAAAGTAATTAAGTAACTTTTGTGGTTACTTTTCGTTCTTGATGCTACAGATGTCCGCAAGTCCCTTTTCCCTCGCAAGTCCGCCGCTAGGGGAATAGCCAACATCCACGGCTAATGGTGGTTGTTCTTGATTTGTCACCTTTGTAACATGATCGTATATGTTCTTATAATTAATGGATCCTTTTTTCGATTATAGCCTACGTACGAGTACAGTCAAGGTCAACGCCTCATGGCGTGACATCTTAGTTCCAACAATCTAGCTAATGATTTGACAGAAATGACCAAACTGTTTTCTCTTCTTCTTCCTCTGATCTCACTCTTAATCCAATTACAATGCCTCGTTATCTTTGATTAAAGTATTAATTGTAATCATACAACATTGACGTTATCTTTGATTAAAAATAACGTATTCATGATATACTTGAAATTACATGTTCGAAGAAAGTAAACATATATCATAATATAATTAGTTCGTATGAAAATCGTGAAGCCCAAAATCTCATACAAGAAAGTCGAAGCCCATAAAAGTCAGTATAGGAGCTGCCTATGGCTTATCTGTAACCTTATAATCCTTGAAACAGTTAAAGGTTTTTTGCATCTCTAACCATGGCCGATCAGAGGAAGAGGCACAATGAATCCGATGTACCCATCTTCTTCTTTTTCTTCTGTCTATCTACTTTACACAGTCGTCAACCGCTTTTGACTGGACCTTGTTTTTCTTTTGGATCTTTTCAGGTCCAAGCAACCCCGACACAAGAGCACGAGAACCGGAAGAAGCAGAAGAAGGTCGGATCCTAACTTTACTTAATTCATTGCTTGGTTGGCTATAATTTTCATGAAAATGAAAATCTTCTAATTAGACGCTCCACAGTGTTGAGATTTGTTAGGCCGGTGACCTAGCAACAAGCCGGTGACTTGCGGTAACGAGAGAGAAGAGAGAAAGAGGCAAAGAACGATAACTTAAGTTTTTTGATTGTTGTTCGATAAGGAAACCCTACACAACTGGACCCTTTAAATATCAAGTTCTAATTAAGAAACGACTGAGTTTTATGGAAATAGAAAATACAAAGCCTCTACTTCTATTACAGTCTTCACTCCTTATCCACTTTTACGGTTTACTCCTTCTTCGTGTTTCCTTGCGACTCTTTCTGAGCGATGTCTCTGTTTCATGAATGCCAAAGGAACCGCAAGCTTATCAATACCCCCCGAAGAAGACTCACCTTGTCCTCAAGGTGAAAAGCTGGGTACTACGCTGCAATTCGAGTGAGGGGTTCCCATGAAGCTTCAAACCGAGGTAAGCCTTTCCACTTGATGAGTGCCTCTCCCACGGTGTCACTACGGCGAATATCCAGCACCTCCTCAGGTTCAGTCTGCCATTCCAGAGTTGGCGATAAGATAGCCGGAATAGGTTGTACCTGAGTGGTAGAGGAGACGGCACGTTTGAGCAGGGAGACATGGAAGACCATATGGATGAGGCTGTGTGGAGGAAGCTGCAGCTTGTAAGCCACCGGTCCAATGCGCTGGAGTATCTGGAATGGTCCAAAATAGCGAGGTGCCAGCTTCTCGTTACGACGGGATGCGACGGAAGCTTGCCTGTAGGGGCAAAGTTTAAGGTAGACCTTGTCCCCCACCTGAAACTCTACGTCCCTCCGGTGTTTGTTAGCTGAATGCTCCATACGTTTCTGCGCCTTGTGGAGGTTTCCACGGAGCTCCTCCAAAATACCATCGCGGTCCTGAAGCATCTCTTCAACAGCAGCAATGGCAGTAGGTACGTCACCATAACGTAACATGCGTGGAGGGTCTCTACCATAGAGAGCTTTGAAAGGAGTATCCCCGAGAGATGAGTGAAAGGATGTGTTGTACCAGTATTCAGCCCAATGAAGCCATTTCACCCATGTCTTTGGTTTGTCTCCTGCAAAACATCTAAGGTAAGTTTCAAGACAGCGGTTAACCACCTTTGTCTGACCGTCACTTTGAGGGTGGTAAGCTGTGCTCTTATGGAGCGCAGTGCCTTGAGCAGCGAAGAGAGCAGACCAGAACTGGCTGAGGAAGACTTTGTCGCGGTCGGAAACCATCTTCTCCGGGAAACCATGAAGTCTGACTACTTCTCTCATAAAAACCTCGGCTACTGATTTCGCTGTGAAGGGATGTTTGAGCGAGATGAAATGAGCATATTTACTCAAACGATCCACCACCACGAGGATCACATCAAAGCCGTGAGATATTGGCAAGCCTTCAATGAAATCAAGACTGATATCAGACCATACCTGACACGGAATGGGGAGAGGAGACAACAACCCCGTGGGAGACAGCGTTGAGTATTTGTTGTGCTGGCAAACCTGACAGTTGATGATGAAATCTTCTACATCCTTCTTCATCCCTTTCCAGAAGACCTCACGAGACAAGCGCTTGTATGTCTTGAGTACACCTTCGTGTCCTCCCAAAGCACTCGAGTGGAATTGGTCCAGCACTTTTTTGGTGAAAACAGATCCCCTCGGCAATACCAAACGGCCCTCTTTGAACAGCAAACCCTTCTCAAATGTATATCCTGATTCACCTTGTTCAGCCTGTATAGCAGAGACAAGTTTTTGCAAATCAGGATCCTTACTTACAGTGAGTGCCAATGCCTTCCTGTCTAATGACAGAGGCGCTGTAATGCTGAGGTGAATGAGTTGATGATCGTGAGGTCGGCGTGACAGAGCATCTGCAACTCGGTTTTCTGTCCCTGGGCGATATTCGATTTTGTAGTTTAGCCCCAACAGTTTCGAGGCCCATTTCTGCTGCTCCGAGGTCACTGCTTTCTGATCCAGCAAGTATTGGAGACTCCTCTGATCAGTACGGATGATGCAGTCAGTGCCTGTCAAGTAATGTCTCCACTTGTTGATGGCAAAGACGATGGCAAGTAGTTCCCTTTCGTACACAGATTTCTGTTTCCCTTTTGATGTGAAGCCTTGACTGATAAATGCTATCGGTCTGTTGTTCTGAGATAACACAGCACCAATACCATTACCCGATGCGTCAGTTTCAATCACGAATGGTTTAGTGAAGTCCGGAAGGACTAACACTGGCAAGCTGCTCATCGCTTCTTTCAATTCCAGGAAGGCGAGTGTGGCTTCCGGGCTCCACTTGAAGCTGTCTTTCTTCAACAACTCCGTTAAGGGTCGTGCCTTCTTCCCATAGTTTTTTACAAAATGTCTGTAATACCCGGTGAGACCCAAGAATCCACGAAGCTCGGTGACTGACTTAGGTTTCGGCCACTTTTGCATTGCTTCTAACTTCGCTGGATCCGCCGTTACCCCCTTTCCCGAAATTATATGCCCGAGATAAGCTATTTCCGGTTGTCCAAAAGCACATTTCTTCTTGTTGGCGTAGAAATGGTTCTGTAGCAAAGTTCGGAGGACAGCACGAAGGTGTTGCTGGTGTTGCTCGAGGGAGGAGCTGTAAACCAATATGTCATCAACGAAGACTAAGACAAATCTGCGGAGGAAGGGACGGAATATATCATTCATCACTGATTGAAAGGTGGCCGGTGCATTAGTCAGCCCAAAGGGCATGACTAAGAATTCGTAATGGCCCTCATGAGTACGGAAGGCAGTCTTCTCGATGTCGGATGGTTTCATTCTGATCTGGTGATAACCCGATTTCAGATCGATCTTGGAGAAGATTGTCGCTCCTCGGAGTTCGTCGAGTAGCTCCTCAATGACTGGGATTGGGTAACGGTCTGGAATTGTGCTCTTGTTGAGAGCTCTGTAGTCAACACAAAACCGCCAACCTCCATCTTTCTTCTTGACCAGAATGACTGGGCTGGAGTATGGGCTAAGGCTGGGTTGTATCACCTTCGCTTGCAGCATCTCACGAAGCAACTTCTCGATTTCATTCTTTTGTGCAAAAGAGTACTTGTAAGGTCGAATATTAATAGGAGCTGTTCCCGGTTGCAATGTGATGGCGTGAGCTCTGGAGCGTTGAGGGGGCAGTGAATCCGGCATCTGAAAAACCCTGTGGAAAGCTTCCAAGATCTTAGAGATTTCGACTGGAACCGGAGCAAGTGCCATGTTTGAATCGTCTGCAAACAATGTGGTAAGTTCCAGAAGACACGCGACTTCGCTATCCCCCAAGATTCTCGTCATAGAGTTGAAGGAGACTCCTGTAGTGAGGAGCGCAGGATCTCCCAGCAAGGTAACCCATTGTTGATTCACTTGGAAGCTCAATTTGTATAACCGCCAGTTGATGCGAGTATCACCAAGAGAGGCCAACCACGAGTATCCCAACACTATGTCAGTAGTTCCCAGATCGAATATGAAGAACTCTTCGATGATTGCCACTCCTTGTATTGCGAGTTCGACTCCCATACATTTGCCCTGACCAGTAAGCACCTCGCCATTCCCCACTCTGACTCCAAACTCTCTCGTCGTCGTTATGGGTAAGTTGATGGCTCGTACTATTCTGTCTGAGATGAAATTTGTAGTCGCTCCAGAATCAATCAGAACAATGACGTCGTTGCCCTGAATCGACCCTCGCATTCTCATAGATTTCCCCGCAATGACTCCTGCCAAGGCTTGTAAGGAGAGCCTCATGATCTGATGCCCTTCCTCCACTTCTACCGGAGTTATTTGTTCCTCTGTTTCTTCTGTTAATTCATAGAACTCCTTTTCATTGCCATCCTCATCAATTTCCAAACATTTAAGCCGCTGTTGTGGCTTACAACGATGACCCGAGAAGAATTGGTCGCCGCAGTGGCGGCAGGGATTTGACTTCCGAGTATCCGAGCCTGTTTGGGTACGACGTACGTCTCTTCCCCCATCAAACGGTCTCTTTGCAGGGGAGATATCAGTGCTTTTGGAGGATCCCTGATATCCTCCACGAGGAGACTGTTGAGACGAAGATGACGGGTATTGGCGCGTCATTGGTCGGTAGGAGAAGCCTTGCTGCTCGCTCTCTTGTCTTTCAATGAGTCGTGCTGCAGCTACGATAGCATTGATGCCCGAAGGTTGACACCTGAGCACTTGGTTGCGCAGATTCTTCTTTAACCCTTTTAGAAACATTGATTCAGCTACATCATTTGGGACATGAGGGACTTCGACCAATAGTTCATCGAACTGTTCGCGATACTCGTCCACATAACCTTTCTGTGTAATTTCCATCAGTTGATCGATGATGGAACCTCCGCGACTGGGACCAAACCTCGCTCGGAACTGCTCTTTGAAATCGTTCCAGTCTTTCACAACCTCTCTGTCCTGGATGTACCTCAACCACGTTACCGCACTTCCCGTGAGACAGGCTGTTGCTTGTTCCAGTTTGTGTTCCTCCGGTGTTTTGTTTGCTGCGAAAGCCTTGTCAACACGGTAAAGCCACTCTTCTGCATTTTGTCCTTCGAATAACGGTATTTCAGCAACTCTTCGAGGAGATTCCAGAACCGTATCTTCTGGCGCGGTTGTCTGCAACGGGGGTGGTGGGAGTTCGAGCGGTGGTGGTGGTGGTGCTCTCCCCTCTCTGTTTCTTTCTCCTGACTGCGAAAAAAGACCTCCTTGCACTGGGGTTGAGTGCGTAGTCTGTGGTGTAGCCAGCGGAGTTGTGAATAAGGCCGGAGTATGCCCTATCTGAACACGGAGGAAATTTCCAAACGCTTCCCGAAACCAAGCTTGTTCTTTTTCCATCTTGTCGAACCTTTCATGGATGTCAAGTTCGCGAGATGGGGTTTCGGTGGTCGGATCTGCGACTCCTGAACTCTCAGGGTTAGGTGTCGATATTGCTGAGTCTCTGATACCAGATGTTAGGCCGGTGACCTAGCAACAAGCCGGTGACTTGCGGTAACGAGAGAGAGAAGAGAGAAAGAGGCAAAGAACGATAACTTAAGTTTTTGATTGTTGTTCGATAAGGAAACCCTACACAACTGGGCCCTTTAAATATCAAGTTCTAATTAAGAAACAACTGAGTTTTATGGAAATAGAAAATACAAAGTCTCTACTTCTATTGCAGTCTTCACTCCTTAGCCACTTTTACGGTTTACTCCTTCGTGTTTCCTTGCGACTCTCTCTGAGCGATGTCTCTGTTTCATGAATGCCAAAGGAACCGCAAGCTTATCAAGATTCGTTTAGCTTCTTGGATCCCAGATGATTTTAGGCATTGATTAATCAGTGATATGCTTTTATGACGTCTGTTCCTTGTGTGTGTGAACATTTTACTAATCTACGCTCTTAACACCTAATCCTTCCTTCCAGTTTGAAGCAAACCTTGAAACAAACTTGGAGCCTTCGGGGATAGAGGATTCAGATACCTTGGAGCGTAAGAAGCAGCAGGAGCGCAAGGAGAGCAAGTATCTCCAGAAGCTCAAGAAGCAGAAGAAGGTTGGTTTTGTCCTAATACCCTGCTTAGTTGCTTTTGGATCGTTAGTTTGTCGTCCTCATGATTCGGATGACTTGCTCAATTTTTTGTTCTAATTATACGGCAGAAAATAGCTGAATTAAGAAATCTTCTAAAGGAGAAAACCGAAATTATCAAAAAATTAGAGAAGAAGACAGATGTACCGGAGATTTCATTGAAGGTATGTGTGTTTTTCATTTTAATGTTGTATGAGTTGTTATGCTTTTGTATTTGTCGAGGAATGATACCCGTACACTGTATAAATGATGTATTTTCTAACCATGTCTGTACTGTAGGAGAAAGAAACGCCAAATAAGGAGTGCGTTTTCGAATGTAAAGATGCATCTTTGAAGAAGAACCCGCAGACCATTCTCGTAAAGGGATTCAACTGTTCCTTTCCTCGGGATGAAATCAAGAGCGCATTGAGAAAGCACTTTAGTTCTTGTGGACCGGTCACTGCGATTTTTATTCCCTTTCATTGTAAAACCGGTCGTCCCATGGGGTTTGTGACTTGTTCCTCCAGTTGCTGATTTTAAATGCAAACCATATCATTTACTCTCTCTCTCTCTCTTGTTTCCTTTCAGATATGCTTTCATTAACATGGGACAAGAGGCAGAAAAGGCATTAAAACTCAATAGAAGTTGCTTGGAAGGGCAGATTCTTTCTGTTTCGATGGCAATAAAGAGTGAAGAATACGGTGGCTATAGAGATCTTCATGGTTGTGAACGTTGTCACAAAGCTCATATGAAGCGCGTAATTCAAGGCTTCCATGATAGTTTGAGATTTCGACCCCCCTCGGGTACTTTAATTATTTTCTTTGTTATTGAATCTTCTTCAAAAGTAAGTAAATTCGTTTTTTAATTTGTGGCAATTTTTTGTTCTTGATGCTACAGATGTCCGCAAGTCACTTTTCCCTCGCAAGTCCGCCGCAAAGGGAATAGCCAACATCCACGGCTAATAGTGGTTGTTTTACCGTTGGTGCTACTCGTTTACCGACCAGCTACATCATACTTGTATAAATTTCGTGACTTGGTATTATGGTTGGATTGTTTATGCCTAAAATAAATGATGAAACTTTATTTAAGAAACTATGTCTTTAATCATTTTTATTCGAAATACTTTCAGTTGTTGTTTATGCCTATTTTAAATGATGAAACTTCATGTAAGTTTAAGAAACCGGACCTCTGTCTTTTTGGTTAAAAGATCCAAAAAGACTTGTCTTGTGAGTTTCTATATACTTACCCGTGGGGATTGTTAGGGTTCGCTATTTGACTTGAGTACCATCATAAAGAACTCATAATGCCCCTGTCGGTTTTAATCAATGGTCGGTTACCTTTTAATAGCGCTTTCAGACTGTAGTATGAATTTTTTACTCTTTTCTTTCGAGAACTTAGTTGGTTGGTTTTGTCTGAATTTCCTTGCGCACGCCTTCCTTTGAAATCAGCTTCCGCTTTGTGATAGACTTGCACGCGTATTCATGCAAAGAGCAAATGAAGACAACAGAGTCTGGATACGCATACACAGGCAAAGAGTACGCAAGCAAAAAAGCTAGTGGCGATCTTAAGAGGAAAGATACGCTTGAACCATATGCGTATTGGCCACTTAATCGCAAGATGATGAGCCGTAGACCAGATCAGCGAGCGGTTGCAGTCAGAGGTATATCTAGTGTGGTTCGGCTCACGAAGAGGTTGGAAGGCAAGAGCAGTGCCGAAGCACTTGCCACCACTAAGCTCCAAAAATTCAAGAGGAGTGGTCAGAAGAAATCGGCTGGGAAGAAGAATAAAAGCAAGTAAACTAGTGGCATTAGGTTTATCACCACCATGTTGAGATCTCTCTGCACACGTAACTGGTGCTAAACTGTCCCTGGCCTAGTTTGTGTCCCAACGAGTAAGAGATCTCGGATGGTTGGGGTCTTTTGGCCAAGAACGAAGCAGTCTTGGTTCCCGCCGCTGTGCTTCATTGTGGCTTCTTTCTGTATTTGTAGCATGACATGTATTTCACCTTCAGAAAAGTCATTATGCATATAATTCAAATTACAGTAGTGTATGATGTTGGTTTAGTCTAGATACCCGTTAATACACGCTTACTAAGAGATGTTCAGCCTGAAATGTCAATGCCAAAGTTGCTTCAATAATCTATCTGAATATTATAGTATAAAAAGTAAGAAGGTAATGTATGTATTTGTTGAAATGCACTTGTCCCATGGTCTTGGAAGAGTGGTATATTTTGTGTTACAATAATAGGATTTTATTCTGCAGTTGAAACTTATAGTTTCAAATACTGAATGATTAATAGCTGTTTTACATTTATCGCAAGTTGTACAGAACCAATAAGGAGACAGATAATGGTGTTTCAAGAATGGTTACAATTGCGATTGAAATGTATAATATTATGAATTTTAAACAGCTACATCTTAAGAACAAAATTTTGAGACAGAAAGAAAAAATCGACAAATACTATGTGGGGAAATATTTATTTGGAATTTAAATTATAAATTACCAAATAAAAAATAACTGAAACTATAAGTTTTAGATTTAATAACTAAAAAAACTCATTTAACATACCTTAGCAATACATATCGATTTGTCATATTTTAATATACATTTCCAAATAGTCAACTTACATCTAAAAACAGTTATTCTTATAACTTAACATCAACATCCACAAAGATTTGTTCAAATCCATATACGTTATGTTCCAAAGTTGTTTAACTAATATTGGCAAAAAAACAATGTATTGAATAACACATAATTTCCGAGTGGTAAAATTATTATTACTATAAATCCTCAAAATTAATATAACATCCACATAGATTTGTTAAAAAAAATCCAGACATTTTTGTAATCTCAGAACCATGCATAGTACATCTTTTGGATCTACATGTCACATGTTAACGGTATAGATGTTATAAATTTTAAAGGATTTTACTCTGCAATTGAAATTAAAAAAGAAGTATGAATCCGGATTTTTTACCACAATGCTACAGGGAAGTCTGGTGATATTTCAGTCAAGTCAAGTCAAGTGGCTACACATATTCAAGAATATACTGAAAATCGTGAGCCCAAAAGCCCAACAAGCCAAACAAAGAACAGTCAGGGTTTTTGTCTCTCCGGTTTCGATCGAAAACCTAGCAGTCGCTCTTCTCCTTCCATCTCAACGTCTCCATGGCCGATTCGAGGAAGAGGTGCGATGAAGATAAAGCCAATGTAATCTTCTTCTTCTTCTTCTTATGCCTTATTCCATATTCCATATTCTTCCCCTTTCTTCGATTGGTCATGAGTTTCTCTTTTCCCTTTCACAATATCGTCGCACGTTTTTGTATTTTCCATTTATACTCACCGTGTATTTACTTTGAATAAGATTTCCTTTGCTCCTAACACCATGTATCTGCTTTCTAGTGTTCACTTTCCATTTCTAGTTCTCCAAAGAGGCACCTGGAAGAAACAACCCAGGAGCACGATTCCGGGAAGAAATCGTTTTTAATCATGTGAATTTAGGCAAGGAAATATTTAATCGTTTTTTTATCATACCATCTTGGTTGGATTTGTCCTAATATTTTACTATGTCTCACAGGTAGGCTACTCATCTAGCAGATGGTATTCCTCTTCTTCAGAATCTGAGATTGATTATCTCACTAAAGCAAAAACTCTTGCGGCTCACGATCTTCCTTTAGATGTCACTAAAACTGAAGTGTAAGAAATTATTTAATTTCCACTTGTCTCATCCTTTGCCTTAATTTATGTATTTCCATCTGTGTTAATCTTTGCTTTAATTTATGTTTTTTTGTTTGTTTTCCGCATCGACTTCTTTCAAGGAAGAGCTAGTCGTGTTAAAATTTTGACAAATTATGAAGACCGTGAAAAAAAATTTATCAAAGACAAGTACAGCGTCATAGAATTCAATTCTGAACACGATAAAAAAGAGGTAATCAATAATTTAAATTGGCAATACCTCTGTGCCTTGTTTTAAAATTGCATCTGTTTTATTTTGTAGGCTCTGAAACTCAACGGAAACAAAATCCGTGATAAATATATTCATGTTAGGCAGATGGTGAACAAGTAGGTATTTTTCTTTTTTTTTTTAAATGTTTGATCATATCATTGTCAGCCACTAGTTAATGATTGTTTTTAATAATTTCTGCTACAGGCGAAGAATTGTGTGCGTTAATGGCTTCAACAGCCAATGGGATGTAAAATATATCAAGGCAGAAATTCGTAAGAGTTTCAAAGAATCTGTTTTGGGTATATTTATTCCAACAAACCCTGTAACCGGCGGTCACCTAGGGTATTGTTCTCTCTTCTACATGATTCTTATGTTTATTTCTCTTTTTGATATACCATAATGTTTTCTTGTTAATCTACAGAATTTTTTGTTAATCTACAGTTTTGGGTATGTATCCCTCGAGTTGTGTGATAGCAGCAGCGAGAGTGATAGCGGCAGCGAGAAGGAAAGCAGTGGCGAGAGGGAAAGCAGTGGCGAGAGGGATAGCAGTGGCGAGAGGGATAGCGGCAGCGAGAGGGATAGCGGCAGCGAGAGCGAGTTGTGGTATCCAATAACAATCGGTGGCATTAAAATTGATGTCAGAAGTTGTTCATTGAGAAAACGCTACGAAGCTGAACTGGTAAACGTGCGTGAAATCTTAAACCGGCTACACTTGTATATTTCTTTCATTGAAGTGTTTTCTTTTTTGAAGAAAAGATGGTGCAATCTTGTCTTCTTAAACTGCCGTTTCCTTTTGCAGGAAGACATCTTGGAAGTTAAGCAAGACGAAGACATCTTAGAAGTTAAAAAAGACCAAGACGAAATGAAGGTTCTTTTTTACTTAGATACATATGCAATTAAGATGGTGTGATCCCTTTTCAGTTGAGATTATTTAATGTTCATTTGTTTTTGCATTTATTAATCAGGTGTTGTTGCCGATATCTTCTGATCTACACAAGACGACCATAGATCCGTATGATTGGGAATTGGAGAGTCCAGGCATAATTCCTCCTCCTTGCACGCAAGCAGGAAGTAAGTCATATGAGTGAATTAGAGTCGCATAATATATCAAGTTATAAGTTTTATTAAACCGTTTTTTTTTGTGTGCTTCTTTGTAGATGATTGCTGGGCTCATGCGTTGTCGAGGGGTTATAATACTTCGGTTCAACGATTCAACTTGGCACGAAATCATCTGACACACAAAGATTTTCTGGATGGTGTGGATTATGCTCATCAGGTTTCAGGTCAAGGAATTGATCGGCTCAAGAATGCGGCCCCATATTTGGATAGTATAGGTTGTGACATGGTCATTCATCACCGACCCAGGGGTGGTGAAATGCACAATTTCGAAGAATATGAAGACTTCATCCAAAATCTCTTAAGAGAAGCAGGACCTCTAATGGTCTCTCTAGAGAATACACCTGGTTTTGCAGATTTCAATGGAGTTGTAAGTCATCTGCTTCCTTTTTCTATATATATATATATGTATTTTTTATTGTTTGAATGTATTTTAGGGAATTGGTAAAATCATTTTAATATCTTTTTAGGGAATATATCGTCCTTCCTCCAGCGATATTCACCAGTTGACTTTTGAAAAGTTCCCCGTGCACTGCCTTTTGCTTACTGCCTATGGTATCAAGGACGGGATCGAGTACTGGAGATTACAAGATTCAAATGGGAAAGAATTTGGAGAGGGTGGCTTCATTATGATTGAAAGGCATAAGTGCCTAATCAAATCAGTTGTTCAGTTGAAAATCAGAAGAGATCCTTAAAAGTGATCAGAGTAGACTTGAATATCTGATGTTAGACTTTTATCTTTTAAAATATCTTACAACTTTTTTTTTGTAAGATTCGTAACCATCAAACATATAACTATGAAAGCTTTTTAAGCCTCTTTTCTTTTTCCTCCCCACCTAAGATTATTTCAACGTTTTATAAAAGGCTTATTTCATTCTTATTCATCTTTGTAACATGGTCGTATTTGTCCTTATGATTACAGAGAGATCATAGACTATTTTTTAGAAACATCGTGAATATAAGTTGTGGTGCTCGAGACTAATTAATGGACTTATTTTGATTATAGCCTTCGTACACTACAGTTATATATATATATATATTTATTAGTATATTATGTTCTGTGATTATCTTTAAGCGTTATCATACATTACCGATTAGCCCGAGTATATCACGCGCGGACGGTTCTCGTTAAAAACAGATATTTACAGTTTCTGAGTTTTGGTTCTTGAGATCATCAGTGGTAAGAAGCACACTTGTTTAAGCAACGAAGACAGCATGGAATACCTCCTTAGTTTCGTAAGTATATTTTATGAAAAACCATCGAGCTTAATTTGATCAGTGACTGTTAATTAACATCCCTGAGTTCTAATGTTTTGGTGAAGGCATGGAGAAATTGGAAGGAAGGCGTTGCTCTGAATCTTGTGGAGAAGATTTTGATGACAATGTCAGCAACATTTTGAAGATTATAATTCAAACACTGAATTGTATCCTCGGCGAGTTTGTCTGAAAACTGAATTAACCATTCTCAATGATGAATCATGGGATTTGATTAGATTTGAGTCAACTCACTTAAAGTGAGGAAAAAGAGTGTTACAAGTCTCTGTTTCACTTTCAAGGAGAGACGTGTCATCTCATCTCTTGAAGAAAACTAATTGGAAAAAAAAAATGTACAGAATCAATGAAAAGGGGTTATTTGAGTGAGCCACGATCAGTTGAGGCGAGAAGCAAGATCGATAAAGATTTCTTCGCTGCAAGGAATTGTGAGGCCGCCCATTGGATGATCAAATCCAAATTCTTCCTCTGCCTTTCTAAGTAGATCTTGAAATAAAGGCTGGTTCAAGTACGAAATGGGAACTACAAATCTCTTCATCTTTCTTTCTCCTACGTAAACCGCTAAGTAGCCTTTTGGAACATCATCAAGGGAGCTAGAGGATGAAGATGAGATCAGTTTCGCTTGACGGAGAATCTGCTTCGATGATTGCAGCACACGAGGAACCCTGATCGCCATGGATTGATTGTCTTGCTGTGTTTCTTGAATTGAAAGTTTAATGCTTTGCAGGAAAATGTGACAACTTGCAGAGCTTAAAGGACCCGATGATGAGTATATATAGATAAGAGCATGATTTGAGGATAACCTTTTATTGGTTTAGACAAGTTTCAGCTCATGAACAAGCACATGGCTTTGCCGGACCACGGCATGATATGTAAGGGACCTCTAGTGATCAACTTCATGATTTCTGATGTGAAGACAGAAATCAACATGACCACTTGTTAGTTAGATAAACATTATAACTAGTCAACATTTTCAATTCTTGCCACATAAAATTTTGAAGGCTTTTGTGACTTTGTCTGTATATAATCAAGTCATGTGGTCCTATCTTTTTGATATCATTGAGAAGAAGTTATGACTTAATCAGTGATTGAGACTTATGGTTCTTTAGGTACACAACTTAGAGTCCCTACATAATCTATAGAGAGATTTGGCATGTGATGTCCTTGAGACAATAAGCCCCAACGAAGTTATCATGTAGGACATCATTAGACACTAACTTCTCGGACACCATTTATTGTTTTGTTCTTGGTTTAGTATCTTGAATCCAAAGCCATGTGCTTTGTAATGGAAAACACCCCAAAAAAATACTTAATTTCAAATAATTGTTTTTCATATATTCGTTTATATAACAAGTAACAGATAACCCTTTTTGATTCACAAACTAAAAAAAAATCCAAATTTTTTGAAAAATTTTCAAAGCCTTTTGCAAGAACTAGAAATCCTTTCAGCTTAAAACACAGCAAAAGAAGAAGAAAAATGGCGTTTCTGAGAAGTTTCTTGGGTGGTAAGCAAATTATGCGGAGAGAATCATCTTCGACACCAAGAGGATTCATGGCAGTTTATGTTGGGGAGAATGATCAGAAGAAGAAGAGATACGTTGTACCGGTTTCATACTTGAACCAGCCTTTGTTTCAAGAACTGTTGAGTAAATCGGAGCAAGAGTTTGGGTTTGATCATCCTATGGGCGGCTTAACCATACCATGTCATGAATCTTTGTTCTTCACCGTCACATCTCAGATTCGATGAATTTTAACAACATTCCATTCTATTTTTTTTTGACAAATAGAAATCGTTATTTGAAAAATATACGATGTAAATATAGGAATTTGTTAATATTTTCCCCCGTGTAAATTATTTCAATGAGAGGAATATTATTCATACATGATTACATAATCAATATATTTGTGTATTCATTGCATTGCATGCAATACATTTGGCGTCATTTATCTCTGGACAGCAAACATTTCAATGCATCCGGCTGGTTTGCACTTGTATCATAATTTTTGGTAGTAATTTCTTCTATTCCTCAAAGAATAGTTTAATGTTAATAATGAGAAATTTTTGATTTGTATATTTTAATTTTTTAATTATATACTAATAAAACCACTCATAATTTCATAGGCCGAGACATATTTGAGATAGAAGTCCAAGCCCATAAATCAAAGGCTTATAACTGTGCCACGCGCTTATGAAGTATTTAATAGATGCGCGTGGGGGAAGGTGACACTTTATTTAGTTTCTGATCCTTCAATTTCTCCCTTTTTGTTAGTTAGTAACACTTATTTTTCTTCCAACACCGACCGTTAGTTGTCAGTTGTCACTAGAGAGGCGTGGAAAAACGGGTAAATCTGCCGGTTAGTCCGGTTCAGCTAGCATCTCAAACGGGCTAAGTGAGGGTTTTCAAAATAAGACATACAATAAAGAATATAATCATTGCCTAATTTTGTTTTATTACATAAGCATTTTCTTACATTCAACCTCCAATTTATCGTTTTAATGAAAAAAAACAAAAATCAAACGTTGCAAATGGAGGGCCCTGGACTAAAGGAACAAGTAAGCCTCATTAAAAAAAAAAAAAATACAAATATGGTTCCTCACATGCCAAAGTAAGTAGGAATACGACCTCAAAACCCTACCTCAATTCCCATTTAGTTGATTAATTAATCGATGGCTTAAGAAAGCTTAGTCCAATCTTTTGCCGTCTCGATCGTTTTCTCTAGGTGCCACTCTGTTTTTTTTTTTTTTTTGAATTTTTCCTGACGCTGCCCTTTTGAAATTCAACTGTTGATCATCGTACAAGAAAAACTAGCCAATCTGATCTCATAACTTCTTGTCTCTTCTGGGTCCAAATTTTCGTGCAGCCCATGTGATGAAAAGACCATACATTTCACTTCAGATCTTGCCACCTATATTTTTCTTGACTTAGAAACAGAGCTCATGGTTTCTCTTTCACGTGAATATAGAAATTAGATTCAGCCACTTCTTAAACGAAACATGCATCGAACTTTCTAAAAGTTTTTCTTATATTTGATTTGACACAATTTTTTTTAGTAACTATGCACTAAAACTAAAAACTCTTGTGTATATTTTCTGAAGCTTTGAAAAGCGTACTCACTCCAATCGGTTAATCGAGTATATTTCAGATTTTTTAGAGTTTATTCATATTAAAACCATACGAAATCTTTGGATCTGAAAAGCTCAGAAATAAAGAGTATAGAGAACAAGATATTTCTGCTTTCTTGGGACAAAGAAGAGAGCTACTCTGTTTTTAGCTTTGTACCCAACAAAAAAGGCATAGTTGTTGTAGTTTTCAAGGGTTTCTGATTCCTGGCCGTGAAAGTAGAAAATAGAGATTCAAGAATTTCCTAAATTGAGCAGACAAATTCAAGTCTAATAAAATCTGTAATAAAGAAGGGGTGCATGGCTCTGTAAAAATGGAGAGTAGTACAAAAGAGGACGGTTTTAGGGAAGAAGGAGGCAAGAGTAACATGGGGCTTTCATGTGCTTGGTCGAGACGAGAGACATGTCCTTTTCAGTCCGTAAGGCGAAGTTGTCCCTTCAAAGATTCGTAATTTTCTCCCTTAATCCTCTTCTCCTTTTTCACTGAAACTTTTCCCAACAATTCTCGTTCGCAGAACATGCTACCCTCTCTCCCTGACAACGACCCCAACCTCTCTCTCTCTCCGGTTTTGTGGTTGATAAGAGAAAAAAACATGATTCTACTACATTATTCTGATTCACTTGTTGGTTGATGTGATAGATTAAGGATGTGACTCACAAGAATCAACTCGAGATTAACCTTTGCAGACTTGCACAGTTACGTCTTCTACAAGTAACTAACGTTGATTAGCTGGTTTTTAGGGTTTTCAGGCCATCCACATGCAGCTTAGATAGAATAAATTAATTTTGCCCTAAATAACCATGAACATTTTTTTTTAAACTTAAAGGTAAAAATAACTGAATTTTTTGGGTTTGCACTAGAAGACACTCTTTGATTGCATAATTTATACGTTAAAAAACATGCCCTGATTTGTAGAAATTAAGTCCGTACTTGAAATAACAACATGTGTAAAGAAAGTAAATAATACTAACAATTTAGAGGACCCCAAAAGTGTTTTTTTCTTTCCAACAAAATAAGTTAAACTCATTCACTTAATTATCTAATTATTTATCTCTTATCTGCATTATGAGCGGCGCCATGGATTAGGAAGAGGAACATCACAAGTTAACAAAGATGGGAAGCTCGAGATCGTGAGACTTAACATGTTCTTTGTCCCTAACCTTTTACGACCAGAAACAAAGATCTAATAAATGCCCATTGTCTCTAAGCATATAACTATCGAACATGGTCAAAAGTATTGCAAACAAATACGGTCACTTGCAGACAAGACTCAAGGCGAATCTTACTCAGTATTTTTTGATTATATTTGTATGCATTTGTTACAATGTGCTCTGTCAAATAGATATTTTGTAACCAAATGGTTGTAATTAAATAGTTTTGTTTGTTGGTCAAGACAATTAGATTGATTTCTATTGATTACATTTTTGTTATTTTGGAGTTCATCACATGACAGTTGTGAATCTAGCAATTTGTCTAGCCTTAGGTCCTAAAAAAAAATCTGACTAACTAAATACATCTATTGAAAAATTTATTTGGTAGTTGTAAATCGAGTGATTAGCCTATATTAGGTTCAAATGATCTAGTTACATCATATAATGTTTTCTTAAACAAAATATATATAATGTGTTTAAAGATTTTGATTCTAGTCAGGTGATCTCGTATTGTTCGTGTAGACAGTAGATTGATTCTCATCGTATGCATTATTGTCGACTTTATATGTACGTTGTGGCTGCTAGCTAGTTTATGATTAGTCAGAATTTAATTACCTTCGATCGAACGTAGAGTTCTCATACACTAAGGATAATTAATTACATGCATGCTTTCAACTACAGATACTTAACCAAATAGAGTAAGGAGTACATGTAATTTGTACTTATAGTACATATTTATATACCTCTTCGTACGTAATTATGAAATATACTTACCAGATTGATATTTTCCCCTGTTTATGATAATAACTAATGAAAGAGAGAGAAGAGAGGGACCATTGTGTCTTGGGGAGGACCAACAATGAAATTAAATCCCAATGGGTTTGGATCCCACACTGTCACATGCGTCTCTATATCCCTCCTCCTGCTTTTCTTCTGCTCCTTAAAAATAAAACTTATATATCCGTATATATTATTATATCATTACAAATTTACAATATTTCTAGTTCTCCATAATATGCATGTGAATATATTGGATCGGAATAGATTAACTAATATTTAAAACATCTAAATAACCCTCATCTTCATTCGTAGAATAAACAGCTCTAAATTCACATTTATTAATTTTTCTAAAACAAAGTTATAATTTCAATTTTTTTGTACTTGATGATAATTCATTCAAACAATTAGCGGGGTTGCTGAAATTTCATATGAAATGTATAATTATTTTATAAGAGTCTTACAAGACGGCCCTAACCAAATTTTTAGATTATTGATGATCATTTGATCATATATTGATATTATATGAATTTGGGATAATCAAGAAATTTAAAATTATACTGTTGCTTTAGCATCCTATCCTTATCCTCCTCCATAAATAACCCCTTTCGCCACCTCTCTCTCATCAAACAATTCTCCTTTATCCTTCAAATTTTCTCCCCACTCTCTCACTCTCATCAAGAAATTAAGCACTAGAATTAAAACAATGGCGGTAAAGAGATCTTCTAAGCTAACACAAACAGCAATGCTAAAGCAAATCCTTAAGAGATGCTCGAGCTTAGGCAAGAAACAATGCTACGACGAGGAAGGTCTCCCTCTTGACGTACCAAAGGGACATTTTCCGGTTTACGTAGGCGAAAAGCGTACGAGGTACATCGTACCAATCTCCTTCTTGTCTCATCCCGAATTTCTGATCCTTCTTCAACAAGCAGAGGAAGAGTTCGGTTTCCACCATGACATGGGAGGACTCACTATCCCTTGTGAAGAAGTAGTTTTTCTCTCTCTAACATCCATGATCAGATGAGATGGAGAGAGTTTACATTATGATGATGGGGACAAAGATTCTTTTTTTTTTTTTTGCCTTTGGATAAAGATTTGTTATCCAAATGGTTTTTTTTCGGGACTAAAACCTGTAAGATCCACCCAAAGATCATTCTCTACACGGAAGATCATTCTCTACACGGATCATGTAAATCTCTGGTTTTTAGTTCGTTAATTCGCCCTAAATGGGGTAGTATTCGATGGAATATGGATATTTTTTTCTGTGAGCTGATAAGTGGTGGCTTGCGCTAATAGATGATTACTGCAAGTTGAATATTGGCAAGTTTTTCTTTTGTTCGAATCTTATGATCGTTCGAGTTCTTTGAAACTAAGAAATGTTTGATCTTTGTATGAGTCTTCTTTATTGGCTTTCCTTCACGGATGTAAGTACGTTTTGAATTGTATGCGAGTGATGTATAAACTAATATTTCAATCATAATGTTTTTCCTATAATTATATTTATTATAGCATCTGAGCAAACAAATGCCGATATATTTATCCACGATTAACAACAAATAAATCGATCCAACCCGTAACACAAATGATCATCATAGACGACTCAATATGCAAAAGATTTGTTAAATCCGCACCGAAAAGAAAAACATTTATTAGAGTTGAAACGCCAAACTTGAAATAAAAATAGCACTCTAAGCAATTATTATTATTTTTTCTTCTAAATTAGGTTTTTAATCTGACTTTGAGAATGTTGACTTTAAAAGTATTAGTACGCAGACAGAATTTGAGTGGATTACTTCTTTAGGTGAAGCAAAAGCATATTTGTCTTTAGTAATTATAAGTTGGTCCTATATATATATATAATATCGTGCATTTAAGTTTTTTTTTAAGTAAATTGAATGCACTTACTCTTCTCTCTTTTCCTTTTCCTACAAGCCACAAATCGTATATGATAGCAACTACTCTTTTTAATGCACATACTTTTTTTTCTTTTTCGCCTACATACTTTTAATTTACTCTCTCTCTCCAGAATATCTTTTGGTTCATACTACCAATTTTAAGTTTGGAATAAATTGCATCCACAAGGACCAATAATTTCTATCCTGCTTCATATGAATATATTTTTTTGATTATATATATATATGAATATTATATATAAAATATGAATACACAAAATAATCAAGCTTGTAGATTGTAATATGTACACACAAGAACCGAATTGATTAAAAGAGCCACACAGCTCACAAGTGGCTAACCATGAATTTTGAGTATACCCGGAATTCGAATCCCGGTCATTATAATATTTGGTAAGTATTATAAGTTTAGCACTATTAAAATGATACAGAAAATTCTTGCATATGATTATTATTTTTATTAAAAGTAAAACACCAATAATTAAGAACATGTGAATAAATGATCAGTTTGATAAATTGGTTTTTCAAATAATACATCACAGACAGTTTCATTATCGAAAATATAACGAGAGGATCCAACGTATACAAAGACTGATGATTTTAATACAGTATATTTTTAGGAAACTGTTGATAGCTGTGTATAGTTTTCTTCAAAAATAAAAAAGATCCCAAGCTCATAGACAATGATAATAACCCGATATACGTGAAAGGTTTTTCTCATTTAAAAAAAGAAAGAAAGAAAGAAAAACCATTCACGTAGTGATGAAATGTACGTATATGTTCAAAGTAAGGAACGAAGGGATGAAAAGAAGAATCTCTAAATATTGTCCTTTTCCGTACGAATTTTAACTCATTGTAGGAAACTTCTTGGAAGCTGCACCTGTCATTTGTCAATTTCCACTCAATATAGTTTCACCGATTGTGTTTTGATAACTATATTTCAAATTTTTTTCGTTCTTTTGGTTAAATGAACTTAAAAACTTTGATCCACAATATTTTAATACCGTTGGGAACTTGTGGGAGTTTTTATAAATAGAATGAAAATTCAGATTTGACAACGCTGAATATATAACACACATCTTTAACTATTGGGTTGATTTTCACTCTCTAACTAAACCCTACAATAAGTTAAAGAAATTACCCTCCCGGCCCCTCCTCTCTGCTAAAACTTTGCTTTACAAAATTACAAGCAAAAGATAAAACTTGGACGACGATAATTAATTGATGAACAGATCATGAGAACTTGTCAAGAAAGCCAGAGAGAGCTCAACTAATTGAAGAACAGAAGACGAACAGGATGAGGAACTGAATGATATGGTCCTGTCCTCTGTGTTTCCATGGCTGAGAGACACACCGATCACGACCTCTCGTCCTAGCCACCTTCAGGTTTTGCGCTCTTCTCAACCCAACACTAATTTTATTATTAGGTCAAACTCCCCAAAGCACATTAATTGGTTAACTATACCATCAATTTTATTAATCTTCACGTCATCTTCTATTTTTTTTTTTAAACCTTTTGTAGCTAATTTTAGATTAATTTTGTAATTGATTTTAGTGAAACTATATCTGATATTCAAAACCATTTAGGCAATAAAATATAGATTTTAGTGAAACGATATCTGATCTAATATATATTTTATGTGATATTCAAAACCATTTAGGCAAAAAATTTATATTTTGTTATTGCTCATAAATTTTTAAATTTTGTTATTGCTTATCGTTTTATGAAAGCTATAGTTTTTTTTTCTCAAATAGATGATAAACACAAGATTATATAGCTATTGATATTTTTGAATAATATTATATGTTATTGAATAAAAATATATAGTTTTTGTCATCTGAATTACCTTTTCGCATATGACATTTAAGTGTAGAAAAATTTAAACCTTTTTGCTCTTCTTAACCTTCTCAAAGTGTAGTTTTGTTCGCAAGCTATAGTTAAGAAATCTGGCTTTCAACAATATTTCCTAGTCCTCTCACAAACAAAATACATTGATTTAGAATCCTACATATATATCGGATAAAACTACACGTAACCGACAACATATTCACAACTTTATCAATTGTTTCCTTCAGATTCACTATAAGCCTCCCAAAACCTCTCGATTTAAAACTACGTACGTTGTTATTGCACGGAGTTCATCATTCATGGCCTTCTCCGTAGAAACCTCGTCTCTTTTCCCTTACCCCCTATCCGCAAACCCTAAGAAAGTCTCCCAAAATACCCTAATCCCATTCTTTGTCAAGCCTTGCCTTCAACCCCACGTTTCCAAAACCCTAGGTTTCTCCGTTTCCCGCAGAATACGCCCACTTTCCCCTGTTTTCTCGTCGTTAACACAAGTGGCCAACGAAGACGGAGAGGACAAGCTTCACGAAGAATGTGGAGTTGTCGGAATCTACGGGGACCCTGAAGCTTCCCGTCTCTCTTACCTGGCTCTTCACGCGCTGCAACACCGCGGCCAAGAAGGAGCAGGAATCGTAACCGTTAATCAGAACGGTCTCGAATCAATCACAGGCGTCGGATTAGTCTCGGACGTGTTTACCGAGTCGAAACTAAACAGTCTTCCTGGCGATATAGCGATAGGCCATGTCCGGTACTCAACTTCCGGAGCCTCAATGCTCAAGAATGTTCAGCCTTTCATCGCTAGCTGCAAACTAGGATCACTCGCAGTGGCGCACAATGGTAATTTCGTTAATTACAAGCAACTGAAGACAGAGCTCGAGGAGAAGGGTTCGATCTTCATCACAAGTTCCGATACTGAGCTCGTTCTTCACCTGATCGCCAAATCTAAGGCCAAGACGTTCCTTTTGAGGATAATCGACGCTTGCGAGAAGCTTCGGGGTGCTTACTCGATGGTTTTCGTATTTGAAGACAAGCTAATAGCCGTCCGTGACCCGTTCGGGTTTAGACCACTTGTGATGGGGAGAAGAAGCAACGGAGCAGTTGTTTTCGCATCCGAGACTTGCGCATTGGACCTGATCGATGCGAGTTACGAACGAGAAGTGTGCCCCGGGGAGATTGTGGTCGTGGACAGAGATGATGGAGACAGCTCTGTGTTCATGATCCCTCACCCTGAGCCGAAACAGTGCGTTTTCGAGCACGGTTACTTCTCGCAGCCCAACTCAATCGTCTTTGGCCGTTCTGTGTACGAAACCCGCCACATGTACGGCGAGATCTTAGCCACGGTGGCACCTGTCGACTGTGATGTCGTAATCGCAGTGCCAGACTCGGGGACAGTGGCCGCTCTTGGATATGCAGCCAAAGCTGGAGTGCCGTTCCAGATTGGTCTTCTGAGGTCGCACTATGCTAAGCGCACGTTTATAGAGCCGACTCAGAATATCCGTGACTTTGCCGTGAAGACAAAGTTATCTCCTGTCCGAGCAGTTCTTGAAGGGAAGCGTGTGGTGGTGGTGGACGACTCCATTGTCCGAGGAACCACGAGTATGAAGATAGTTCGGCGGCTTAGAGACGCCGGAGCAAAGGAAGTTCATATGAGAATCGCATTGCCGCCGATGATAGCATCGTGTTACTACGGAGTGGACACCCCGAGGAGCCAAGAGCTGATCTCTAGTAAGATGAGCGTTGAGGAGATCCAGAAGTATATTAATTGCGATTCCCTTGCGTTTCTACCATTAAATAGCTTGAAACAAGTCTATGGACCGGTCGAGTCACACAGCTATTGCTACGCCTGCTTTACTAGCAAATATCCATTGACCGCAACAGAGACTGAGGACAAGATTACCGAGAGAGACTCAACGCTCTCTGAATTGTGACATTAACGCTCTCTGCTTTATTACTCTACCTGCTTAGTTTTTTATTTATTTTTACTTTTGTTTTATTTTGACAAGCAGAGTCTTCAATTATGAGGTTATTGTGGACAGATGCTTTCTACATTCAAAAAATCATCGGATTGACACTTTACTTATCAGTCAAAAACTCAAGATAATATTTCATTTAGAACTATGAAATATAAAATTTGCTCATCACAGTTTCATACATAGTTTTGAATTCTCATATAGATAATAGATTATGTATAGATTCTGGTTGTTTTGGCCGTTGCTGCTACTTGTTTTTGTTTACCGACCCAACTTCTATAAACCTGCGTTTTCTGAAACAGCTTGTATTATGGGATTTGTGCTTTTCTAGTTTGGTTATGAAACGACGTCGTTAAACAAGGGAAAATACGTTAAACAAGGGAAAATAAACATCGAAAACGACACGTGTTTTAAGGATACAGAAGAGAAACATTGGCTGGAAAAATATATCCGTTAGAGATAGGAAACGGATGCAGGAAAAAAAAAAAAGGAATAGAAGGCCGTTAAGAGTAAGAAGGAACCAATCTTCTTCTTCTTCTTCTTTAATCTGATTACAGACACATTCCATCTGCAAAGAAGGAACCAAGAAAAAACCCTAATTCCATCCACATTCTCTTCAATTGTCTCTTTCACCCCCTCTCTCCTAGTTCTGTGACTCAACTCGGGCGTTGTGATTTAGCATAGAGGGAACAATTGCTCTGCTCCGGCGATGGTTCGATTTCATTAACGGAGAGACGGAGCTCTGGTTCGAATCGGCTTTACGCTGCGCTCCTTCTCGTGAGTTTCTTTGCTCTCTCGCGTTTGTTTGTGTGTTTGATTTATAGATCCTAGGTTTCAGAACAAGATGGGTGACAATATCATTGTTAGATCTGTAATTTGGATTTCTAATTTGGTCTCAATTTCGTGGGTTTACTGATTTCTGTCGTGAGAGCGAAATTAGGATTTGCTCGTTGACAAAAATCTCATAATCATTGATTAGGGATTGCACTTTAGAATAGCGGAAGTATAATCTTTTTGATTATCCGAAGAATCATAAAAATTGGGAAACAAATGTGTAATAGTATCGGTGTTTTTCTTTTTACGTGCAAGGAGATTATTCAAGGTACAGACCATCTGCAACTTGAATGAGTATTGAAGACATGCAACTTACTGGTTCTTGCAGAGTCAAATCAGAAGGTGTTTGTGTCATTGCCGTTATGTGAGGATGAAGATAGCAGAAGAGGTTACACATCTAATTTACTGAAGAAACAAAAAATATTTTATGAAACTTGTTGTAAGCTACTTTGTTGGTTCTGTATGAGGCATCTGATCAGCGTACTTGTACAGATGGAGATCGTGGAAGCCAAATCGAAGCACTACGGTCAGATTCTAAAGCTATAAAACTTGAGCTCAGGGATTCTCAAGAAACCAAAAGTGCGGAGATCTCAAGGTTGCAGTAACTTGAGATGGGTAACGATCTTTCTGCTGAAAACGAAAAGCTTAAGGTTAGTCCGTAACAAGTCTCGGAAATTCAGTGTCTGTGTTTGAGATTATGTTTAAAGTCTTTTACAAGACATCATCCTTCTTGTTTTGTCTTTTTCTCTTTCCTTATAAGGAGTTGGTGAGTTCTCTGCGAAAGAATAATGATGAATCCGAAAGAACACCAACAGCTGAAGCTCCTGTAATTGATCAGACCGCAGTCAACAAGCTTGAAGCTGAAAATCAACAGCTCAAGGTATGATTCCTAGTTACTGGTTTTGATACACAATCTAAACTTTTCCTCTTGATAATATATATCTCATCAAGCATAACATTTTTTTAGGCCTTGGTAACTTCCTCGGAGAAGAAAATCGATGCATTTGGCAGAAAACATGATGAAACAAGCTCAAATATCACAGAGAAGTTGAAGGAGAACGTTTCATCTGATCACGAGATGGTGAGCAATCTCGCAGCTGAGAACAAGCGGCTCAAGGTAACCTTTCTACAGATGTAGCTCAAGTCAACCAAAAGAAGCCAGAATGGATCAAACATGATCAACTACGCGTCTTCAGTTTAATTAGTCCCCTTACACAACCGACTATCCCGTGGTATGCATTTTTCTTCATTGCCTTGTTTTCTGAGTTGCGAAAGAGATGGATGGAGTTGAGAATCTTACGTTTTTAAAATCTCAGGTACCGTACCACCAAAACCTGAAGCTAAGCAATGCACAAAGCCAGAACTGTTCCAGTTAGAGAGTTTAGTGAGGCACGAAGATGAAATGCGATCAGAAATGGGAGAGAGAAGAAGCCCAAAAGAGGAAGTAAAAGAGGAAGGCGTTCCAGTTCGATTATAATGAGGCACGAAGATGAGGCGTTCCAGTTCCGATATTTTGTAGTGAGGCGTTCTCATGCCAGATCTGTGCCTAACTTCAACAAACCCTTCTTACCTCGGAAGTTCCAGTTCGATTAAAAAGATATTCAAAGCACAAATCTTCTCTTGTTTTTTGTAACTAATTGAATTAAAAATCACACACAGGTCTAACAAGAAGATCACAAAACCAAAATCACCCAATCTTAGAAGCAAAGATATATCTTTTATTCTCTCTTTTTTTTATTTTATTTTTATATTTACAATAAAACTTAGATTAGATTAAAATCGATTAGATTTTAGATTAGCTGTGAAACTAACCGAACATGGTATCCAACCATTTAAAATTCATTTGGTCGTTAGAGATTACTTATGTTCAATTTATTTTCATAGCTAATGTAAGATCAATCGGTTTTATTATTAGGATTGAAAATAATAACAATACAAAATGAAATTTGGATCTAACACAAACATAAAATCTGATATTTTTTTTTTGTATTGTTACAGGCTAAAACTTCTCCACAAAATGAAATTGAGGAAGATATCTAGAGAAAACTCATGAACAAGATATGTTTTCTATTCTCTATTTTTTTGTATTGATTCCCATTAAAACTTGTATTAGTTTAAAATTGATTAGATTTATATTAGTGTAAAACTAATCGGACATGGTATCCAGCTATTTGAATTCATATGGTCGTTAGAGATTACCTATGTTTAACTTGTTTGCACTAATGTAGATCAATCAATTTTATATTAGGAAATTAAATAGTAATAGCAATATTAAATAAATTTTGAATGGAATCTGATGGTTTTTTTTTAATTGTATCAGGTTAAAACTCATGAACAAGATGAAATTGACGAAGATATCTAGAGAAAACTCATGAACAAAATATGTTTTCTATTCTCTCTTTTTTTGTATTGATTCCCATTAAAACTTGTATTAGTTTAAAATTGATTAGATTTATATTAGTGTAAAACTAATCGGACATGGTATCCAGCCATTTGAATTTATATGATCGTTAGAGATTACCTATGTTCAACTTGTTTGCACTAATGTAGATCAATCAATTTTATATTAGGAAATTAAATAATATTAGGTTAAAACTCATGAACAAGATGAAATTGAGGAAGATATCTAGAGAAAACTCATGAACAAGATATGTTTTCTATTCTCTTTTTTTTTGTATTGATTCCCATTAAAACTTGTATTAGTTTAAAATTGATTAGATTTATATTAGTGTAAAACTAATCGGACATGGTATCCAGTCATTTGAATTTATATGGTCGTTAGAGATTATCTATGTTCAATTTGTTTGCACTAATGTAGATCAATCAATTTTATATTAGAAAATTAAATAATAATAGCAATCCTAAATAAATTTTGAATGGAATATGATGCTTTTTTTAATTGTATCAGGTTAAAAATTTCTCAACAACCACATCATGCAAAGAAAAAGAAAATTACCATTAATTTTTTAGGATTTTATAATTGTATTTATTTTATAGTATATTATCTGACTTTTATTTTTCAAGTTGCAATTGTATTTATTTTATAGTTTTTTCAAGTTATAATTTTTGTTTGCTATTTTTTGTTTTCTGGAATTCAAATTTTCAATGTAATAATCACACATTAATTTAACAAATACATATTCATATTTCTATATTCTTGTTGCATAGTAGTTTATATTTCTCTTTCTCTCATTTTTTTCAAGTTGTAATTTTTGTTTTTTCGAATATAAATTTTCAATGTAATAATCTGACATTAATTTAACAAATACATATTTATATTTCCATATATTCTTGTTGCGAGTAGTTCATATTTTTGTTAGTTACTTTTGGTACTTGCTTTCTCATTAGCTGTGAATCGCAAACTCTAGAACATGAATAACAAGTAACATGTATGTAACCATAATTGACACACTTGGACCAAAAAGTAAGAGGTTTAAAAATTGGACTAAATAATGGGTAAGATAAAAGAAACAGCGTAATGCGTAATGACGACATGTTTTTGATCTGAGAAACGATGTGGTTAAAATCAGCCATTTTCGGCTCGGTCATAAGCGTTGGATTTGTGCTTGGGGGCAAACGTGAAACCTTCGGGGACCTTTCCAAGCAGCAATTCCGATATCCGCACCTGCACGTCGTTGCGACATTAAAATCAAACCTTGAGACTTCATATTTATATTGTCCAAATAAAGGATGAGAGGAAAATTTTACGCACGCACCCAGTCACCCGCAGATTCAGACATCATGAGTGTCTCGAGATCATCACGACCAAAGTAGGAAGGCGGACGCCAGTTGATTTGCTGCGGGATCACATCGAGCAAACCCACAGGTATGTACCTAAACGTGTAGCTTAGCCACTCCAGCAAGAAATGCCTTGTTGTCTCAACTCCTTTTGTGTCGGATCCCCAGTGTTGAAGACCGAAACGTACGAAGTCCTTCAAGATGTTAAGTCTTTCTCCGGAGGTAATGTCCCAGTGCCGTTGCTCTTTGATTTCAGTAAATATCCAAGGCTGCACAAGTCCAAAAAAAGCTCCATTGAGACATACTACATCCAGTGATTTTAACTAGGGAGGGCTTTATAGTATTATTAGCTCATACACACACCTTGATCAGTGCTCCACGAGCGATCATGCAGCTGGACAACTCAGGACAGTCAGACTTGTGTTTGTTCCAGTCCACATAAGAGTACACATCTCCGTTTCCTATAACTTGCAGGTCACTCGAAGCGTTTCTGGTACACCGGTATATATAGTCCCAATCCGCAGACTTGCTATAACGTTGCTGTCTTGACCGCCCATGTATCGTCACTGCACTTGCTCCCCAATTCCCAATATCTGATATCAACGAATCTATCCGGTTCTTGCCCTCGAAAAACGCCGTGCGTACCTGGCAAGTCAAGAGTTGTTTACATACCAACACAAATGCATCCACAAATGCTATGGAAGGCCATTTAGTTTCTGATTATGATATATGCTTAGGAGGTTACCTTGATCGTGATAGGTGTTTCAACGATGGAAGAAGAAACTTCCACGATGTTCTTCATTCGTAAAGGTTTGTTGAGAAGAGCTGAACCAGCACTTTTGTTGACAACCATATCTATCGGGCAGCCCATGTTGATGTCTATGAAATCAACCGTGCATTCTCGATCTATAAGCTCAACCGCACGAGACACCGTGTCGGGAAATGAGCCGCAAATCTGTACACCAAACAGATCTTCCGATGAATGCCGTCTAAGCAGAGCCCATTCCGAAGCTTGCCCCTACAGTAAACCATTTTTGTAGGTACTCACATTACTACCCAAAAAAAAAAAAATGTTTTGTGACATGTATCTGTCCACATAACCTTAGAGGGCTAACCTGCAAAAGATTTGTGCACATTGCCATCTCACCACAAGTCACATCTGCTCCCAACACTTTGCAAAGTCTCCTGAAGGGAAGATTCCCCACAGTTGTTAGGGGTGCAAGGTACAACTTATCCCTAAAATCAATAAGCTTCTTCTTTTCGCGGGGATGTGACTTTAGACAAGCATCAGTTTCAACAATTTGGATGCTATCCTCAGAATACCCGTTCTTTTCTGTTTCCACTTCTACACTCAGGCCTGTATCAGTACAATAAAATGGAACATTATGATATGTTCTAGTCCCACACCTTTCTTATGCCAACTCTTACTCTTTGATACATAGGACATATAGCTAAGAATTGAAACTACGCAACCAACTGAGACAGTCTAGAAATAGTTGACTGGCAATGTAAGAGAAGTAAGCCTAACCATCATTAACATGACCAGGTTTAGAATCCTCCTTGTCCTCAGATTTTGCCTTTTTCATGGGACGAACTTCCTCAGTTTCTAATGGTCCAGGAATGTCAACATCTTCTATCATTTCTGATGCAGGCTCAGAACTGACAGCTGAGTCAACCGCAAGTTCAGTTGTTTGAGTGGCGTTGGCACCGTTTTGACTTTTCTCTGCGTTATTTTCTTCAGCTGCATTGCTTTTTTTGGCATGTCCCTATGAAAAGGACGAGACAAACCACATAAGAATGATCATGTCACATGCTAAGAGACATGAGTATATGAGATGCCAGAGAAACAAGACAAAACACAGAAACCATGGAGTTACCAAGAGGCCGAGGGACTTGAGTTTTGCATCTGCTTTGGTAAAAGTCATCTTATTTTTCCAAAGAAGCCTCTGAGTATCTTTGTTAAAAAAGTTAATCTCTGAGTTTTTCTCCGCATCTGAATTAGCAGCAATATCTCTGTGGGTGCCTAAGAATCTGCATGACAAACCATATGCGCATTTCATTTCAGAGGCCACAAATGGGCATTCCCCCTCTATATCTTCTGGTTTCTGCAAAAAAAAACAAAAGAACTGTCAAATTGTTGTTTTCTCAACTATGGTTCGATCCACCAACATTCCAAAACGAAAACAGTATCAGGAAACTGCAAAAGTGAGAGTACCTGAGCCTTGAAAGCTTCAATATCATGGTTGAACCGGCATTTTTCTTTATACTGGCATGAATTAACGTCTTGTGTTCTCGAAATATGCGGACATAGATTGATGGCAGATTTCTGCAAGAAAGAGCATAACAGGTTCGGTTGTCACTAGCCAGGAAGCATGAACAATCGCAGTCGGATTAAGACCATTTTCTAAACAAACCAGTTTCAATTGACAAAAACAAACCAATTCTTGCTAGCACCAATGCACACTATACTCTTATAAGAATTGGATGAGTCTCACATACCTCCCGGCGTTCCCGTTTAATTTGTCGTTTAGATTTTTTCTCCTGGACCAAGCCCGACTGATGCGCCTTAACTTCGGCGGCACGGCTTGGAGGTGGACACAAGAACTCCTTCTTGATAGGAGCCATTGATCTTTCTATTAGCTCCTCCGAAGTCGCTTCGTACACAGAGAACTGCTTCGTCGACTGTTCCGGCGACGCAGGCCTTTCATCTCCTTCAACACTCGCGAGCTCCCCTACTACATCGGCCATAGCTGACAAGCTCCCAAGCTACACCAAAATGAAGCGAGTTGATGATGATGACATTGTTGCAGCTAGGGTTTTAGATATTTCCACAGAGACGAAGGCAACCATGAAAACGACGAGACAAAATGCGTTTTGGAACATTCATGGGATGCTTTTTTGGGCCAAACAAAAAGAGGCCCAGTTTATTACTTGCAATTTCGAAAAATAAAAAGATTTGACGAGAAAAAACAACAAAAAGAGACATAATCCAAACAATTTATAACACATAACAAACAGAGAATCTCTTTGTCTGAAGCTCAATCTCTCGAGCCTCCATATTCCTTCATACATCATCATACATACCTCTATCTACCATAAATTGAATTTTTGTATCTTTCTAAGATAAAAAAAAAATACTGTAAAATTAAATTTCTTGGACTTACGCTATATATGATATATGTAAATTCAACAGACTCTGCACATAAATAAAAAACTAAAAACGCCAATCCTGTTTGATCCAGCCACCACCGCAACAGCTTGACTGCACTATTCATTTGACTCAGGTTTGGTTCCATTTGGTGGCTGCTGTCTTAGCTGGCTGATGTTGAGTTGCTGGAACATCTCCGCGTTGAGTGATTGCATCTTTGATCTGTCAGATTCATTCTGGCTGCTCTCACCGATTGCCTGTTTCAGTCGCTGGACTTCCCCGTTCAATGCCTCGTTCAGAGCTGCCACAGGAAGAAAAACATCATTTTTGTTATGTGCAGTGCAACAACAACAAAAAGTGGATGGAGATCTTATTATACTAGCATATAGGATCTAGTAATTAAGCTTCGAATACAAGTAAAACAGTATAGAGATTTCTTCAATTTCGTACTGATTCAGATATACATGAGTCAAATCAGTGGCGAAAGTCATGCTAGTAAACTCTTGATCCGAGAATTAGATATGTTTAAAGAGAAATGCATACCGTCACGAAGTCGCGCTTGCTGCTCCATTGCTTGAAGACGAAACTTGAGCTCATTGTTCTGGTTTGTCAACCCCATCATATCTCTCTGGATCAATGCAGTAACCACTATCGTTAATTACAAACAAATCAAAAAGAGAGAGAGACCAGCTAGTCTAGGACACTGTAGACGACTAGGCACCTGCAAAAGCGTGAGCTGAGCAGACAATGTAGTAGCCTCGGTCTGAAGAGTCTGCACTTTGTGTTCCAATTCGACTATGTACCGCATCTTCCTCTCCTTTGACCGCGCTGCAGATTGACGGTTCGCCAAGATTCTGAAAGGAGGAACATTGCATTAACATCGGAAAACCCCATTTTAAAAACCCGTCACAATATTCAATATACCTTTTGACACGCTTGGGGTCAGACATGGCCATCTCTGCTAGTTTATCATTCGCCATGATCTTCTTCATCTCCGCTGCAGTAAACTCGCCGTTCTTAAACTCGATGCTAAAAGCAGCCACCGGATTCCCGCCGTCCACCGAACTGGTAGGGGAAACTTTCCGTGACATAGTTCCGGGAGAAGGAGGCGGCTTCAGTGACTCGTCCCCAAAAGACAACTTCTCCATGAAACAGCTGTCCACTGAAACACTCCTGTAATGCCTGCCCGTAGGAGCAATGTCTCCTCCGCCGGCTCTTCTCTTCACGCTTTCCCTCTTTTCCCCACAAGAGTTCAAGTTGTGATTGTTGCTACTCTCATTCACACTGCTGCTCTCGCCTTCTGTGTCACTACCGTTCGTCTTCGTCCCGCTTGCTCTGCTGCTCTCCATATCATCCCGATTCTCGTTACCGTTCTTGCTATCATCAGCTTCCGATGAGTTTAAGACATCGATGTTCTCAAGATTCATATACGCTGAGAAGAGATCATCCATGGCTTCCCTCTCTCCGACGCCTTCTCTCTCCTTCTTCACGAAAGGGGTGGTCTTTGACCAATCAGCACATTCGCCGCCGGAAATCGACCTCTCCAGTGGCCTAGGAGGGATCAGAGGCATGGGATTAAACCCACTGGGGATATCACTGCTGGAGCGTCTATGGGATTTTCTCGGAGGAAGACTCTCGCCGACGACTCTAGAAGAGGTTGAGTTACACCTAGTGAACGGCGACGGAGGCAACAGCGAAGGGTTGTTGTTAAACCCGCCGGAATCTCTATCCTCCATGGAGACATCGTGATCGCGAAAGGGAGAAGGGCTTAGCGGAGGCAAGGAGTCGAAGGAGAAGAAAGAAGAAGGCTGTGACATTGACCGTGAATGACTAACTCCCGGGTTGAAACCGGGTTGTTGCCGGGTCGCCGGGATCTGAGAGTAGGGAGAAGTCGGTGGGATGAAGTTGGGGCGAGGCGGAGGTACACCGATTCGTTTGCCACTGTCACTGAAAGGCTGCGAGAATTGGGGGAATTGAGTGGAGCGGATGAAATTAGGGCTCGATTGAGGGAGATTGTCGAGCTGCTGATTCAGAGAAATGGGCTGTTTCGGAATCGAAGAAGACGATGTCCCGAATGATGAATGCAGTCTCTGGATCATATCAGTGTTACACTTCTCTGTATCACCCATTTCGAATTAGATCGAAACCCGACGGATAATGCAGTGAAATTCACCACTCGAAGAACCAGAAACCCTAGACGATCAAGCTTTGGGTAAAACCTATCATGATGAAAGAAAAAAAAAGGTAAAAATATTTAGATAGATGTTTTATGAACCGAGAAAGGAGAATTAAATTCCGTCGAAGTTTTATAAAAATCACAGAAAAATCAGAGAGCAAAATGCAAGTGGTTACCTCTACTTCAACGCACTTAGCTTGAATCAATCAATGGCGCAAATGACGAGAACGTATAAGGAAAACAAAGAAGAAAAAAAAGACAACTCTTTTCTCTCTCTCTTACAACGTTGAAATAAAATAAAATAAACTATCTAATCTTCCTCTCTCAAGATCTCTCTACTCTCTCTCTAGAAATTGGAAAATCAACCGGGCCATTTTGTCATCTTTTTTTTTTTGTTCTCCGCGATTTTCTCTCCCCTTAATTTATTAGTATTTTTTTCCCCTCGAGAAAATAGTAAAAATCGAAAGAGACAACGACTTTTTTTCTTTTGGGCACGAGCAAGGAAGAGATGTTTAAATACGCTAACAAAGAAATAAAATAAAGAAACACGGATGTCATGGGAAAGAAAAAGAAATTAGTATAATCACCCAACAAGACGCGTGAATTTACCACATCCCCAAGATTCCTATTAAATGCACTTCTATCCAAAAGTTTACTAGTAGTAATCTTCATTTGTAGCCTTTCTGTCAAAATCTGATCATAATGTATCAAATCCCATATACACTAGATATGATCAATCCAAGTTACAGTAAACTTTCTATAAATTAACAATATTGAGATTATGATATTTTATTAATTTTTTTACTAATTTGTAAAATTTATTAATTTATAGAAATTATTAATTTATAATTATATTATTTGATTAACAGATTAACTTTAGAACTGATAAAAGTATTAATTTATCAAAATATTAATTTATAGAAATTTTACTGTAAATTATTAAAATGTAAAAATTATAAGAAAAGTCTATATATATATATAACTTGTAAATTCATTATATTTGTGAAAATTGATTTTTGTCATACGAAATGAAGATGGTTTCAGTAAATAAGTTCCGAAGGAGTCATAGTGTAATTCTGGTAATAAATGGAAGATAAAATATTTTATGGTAGACATAGATTTTTGATGATAACATATAAGGATTAATCAATTCGGATTGTATTCCGATTTCCGACCACATTTGACATTTTGGCTAGGCGAAAGATTCTGTCCGTTATGTCATGTGTCTCCGCATAATGTAAAAGCCATTCTTTGTTTTTCCTTTTTCTGCCTCTTACTTATATAAATTAATATGTAATGGACCGCCATATTGAAGGATTTGTTCCGGATTTCTTTGTCTACACCAAGTCTTGTTATTCAAAAAAAAAGGAGATTGTTACCGTTCATAATTTTTAAAGATCGTCTGTTTTAGTCTCGTGCAGCAACGTATGAACGAAGAGACTGGTTGCTATGGAAACATCATTTTTTTTTTTTGACGAAAAAATTCAGCTTTTTGCTGTTTCCGCATACCTTTGAGTTTATGTCTAAGATTCTCACACTTGACCAAAAAGAAAGAAAAGTAAAGTGTTGTATACAAACTTTGAGTTTGGTTTTTCGGGTGTAGTTATATATTTGTTTACGTACAGTCTAAGAGCGTCATGGCCTTTAAATCTCTAAAATAACTGATCATAGTAATATTTATAAGAATAAGAAGTAAATATATGCACCTAAATCGTGACATTATTTAAACAACGCATAATATCATATTATTTAAATAGCGTGACAACAAAAATATATACTATATAGTGTGATATTAGAAAATAGCATACTATTTTTATAAGTTTAGACTAGGAACGTTAAGGGCTGTTAGATAACAAAAGAATGATCATTGGAAAAAATGTTATAAAAGTTTTTAAACAACTTTTAAACTTTAAATTTTGCCTATCAATATGATCATATTCATAAAGTCTTTAATTGCATGCATGAACCCCACACACAACAGATATTGACTCTTATAACCACCTCCCTCCATGTTTCTTATAAAATATGTAGATATAATCAATTATTTGATTCTAAGATTATAATATATAAAAACATGCATGAACTAACGTGGAAAGACGATGTACAACTCAATAGTCACATTAATTCGTCAAACGAACTAAGACCAAGATGTCTTGAATAACTAAGTTATAGTTTTGAAGTGTTTTTTTTTTTAGCATTTGCTTTATAATTTTGAAGTGTTGCCAAAATATTTTTAAAATATACATGAAACAATCGAGATGACCTACGATTTTTAGAAGGAAAAATATGAAAAATCTGTCTACTGGTTATATATTAAGTTAAAAACGGAAACGAGTTAACTATTCATAATACCTATTGCTTAAAAATAACTTGGAAGACAAAGATTCGCTTGTGAATGGGATGATATAAAATCGTAGTTAAGGTGTAAATCACGTGGAATATTTACTCACAGATATCAGAAATGCTGGAATGGGCGTGTTATTTTACAATTAACAGAAACAGAAACTTAGGTTGCACGTTTTAAAAATTAAAACACGATTGGGTAATTGGTAAATAAAACTGTATCACTTTGTAACTAGGGGTGGGTGTGGATCGGTTATCCAGAAATTTTTAAGTATTTGTGGTTTGCTCTGTTTTTAACGGATATTTAATTTTATGATTTGATTTGCTCCGAAAATATACGGATATCCGGATTTTCGGATATCCAGAAAATTTATAAGTATTTGCGGATATTTGCGAATATTTACGGATATTTATGAATATTTAGTTTGATCCGTTTATTATACAAAACTGAAAATACATCAATTTTTATTATAAAAAAAAATTCATCTAAACTATTAAGTAAAAATAACTAAAAGAAAACATTTTATCTTATAAAAAAATTTATAAAAATACAAAATTAAGATGAAGAAAAAATAATATTTTATATTTAAAAATAATATTAACTAGTTGAAACTTTAATATTAAACTTTACTAAAAAAACTTTGTTGATATTTATTAACTAGTATCAAATAAAATATTATTTATTAACATATTTTAAGTTTAAACATACTATTTATTTTTATGATTGGTTATTTAGTCATTTATTTTATATAATCAAAAAAAATTTAGAAAATATTAAAAATTAGAAATAAAATCGAGAGTATATTAATAAAAATTTATAATATAATTGATATATACATGATAATATATACTAATATATAATAAATTTATAAAAATACAGATCGGATCGGATATCCGACATTGTCTAAAAACATATTTGTGATTTGCTCCATGAATACTATATTTTGTTATTTGCTTTGCTTCGAAGTTTTACGGATATCCAGATTTTTCGAATCAAATCGAAGCAAATATAGGTTCGAACCGGATATAACAGATATTTTGTCCACCCCTACTTGTAACCAAAGTTTTTTTTGTTTGGTATGATGACCATCTACTATTTGTATATGCAATGGAAATGATCTACTGATGTAACTGATCTAATATGGGCCAAGCATATTTATTAGATTAAATATAAAGTGGGACCTTGTTCTTGATCATGGAGAAATTTGATTTCTTTTTACAGAATTAATTTCACAATCTTTTGCCTGCGAGAAATTCGTAGATGTTTTAGATCATAACTATATCGATCGCACATCCAACTTTCGGTATATTTCTTTTTTCCTTTGAAACGAATATACTCTTTGGTATTTAAACTTCCTTCTGAGTACGTTGACAGAAAGAAAAGAAATCAAATAAATTGAAAAGAAGAAAGAAAAATTCAACAACAAAATTTATATGCTGAGAGTTGGAATCATATTACTATATGTGATATTATAGAAGGAGTAAAATGTGAACCGAATCTCTGAAAAAAATGCGAACATAATTACGAATAAGTAGGCCAAATATAATTCGCATTTTACTATAAACCTCGTTGTTTATATAAATAGGTCGCCGGCAAAAAAGAAAAATATGTATAGGTCGAAGCGGACCCTACATCGCTCGCTTATCTTCTCCAATTTAAAACCAAACTAAAAATGGCGACAATTACGCCGATCATAACACGTGGTTTCTAGTACAACCGTTAGATGACAATTGACTTACATATGGGACCCAGTTATACTATCCCCATTATTGGACTAACTGTGACACGTGGCGAATTCCAGGAATAAAAATTGGTTGTTTACGAAAACAAAAATAAACAACTAGTATGACAAGACCTTCGCATTACACAACGTCTGGATCACATAAATCAAAATGAAAATTAACATTAAGCTTAGAAATGCGGATAAATCAACAAATCTCATAGAAAATAAACGAAAATTTTTGACGTCGAAGATGGATCCATTGTAACTGGAAGACTCACCTAGTCCGACATGATCTTAATTGGCTACGCAATGGGAATGAAACGGTGCGTTTTAGCTTCGAGGTATTATTCTCCGGTATCTTGTAAGTCCACTTTTCATTATCCGGATCAACCACAACCGCCAAAGTCCGACGACTGTTGTTATCCTCAGTTTCTTCATTTCTACCCCTATCTGCAGAAACGTCGACACGTTGATGTTCTACTTCGACGGCTGAACTAGAAACTTGCTTTAACCCTTGCCTGGGCGAACCAGCCATGACGATACCAAGACCGAGCCAGATGAGAATAGGAAGAAAGATTAGGGACAAAGCGTAGTAGATGATCCACTGGAATTCGATATGGTTATTTCCCTCAAATGCCCATTGAAAAGCAAAAGCAATGCCTGAAAAAAACGTTGCAAAGCTGCTTATGAGATAGATTTTAACGATTCTTGGGTTTGGAACCTCGAAAAATGTTTTGGTGCGGTTGAGCCACTTCTTTGGTGGATGCGACTGCACCAGTGGTGGGATTGTGGCGATGGTTTCTAACTTTTGTTCCATTTTTTTTTTTCCTTTCGGTTGAAGAGAAGAGAGGAGAGGAGACTGAATAACTTTGTTAAAGCTACTTGACGAGTATAACAAAGAAATTCCTGAACTTTAGTTGAAACGGTTACGATTTTGAGATCTTTCAATTGATATTTTGATTTGAAATTTTTTTTAAACAAAATATGATAATTCGCTAAACAGTTTATTATTAGTTACATAAACATCAAACCAAATCAAACCAATACTAAACATTTGCATTAACGGAACTATAGACAACAAAAACAATAATGAGCCTCTAAGCTTCATTCTTTCATCCTTTGAACCTAATTGTTAAAACTAAAAAAGAAAAGAAAAGAGAAACCCACTTGATTGATACACCATAAATCTTGGCTACTTGATAGTGATGTAGCGATTAGTGCCGTGCCTAGCCCAATAGTCCTTGAGATCAACGGGAGAGGAGAGGTCATGGGCTTCGCCAGCTAAGCGGGTAAGTAACCTGGAGAAGACACTTCCGCTCATTTTCCTACCGCCCATTCGCGAGTGGCGCTTGTTCGGCATCTGCGGGAGCGGATACTGAGACAACGTGGTTGTGCAGCACGATGATTGCCACCCTCCATTTCCCCACTTGTAACACTGACGAGCAGTCCCTGTGCAAGTGCACATGGGCACTGGCATCGTCGTCTCATCGAATGTGACTAGCTTCACACCCACGTCGCTACTGTCCCAATCTTTCCTGCATTTCTTTCCCGGAGAAGCAACCTGCCGGTTCAGATCCTCCCCCACTTTCTTTCCCTTTGACCGTGTTTCCTGTTTGCCCTCTTTCTTCCTTTTGCTCGGTCTCGTGTTGCCCGCCTCAGGTGGGATAGTCGATATAGGGGAAGGATCTGGCAGGTGGCTTTCTTCCGTTACGCAACTTTGGGAACCACCACGCCTTGCGCACGACAGTATATAGTTTAGATTGTTTTCACGGTACTGGAGAGCATTCAACGCACTCTCTCTCTCCATGATAGCATTATCTCTTTCGGAGAGAGCTTTGTCCCGTTGCTCAAGTGCTTCATCCCGAGCGGCTAACGCTTCCTTCCTCGCTGCTACCGCTTCGTTTCTTTCCTTCACCGCTGCGTCCCTCTCGGCAAGGATGGACATGATCTTCTTATTCATCACCAGCGCATTATGCTGCTCCTTTATCTGATGCTGAGGCATCATATTCCACTGCACACAAACGTTTGTGCTTAGCTTTCTGTCATCAAGGGGTGAAAAATATGTTTGTGATCTACTTCAAGTGTTTTTTTTGTTTTTGTTTACCACAGACTGTGTCCCTTTGTAGTAATCGGGCTTGTACCGCCCATTTTCATACTGCCCACCACTCTCCATCCCTTTACTGGAAAAGAAACAAGAAGGAAATCTTCAAACGTTGTGATTACTTCTCTGAAACTAGGTTGAACAACTTGGCTGAAGAGTGAAAACAATGAACAGGTATCACATAAGAGCAATACAAGAAAGCAGCACAGCAGAGAAACTTGAATCTGGTCAACAAGAAGAATCTTTTGATGATCCATGAGTAAAAGCCTGTACCTTTCTACTGAATGCTTTGCTATTCATGCATTAGGATACTGAATCAGAACTCATCATTGTTTACTTTATTTGATAAGAATTCATTCAGAATTGGAATTCAACCCATAGTTGATCATCCAATCGACCAAATGACACAGAGATCAGAAAAAACTAGGATTACCAAAAAAAAACTCATTGACCTCACTGCACATTTACAATTTACCAAAATTATTACGGAAACCGTATTACATCCAAAGTAAGACTCTCTCTATCAGCTTAATACCATTTAATCCAAACGAATAACAAAACAATAACCAGAAAAGAGTTCAGATTTCAAGCTGCTGAAGCTGCGGTGAAGAAAAAACAAAAGGGGAAAATCAAAATTGAGAAAGGGAACCCTAGAGACTCTAATTTCAAAATTCGAATAGAGCTACAGATCAAGCAGGAAAGAAAAACAAAATTGATCGAAAGCTTACGGATTTCGTCGAGCCTGTGGGAGAAAAGGGCAACGGGAATTGAGAAAGATATCGGGGGCGGGGGAGATTTGTCTGTAGAGCGAAGAAGGTGGGAAGTGGAAGAAGAGCTCGACGATACTTGTCGAAATTTACCATTATACCCTCTTTTCAGATACGAAACAACAAACAAAGAGAAAGGTTATTCTCGTCTATCTACGTTACCCGTTCAGTGCAGAAACGTTTCTGTTGGAATCTCTCCCAATACGCCAATATTACCAAGTAGACATCATATAGTTGACAAGAAAGCAAAAAAGATTCAAGAAGATATATGACACTTTCGAACAGAAACATCAGTCAATTTACAAAACATGTTTATTGCGAGAGAAGACACAAAAAGTCAAATGGTTAGAAGCTTCGTGATTCGATCTAGTGTCATAGCTGCAGTCGCTAAAAAAACTATGAGAATTACAAAGTTTGTGAGCTATTGGTCCAAGCTTGTGAGCAAGATCTACTGGATTATCAAAGGAAAACAACTTTACTCGTCCTGAATTGATTTACACATAATATAAATATATAATTAGAGCTTGTTGGATAGTCACACAAATTTGGATGATAACACATCGAATCACTATTAGTTTGTGTGAAAGAAGAAGAATCATGGATTTTATTTACCATATCAGTCACAACTTGGATGGAAAGTTAACTAAATCATGGGCCGAAGCAATGGCCCAAATAAAAAGAAGGCCCGTACGCCGGGTCGAATACGGGTTGACCCGGTTTGAGATCCCGACGTGTGCGCTTCGCTGTTGTAAATATATCATCACCAGGCTCGGAAATCAATCCTTGTCCTTATACGCGTAAATCAACGGAGAGAGATCTGAGAGAAGCAGCTTAGATCAGATTCCGGTGTCATCTTTTTAAGATCCAGAATCGGCCGAGATGTCTACATTCAGTGGCGATGAGACTGCACCTTTCTTTGGTTTCCTTGGCGCTGCGGCAGCGCTTGTCTTCTCCTGTAAATCGTTTGATTCTCTTTTAAGATTTCCGGATTTTGTTTCTCTGATCTTATGTGTGTCTGTTGTTCTCATGTTTTGGTGTAAAAACATATTTTGCGCTTTGGATCGGCCCAGATAACTGAACCGATCTGCCTGTTCCTGTTGATTTTTTCTTATGAATGCTCCTGAATTTGAGATACTAGGACCTCCTTTCTCCCATGTATTTTGATTTAGCTCACTGAACTCGGATTCCAGTTTCTCAACTTTAGGCAGTGGATCAGATTCTGCTACGCTGGTTTAAAGCCGGCTTATATCTGTTTTGTTATGTAGAAACTGAGATTTGGTGATCTGTTCTTTTCCTGGCATATTTACTTACTTACCATCAAATCGGCCGAGTTGATTTTCATACTTAGTTTCTTCAGATCCAAGGCATGTTGATTGACTTGCGTAGAGCATAGTTTGATTGTGATCTAACAGTATCTTGTGTTGTTTTCCTGACGTGGTGGAGTTTACTGTTGAAATAGGCATGGGAGCGGCATATGGAACAGCCAAGAGCGGTGTAGGTGTGGCATCGATGGGTGTGATGAGGCCAGAGTTGGTGATGAAGTCTATTGTCCCAGTCGTTATGGCTGGTGTGTTGGGTATCTATGGTTTGATCATTGCTGTTATCATCAGTACAGGGATCAACCCAAAGGCTAAATCGTACTACCTCTTCGACGGATATGCGCATCTCTCTTCTGGTCTCGCTTGTGGCCTTGCTGGTCTTTCTGCTGGAATGGCCATTGGTATCGTTGGTGATGCTGGTGTCAGGTATGATACACCCTTTTCTCCATCTCTTTTTTTTTTTTTTTTGCAGAAGATCGTCATGGTTGGGTTATCTCCTAGCTTGATTTGTTGAAAGAATGGTTTTTTTTTTTATATAAAAAGCATTTCAGAATAACTGTAGTTTAAGGTGCAATTTGATGAAAATTGGTAGAGACTATGTGCAATCCACTTACTGTTGTTGATCTATAATGAAAGAAATGTCACTTCACTACCTGCTTTTATGTCTCACTATGTTCTGCGCCATGGCTTATTTTTTGATTTTGTAACGTATGTGTGTGAGAGTGTGTATTCCCTCGTATATGTATATCCGTGCATCCCGTTTTGATTAGTGGTTTGATCGCAGGGCGAATGCTCAACAGCCAAAGCTTTTCGTTGGAATGATTCTTATCCTCATTTTCGCTGAAGCCCTGGCTCTGTACGGTCTCATCGTCGGGATCATTTTGTCCTCCCGAGCTGGTCAGTCCAGAGCCGAATGAGAAGAGAATGCGGTTCCTGCGTGATTCTTTCTTTGTTTTTTCCTCGTCTCTTCATCGAGCCAGGATCTTCTTTTTATATTATTTATCAGGTCAGTAGAGACACACTGTGGTTTTGCGAAGGTGCTTGCATGAAACAAAAACCACAAATCATCAATGTCTTGTTCGTTTTCATCCTTGTGTTATGTTTGTAATATTGACCGTGACGGATTCTTGTGTTCCCAGTAAGATAACTGTGAGAGACACCACCGTATTTCTATTTTTATCAGTCCAATAAAACACCCAAAAAATACTCGATTTGATCTTGCTTGTGAAATCCTCTTTTTCTTCTTTTCTATTGGTTTTTGACTTCTAATATTGTCGTGTTTATTGTATGTTATCATTAACTACTAATCAACGTCAAAATAAATCAAGGTTTTTGAGCTTTCAGATTTTCAAGGACAAAAATCAAGTTTGTTGGGTTTTGCAAAATGTAAAGAACGCTGCGCTGTTTTACTGATGCAGACGGCTAATGTCTGCTGTTTTTATTGAGAGAGAAGAAGTGAACCGCCGTCTTTGGTTAAATAATAAAACACACTGAAGAAATTTTCCAACCGTCTTTGTGGAAACAGAAATCGAATCGGAACGGGCAGTTTCTGAAACCCTCTCTCTCTCTCTGTTCATAAAGTCAATCCGGCCGTACTCGTATGTTGGCCTTCCTGAAAACGATTACAGAATCAGGTTCTTCTCCGAGCTTTCGTCGATTCTGTGATTTGATTGTAAATCGGGATATGTCTTCCCAAATTAGGGCACAGAAGAAGCAACCGCCTGAGCCGCCGTCTCCGCTTTGGTTTCTCCCTGAGGAAATCTTCGTCGACATCGTAGCGCGTGTCCCGAGATGCTATTACCCGACCCTCTCCCAAGTTTCCAGGCGTTTCCGGTCGCTCGTCGCTTCGCCGGAGCTTTACGCGAGACGATCCTTCCTCGGACTCACAGAACAGTGCCTCTACGTCGCAATCTCCAAGGATCAGACCTCCGATATCCACTGGTTCACTCTTTGCCGGAAACCCAACAGGGAAGAGGTCTCCGATTATCGCTTGGTCCATATCTCGTCGCTCCCTCCGATGCCTCTGGATGGAAGCTATGTCGCCGTTGGTTCGAACATCTTCGTGATGGGTGGGTTTCGCGACTGGAAGATCACATCGAGCGTTTCGCTCATCGATTGTCGATCCCACACGGCCCAGCCTCTCGCCGACATGCCCAAGGCGGTCGCTGGTTCGGTCACGCAAGTGATAGATGGCAAGATTTATGTGATCGGAGGATCAGATACCCTGTCGCCGATGAAATCGCCGTCAAGAAGCATGATGGTGTTTGACACACGGAGTGAGAATTGGGAGCTCAAGATGAGGCCAGATTGGGAGCAAGGGAAGAAATGGTTCAGCAGTGTGGAGATGGGAGGCAAGATCTACATGAGGACTTGCTACAACAGCTTCGTTTACGATCCGGGTGAGGATAATTGCGAGAGAGACGAGGTGTTGCACAGACAGGAGTGGTCGAGTTCGTGTGTGATAGAGGACGTGTTGTATTACTACGATGTTCGTGGGAAATGCTTGAGGGCTTATGATCCGAAGCAGAGATCTTGGGGGGTGGTTAAAGGTTTGGAAGGGTTATTGCCTGACGGTTGTTCGTGGTCGAAATCGGCGAGCTACAACGGCGGGAAACTGGCTCTGTTCTTGCAGAGTAAAGAGATTTGGTGTGCGGAGATTGCAGTGGAAAGACGCCATGAAGGAGAGATTTGGGGCCAAGTTGAGTGGTGTGGCGTTGTTCTTGGTGGGAATTTTCACATTATGGATTGTGTACCTGTAGCTGTTATGCTCTGATCTTGTTGATGGATGTAGATAGATTGTTGTCTCTCTTACTCGGTTTTCTACCCTGTTAGCTTTTAATATGAATGTTGGTATTGTGAAATGTCTTAATTCTACTGAATATTCATTCTTGTCTTGTGGATCATCAAACGTTAAACATAGCTCAGCATTATTGGATCTTTAGTCATATGGAATTGAGAGTACATATAAGGAGAATTAATTTACACACGCTTTAGAAGTGCATTCGCAGCAACAAGCACCGCCAAAACTATAGATTCGACATTCGCCTCCGTTGGGAAAACCCATTGCCGTGCATTTTTGATAGCATGCCGGTGTGATTGTACATCCGTCTTGCATACATTTGTAATATTTCCCTAATCGTTTTTCATAAACACATACCGTATTAGCAATGTAATTATATACAAAAGAGATCAGTGGCAGAGCCAAAACATTTTTTTACTGGAGGCAGAATCAAGTATAGCTAATAAATTACCTCCAAAAAATGATTTTTGTTTCATTTGATCAATAAAAATAGATAAAAATTATATAGATACTAACACAAAATTAAAAAAAAAAACTTAAAGTTGATAATAACGAAAACAAAAATATACAGAAGTTAATGAAAAATAACTTTTTAAAATGATTTTTTTTAAATACTTAATTAAATAAGATCCATAATTATTCATGTAAAATGGATTTAGAATAAAACTAAACCCAAAATTAATATAAAACCATGAGCCCAAAATAAAGTTTTTGTGTCTAATATTTTTAGTTTTTTTTTGTATGGGGTCAAATAAGAAAAATTGATGAAGTCATAACATTTTTTAACTAAACATAAACATATATTTTTTAAAATTAGATGGGGTCAGCTGTTCTCTCTACCCGGCTCCGCCCCTGAAAGAGATGACCAATTTAACATGTTAATTTTTTTTTTTTTAAGTTTGAGTCAATCTATTCTTAAACAAATAAATTTATCACCTGAAATTAGTGGCAAAACGGTGAGAGCAAAAACCATCAACAAAGGTAATAGAGAACATGAAAACTTCTTTGCTGCCATTACTTATGCTTTTATCTCTGGATATTTTTGAAAGAGAACAAAACCAGTATAAAAAAATCAAAATCAATGTTAGAATAAGTTTTTGTATATAGTAAGGACATATTTTACAAGACCAAGAATATATAGAATATCAAAGTAAAATCAGTAGTATTTTCTGACCCCCAAAAATTACTATATCTAATGTGTAATACATTTTGGGAATTGAATTTTTCTTTTCTTTTCACTATTTGATAAAAAAGGATGCTGTGTGTTTTCAATAAAAAACTTCTAACATTATTACCTGATTGACTGATTCTGTTATATGTTGAGAGAACTGATTGTGTTGGTTTTGTGTGTGTTTGTTTATATATACAAATCTTCCATATTATGTAATTAATGAGCTTTTTCCATAACATAAATTTGACTGTAGCGTTGGTCAATGGATTTTATCTTGCGTTACATTCTACAGTCAAATATACATGTTAACACAAGTACATTTATATGTAAATTTGACTGTAGTATTTAACGCAATTTTTACGGATACAAAGAAAAAAAGGAATTGACTGGAAATATATCAATTGTATGCTACAAAATGAAAATACAAACAAAGGAAAAAGAAAAGACACCAAGATGTATATACAAAACATCGCTTCCGCTACAAGAAACCAAAAGTATAATGTCAATGCGGGAAGCATATGGTTAGAAAAGTGTAGGCATGCTTTTTCTCCAGCTATGCGATCTCTGAGCTGTCAAGAACGAAGGAGGCGTGAAGGTCAGACCAAACATCTCCTTCATGGCTCTGCCTTGCTCAGCGAACCTCACAAGCTTCGCTACAACATCTGCGCTTTCCACAACCTGAGTCATGTCCTTGGGATTGCTCCAGAGCTCGTTCACAAGTTGTAACCGCCTGCGTTTGGAGTTAACCGCAATCCCAAACTTGTGGTAGATTCTTGTCCTCTCTTCTCCTGAAAACCTTTTTCCCACAAGCTTGCTCAGCATCTTTCTCTCCCTGTGAAGCGCCTTCCGGCTTTACCCAAACCAAAACGCCACAAAAGAAAGAGTAGACCTTTAACGAAACTGCAACCACAAATGCCAAACGCTACATAGTATATACAAACGCCAAAATGATCTAACCTCGAAGCCAGTGTAAAGGTTTCTCCTCCTTCCAAGGCTTGGTTTCCCTGAGAGAAGCGATCTTTCATAAACATAAGTCTTCTTAGCTCTACTCCAATGTAGATTGAATCCGCCTGATCTCCTTTGAAGAGCAAGTAGAAGTATGTTCTATGCACCAAAGAGACATTACAGGTTTGCCATAGCTCCAGAATCTCTTGGCGCTGCCTCTCAAATTCCATGTCCATGGAGTCCACACCAATGTGCCTCCCCATTTTACCAGAACCCTCAGCATTCGAGACCTGATCAAACAAAAACTTGAAAATGGTTTTTAAACTAGGAAGCAGAACCAATTAGTATCAATATATGTCGTTGAACTTAGTTACCTCGCCTTGACGCTTAGCCATGTCCTTAAACCCTTCCACAAAAGTCCGGATGCTAGTGATACCTCCCTCTTCTCCCAACGGCGTTCTGATGCCCTGAGCCCCAGTGGAGTCGCTCCCGAAAGAAGACATAGAATCATTCCTCGACACACTAGAACCAAACTCTAAATCAGGAAACACAATCTTGTGTCTTCCGAGGAAGTCTGTCCCTAGGCTTTCAGGTGGAGTGCTCGTGCCTGGCACGGTCTCTCTCTGGTTCCAGCTTCTCATCCTCACGTTCTGGCCTACACTCGTTTCACCATTAGCATCCGCACTACGGCCTAAGACGTCATTAGGTTCTGCTCTCTCGTCTTTGTGGTTGTTATAGTAGACTGTGGCCGATTCCTCAATCTCAATGCATTGAACTTCTCTGCAATATTCTTCTGATGGATCTTCTGAACGCCTAGGTAGCTCTTCATCGAGATCATCTTCGTCAGAGGGAGACCGAACATAAGCTCTTGCTCTTGAAAGCGGCGGTGTCGACAGTCGATCTGATATGAAACTCCTCGTGTCTGAATCATCCTCCCACTTGTCTGTGTGGTTGCCGAAATGCGGAGTTCCAGACTTCAACAGAGGAAAACACAGATGCACGACGCCGTTTAGAGGCAGAAATGCCATAAAAATTTAAGGGAGAAGCATGAGCAATACCTTTGACGCCTCATCGTGTTCAACCATTCTCATGAAATCTTCAAGACGGGATTGAGCAAGATCTCTCTGTTTTCTCAACTCTGCGATCTGCTTTTCCATCTACACAATATTAACCCACTCCACCAGTTACAAAACATAGTCATACCAAACCTGAAAAAAGGAAATACGAAAAAAAGAAGAAGCACAAACCTTTTGTATCAGAAGATCTTTCTTCCTCACCGTCATGGCACAATCACAGTTTGAGGCAGGGGAGGCAGGGTTTCTGAGCTCGGTCTCGAGCCTCGCAAGTTCACGCTGTAGTTGCTTCAGCAGAGCCTTGTCTGACATAACAACATTGATCCGCGCCTTTGTGGTAACTTCCTTTGCACAGCGAGCAAACAAGAGAGTGTTCCTCGTTAACTCTACATGACTCCTCGCTGGGCTGAGAGTGCAGATTATGGCGGTTCTTGAATTACCCCCCAAGCATGGCTGCAGAATCCGTGTGAGCTTGGAGTCTCTAAAGTTGATGTGGCCTTGTCTTCCCTTACTAGATCACCCGAAGTTGGATTAATTACTTAATCTACTAAACATGATAAAAAAAAAAAAAGTTAGCAATGTACTTAGGTTGTATGGGTTTACACACACCTAAGTTTACGGATGACAGTTCCAAGAGTGAGCAAACTTCGATTGATATGGCAGCCTTCCTTGAGCCTTGCACCAGCTGACATCGCTTGTGATGCACGCTCGCTTCCCGCCAGATCGATGAAACTCTGAGCCACGGTTATTACAAATCCTCAGAATCTAACATTTTTTTTTTTTTAAAAAGGATTGTTTAGCTTTGCAGATGAGAGCATACCACAGTCGCCACGAGAGTGGTTGAGTTTTCTTTGTCTACGAACTCACGAGCAGAGCTTTCAACTGTCTGAAAATCAACGATACAGTCAAGGGCCAAGCTAAGTATGAGAGAATCTTTGTATCTCAAAATCCAGTGATAGATAAGATATCAACCAGTCTGATGATTTGATGAGATCTCGAACTTCTCTCATTCAGTGAGGTTTCACCAATCTTACGCTGTGCTGCAGAGATTGTAGTAACGTGAAAGTTTACTTTCCGGACAACATGTTACTAAAGAACAAGTTGAGTTACAGACATTGTTATCATGGCTACTTCGTAGTAATGGAAAGTGAATTTGACTTTTTAGTATTATTACCTTCACAAACAGAGAGAAGCTCCTTGAGATGGTTCCAGTCTCGCAGAGTTTCCTCTGTGGCTTTTTCAACAACGGTCCCTTTCTAATAAGAAAAAAAGAACAAGAACAAGAAGAGTCGGACAACTTTGTATAACTTAAAAGCGCCTCGTTAAGGAAAATGACAAATTCATATGAACCTCAGGATCGTCTCGTAGCCTCAGAGATGTACCATCCGAGCTAAGCAAATCTCTTATGGCCTCGTTGTAGATCTCTATTGCCGAAAACTTAACGGAAAATGCTCTCTCTTCATGCTGCAGCATCCAAAGTCCAATTAGTAGTGCATAAGAAGAAATAAAAATCTCTTGTAATGATGAGGAATGCACCTGAAATATATAGTCAAAAATGTCGGCCACAGCGAACTGAGTAATAGCAGTCATGGTGTATGTCTTTCCGCTACTCGTCTGGCCGTATGCGAAAACACTACCTGTCAAATGTTACACTCATTCAACAACTCTACCGTATCGGTTTCAACAGAAACAATGGGGGCAAAGGAAGCTTACAATTGATTCCTTTGACAACCGAGAGGGCGATTTCCTTGGTTCCATCCTCGTAAACTTGTCTGGTGGGACATTCACCTCCGTAAACTCTATCTGTCAAACAGGAAAAGAGATATTAAGTTAACATAAAAGGTTGTGCAAAGAGGTTAAAAGCGGTATCGCTCTTCTTACCAAATGAATATGTAGAAGGAAAGTTTGAGCCTTCGCGCAACGTGTTTCTGTACAAAACGGTGGTATCATTGATGCATTCCCAGTCCGCAGCTTCGTTAGCCGCAATCTCTTTCTCGTTAAGGGGCCTCAATCTCACCAGAACCAGTATCTTCTCTTCTCTGGCTACAGGCATCTCTGTCTTCTCCATCTTCTTCTGCTCCTCTTCACCAACTGCTACCATTAATTTGAGCTTTGTTTCTCCTGAAACAGTTCGAACTTTAGAGCTCTAAGATTTGGAGTCTTTGCATAGTTATTGCAGGAATATATTATCAGGACTGATGAGACAAGTTCAAAAGCAGAATACTTTTGACAAGAGACCAAAAGGGCCCATTATTTTCTAACCAACACAACCATATGTAAACGGTAAAACTCTCAGACATATGATCTCACCAAACCAAAACTAAGTGATTTAAAACATGAAACATGCCGAGAAAAGGAAAGGCTTCTCTGTTCTGCTGAGAGAGAAAAGTTGAAATCATCAATGAACCAAACACACAAAATAAAGAGAAGACTTATTGGTATTATAATATTAACACAGTTTACTTAGAAGGTGATCAACCTCAACTGAAGAACACAGAAAACCCCAAAAAAATAAAATAGAAAGAGATTACCGACTTTTGCTGTAATGGTCACCCACTATGCTTGAAGACTAAGTCACGTTTTACCAATCTAAACATTCTTTAATCGAAAAAGAAGAAGTTCCGTATCATTTGAAAAGTGACTTGGAATATAATATATTATTGTATTCGTAAGTCTTCATCAGTAGAAAGACGAGACAAGGTCAGTGAACGAACGCGCGTTTAAGTTAAATAAGAGGGGCTTCGAGGTTCAATGTCAAAACGCAGAGAATACTTATGAATTGCACATGTAAACAACATTAAAATAGAAATGCATCTGAAAGGCAATATGGATTCTGAAACCTAAGATTTTCGTACATAACAACAAAAAGAAACATGCAAAGAGCTCATTACCTTGTGAATTGACTTCTTCCTCAAGGCAATGGTGGTTCCAGAAGCCTTGTCTCTCACTCTGCAACGAAGAATAAACAACAATGTGATGGGAAAAGTAAAACTTGGGAGAAAACCGGAGGATACGAATCCTAAAAGTCTCAAACGGTGAGAACTGGAGACAAACTGGTCAGAGGGAAAAACCAAAGATCTTTAGGCCAAGACCCAAACAAAAAAACGGAAAGAGAAATCACATTGTTATTCTATTACAGACCCACTCACTCTTTGCTACTGTTGTTCTTCGTCTTCTTCTTCTATTGCATTTGCTCCCTCGGAGGGACCACTGGACCAATCAGCATTGATTTGGTCCCGCAGACCGCAGATTCTCTCACTCTCTCTTCTATTCGCCGGTTTCTCTTTCTCTCCACTTGGCCGAGTATTACCTCCTTAATGACCGTTTTACCCCTGCAACTTTATTGGGAAGGTTACACCCTATCGCCACGTGGACCCCTATCCGTTTTTGTGGAAATTGGATCTAGAAATTGGGCATTATCTATATATGTAGCCCACTATTACAAGTAAAGCCCAACATTAACAATGATATACTTTATTGAGAAGGTTACACCCTATCGCCACGTGGACCCCTATCCGTTTTTGTGGAATTTGGATATAGAAATTGGGCGTTATCTATATGTAGCCCACTATTACAAGTAAAGCCCAACATTAACAATGATATACTATAATTATAATTCTACGGTATTAGCTTTAACTGGTGACCAATAAAAAAAAGAATATAAATGAAAATGAAAAAATAAAAGGAATAAAAAAAAAATGAATAGAAATAAAAAATAAATAAAGAAATAAATAAATATATTTTGTTTCTTTCCAATTTTATAAAGAATACATTTATTTTATAAAAAATAAATATACTGACCGTGAGTCAGTATTGTACATATATAGGGCCCTTGTATATACGATCGATCTATACGTTGACATACAAAAAGTCAATATATTCAAATAAAAGACGGTAAACTAATGCATCCCATAATGATTCTGCAAAATATATATATATAACAAATTTTGTAAACGCTAATAAAAATTTGAAAAGGAGAGAAATAAAAAATATATCAATTTTGATATACTATTGAGATTCATTGGAAAAGTTGGGAAATCTATGCAAATCTAACATGATTATTCAGATCTTAGTTAATCCGAATATGGGTTAAGTAAAAACAATTCAACTTTAAACGAAGGCCACAGAAAGAGTTTTGAGAGTTGCTTTCAACCACTTCTCGACCACCAATTTTAAATGGCTGGTGACACATTTGGCCCACCCACCTTTTTGTCTTCTTTTTTTTTAATTTCCTCTTGTGGCTCTTATTTTTTTTCCATTTTCTATATATTTTCTTGTAAATTAGTCACACGTCCTAAATCTCTAACACCACTCTTACCTTTAGAACAGTTCCAGATAGAGATGTCCATCATTTACAATTTTAATTACTTTAAAACCATGTAATGTAATATTGAATGACAATAGAACTTACCACAGTGTGAATGATTCACCTAAACGAAGGAAACATAAGGATGAGTCTGCTTCAAGGAGACACGTCAATGACCTTCCGGATGACATAGAGTCTTTTGTCTTCACGATTAGGGTCCCCATCTACTAGAAGAGATAATTTTCTTTTTGTCATTTCATGGACTTTAATTAATCTTATTAAAATTCAAAAACATATCCACTACACATTGATCTTTCCATTATTTTGTCCTAAGTCCTAACCATACTACATTTCTAGTTAGGCGCTTATACAATAATTTAAAGAACAAAAAACTACTAAAATGTGAGAAATTACTAAAAGTAGTAATTAACAGTTTTGCCCTACATGTAACAGCGAGTATGGTCTTGGCGCGTGGGATTTGGTTCGTCTCTTCTGGTCTCTCAAGCTTCTCCTCCATAGTAGAAAGGATTTAAAGGCGAGAGAAAACAATTATAAAAAATTTCTTTCCTTTTCCTCCTCTCTTCTTCATCTTCTTCTTCCTTGATTGATACCAACGTGTAATCCCAACCCTTAATCTACTTCGTCCTTACTTAATCAGATTTCTACTTGTTCCACTTCTTCTCTTTCAACCGCAGTCATGGTTCAGTACTGAAGGTGGGAGTCATTGTTCCGAATCGAGTAAGAAAAAAAAGACTTTTTAAGATTGAAGAAGAAAGATGCGAATTTTATGCGATGCGTGCGAGAACGCAGCCGCTATCGTTTTTTGCGCCGCCGATGAAGCTGCCCTTTGCCGCTCCTGCGATGAAAAAGTAATCTCTTCTGAAAAAGCTTTTGTAATTCTTTTCTGTGCCTGTTGATAGTGTTCGTTAAAGATCAAGTCTTTGTTATCTCTCAATTGATTCGGACCTGGGTTGATCTCGAGATCTTGTGTTTCTCGTTCCTAGTATAAGACTTTTCTCAACGAGTGAAGAAAGTAAATTTTTTTTTCAGAAGAATAGATTGTGAGATTTGGTTGAATAAATTGCTTTTGAAGTAGAATGGATAGTGAAAAACTTCTTTTTTTAAAAATGAAATCTTTTGCATTGTGTCTCATTTGGTGGAGATTAGATGTTTTGTAGATGACTTTCATGTTTGATTACACGAGATTCAGTGATTATACTGTGTGATGTACATTGCAGGGAAAGGTTTTGTCTCCAAAGTTTGCATTTAGTATAACTTCTGGAGAAGAAAATAACCAATTTTCCGCTCTTTGCGATTAATCATTACTTCAGTTAAATGTCTCTTAAGGGTAACACTTTTACAGTCCTTCTCGAGTCCTTAGCTAATCCTTTTCTGTTGCAATCGCTCTGAGTAGTTTCTAAAAGAAGATTTTTTCGTATGGATTTTGATCGAAAAGTGGTTAACTTGATGTATGATTCAAAAACTTTGTAATGTTTTGTTCTTTTCTTTCAGGTTCATATGTGCAATAAGCTAGCTAGTCGGCATGTACGTGTAGGATTAGCCGAACCAAGCAATGCCCCATGCTGCGATATTTGCGAAAATGCGCCTGGTATGATCTATCTACATTGAATTTTCCACACTCATGTTTTCAATGTTTTCCACAAAAGATCTCATACTTTTTTTTGTTTTTGTGAACAGCCTTCTTTTACTGTGAGATAGACGGTAGTTCACTTTGTCTGCAATGTGACATGGTAGTACATGTCGGTGGCAAGAGAACGCACGGGCGGTTTCTTTTGCTCAGACAGAGAATTGAGGTTTGAATTAACTGTTTTGTTTCTCTCACGTTATCTTGAGTTTGAATCGTCATCTTGAGTTTACCGCTCTTGTTGTAGTTTCCGGGCGATAAGCCTAAACCAAACAATACGAGAGACAATTTGCAAAACCAAAGAGTCTCTGCAACTGCAAACGGTGAAGCTAATGGCAAGATTGATGACGAAATGATTGATCTTAACTCTAACCCCCAGAGAGTACATGAGCCAGCATCAAATAACCAAGTACTTGGATCTCTTCTTTCTACATAATTCTCAATCTTTCCTTTTGTGTTCTCAATCTTTCTTTTCTTTTGTTTCTTAAATGAGCAGGGTATCGATGTAAATAACGTGAACAGTCACGAGCCTGCAGGTGTTGTGCCAGTTGGAACCTTTAAACGAGAGTCTGAGAAGTGATGATGATAAGGTGAGTGTGTGAATCAGTTTAAGAAGATTGTATAAAGTTTTCAGGAAATTGAAATTGCATGTTCTTCTTTTTCCCTTCTTTTGATTCCATGACTGTTGCAGGGTTTGGTGTAAGCGAAGCTTTGTTGTTGAAGGAAGGAAGGAAGGAGGGATTGTGTTGTTTGTGCATTATCTTAGTTTTAAGGAAAGGGCTCACATGAATGTATAAGCGCTAATATCTGAAATTCTGCATATTTGTTTATTTCTGGGTTTTCCTTTTTTCCTTAATTAAAAATCCCTTTGGAACATTTATAGTCCATTGGGCCAAGAAATAAAGAACAAATTGGGCCAACAAATGGATAAAGGTCCATTTGCTATGCAAAGGTTCATGTTAGTGCAAAGGTCCATCAATCATTATTCACATTACTAAAGTCTTTCAATATATAAAGACTAGTATATACTTTCAAAAACTATTAAATAAGATTATTTACAAATAGAAATAAATTTATCATAGTATTAATTTTTTCTGGGGGGTAAAAATCTTAGTATTAAATTTGACATATGGAAGATATAATTTAAGACATGTTCAATAATTTGACAAAAATGTGTATTAGTGTATTTTGATATTACACTTGAGATATCTTATAATATTTTCTATATACGAAAAACGTATCATATGACTATTTGATTACCAAAAAGTTGATTAAGTCTGATTTTAGAGTGATAGATGGGAGTAAAATAATTTACAAAACTATTAACAATATTTCTACATTAAAAGTTTATAACTTACTTGAAGAAAACTGATAAATGTAAGATATACAATATTCATCACATTTATCAGTTTTTCTTCAAGTAAGTTATAAACTTTTAATGTATATTGTGTTATTCCTATCTTCTTAATTTTTTTTTTACTTTTCTTTTTTTTATGAAAAATTAAGAAGATAGGAATAACCCAATATGATGTTATCCTTTCTGTCTTCTTCTTTTCCTATCTTTTCCTATCTTTTATAGAGATGATAAATAGGGTGTACATGAGAGCATCTAACATAACCCAAAATAGATAAGATGTTACACATAACGATGGAGATAGATAGATAACTTCAATATATTAAAACTTATTAAAAGGAGTAGCTAGTGCAAATTAAGCAGAGAAAATAAATGATTTGACATGATAATAACAACCAAACTCAAAAACAAATGTAATAAAAACATCTGCTTCATCTCCTTTGACAGCATCATGATCTCTTCAATAGGTGTAGCCTTTGACGAACATACCCTCCTTAGCCTCTTCGGACTCACCTTCTCCGGTGTATTTTCCGAGCTGAGCCAAGGAATTGGCCTTGGCTCGGGCCAATAGGGTGGTCTGAGCCGCGTTCACGTTCTCGGCTCTGCCTCCCCATGTTTTCAGACAAGTGTTCTGCAGAGCGCGTGCGTAGGAGAAGGACACATGCCACGGGTTTGGTGCCTGGTTCATCGCGTTCAGGTTCAACGTTGCCTCCAACTCAGACTGTCCTCCGGACAAGAACTGCATGAAAAGAAAACACAAACAACTTTACTTTAAACTCAAGCAACCAAGATCATGGTTTTACTCATAGAAACACGAGAAATAGATTTTGAACTGCTAGCTCAGGCAAAGAGAGGGAGAGAACTTGCCATGATTCCGGGGACGGCGGGAGGGATTCTGTTGCGGAGGAGCTTGAGGGTGTAGGAGGCAACTTGTTCAGGAGTAGCTCTGTCTTTAGACTCAGCTCCGGGAGTCACCATGCTCGGTTTCAGGAGGATACCTGTGTAAGAAGATGTTATCCGGTAAGCCATTGATCTTTAAGACATTGCAAGTTGTATAAGATAACGAGAAAATACCTTCAAACATGACATTGTTCTGAGCAAGGTAGAAGAAAACCTCAGCCCAAACCTTCTCTGCGACTTCGTAAGTCCTGTCAATGTCGTGTTCTCCGTCCAACAAGATCTCTGGCTCCACAATTGGAACCAATCCACTGTCCTGAGAAAACGCAATTCGCCGTGTGAAACACAGCTTTAAAGAATCCGATTTGCCCTGTTTCTTGAAGGACAAGCTATGTGTTTTACCTGTGAAATGGCAGCGTATCGAGCAAGACCCCAAGCAGCTTCTTTTACAGCGAGAGCAGAGGGACCGTTGGGAATGCTCACGACAGTACGCCTAATCGACCATCAAAACCAAACTCGATATAAACTCGACACTGAGAGAAATATTTTGGGACAGGAACAGAGTGTACTACTCCATACCATTTGGCGAAACGAGCACCCTGTTGATAGTAAGCAGCGGTTCGAGAGGATAGACCGTCGAGTCCTTGGCACCATGACTCATTGTTAGAGCCAACAAGTGGCACCAAACCCTAAATTACATTACATACAAATATCATTTACTCAAATTAAGCACCATCTTGGTATATACTCTATCTAATGGTATGCATTTAGTTATTATACCTTGTCGACTTTGATGCCTGGGACGATGTTCTGCTCGACGAGGACGTCGACCATTTTCTTGCCTTCGGTGGTAGACTGGTACAGAGTCTCCTCGAACAGGATTGCGCCGGAGATGTACTGTCCGAGCCCTGGTGCAGAGACCAGCAATGTCCGGTAAGCTTGACGGTTTGCTTCAGTGTTCTCTAGCCCTATCGAGTCCAAACGCTTCCCGCAAGTCGCGTTCGACTCGTCCATCGCCAAGATTCCGCGTCCCGGAGACGCAATTGTTTTCTGCTCTAACACAAAATACAAAGAATCGAATCAAAATGCACTTTTTTTATGTCTTCACAACTGTCCGATTTGGTTCAACCCAATTGTATTTTAATTGGAGTTATTTTCCACTACTTTTTCTATACAAGAACAAACAAGATCTAAGATCAACAACGTATCATATTGTAACTCTCTCTGTTTTTGAAAAAGGCTGTATAACCAAAATCTAAACGGTAAAAAAGAATCGACCCAAACAAAATTCGGTTTAAATCGGTTATGAAGCAATCAGTAGAAAAAGGTGAAAACCGAACAGAATTAATCAATCAGACAGACATATTCGAATTCAAAAGGTCAAAACAAATAAAAGGACCTTTAAGAATCATGCAGATAAGACACGTGGCAAAGAGGAGGGTATGTGAGGAGTACTAACCGCTGTCTTAACAAGCTCATCGGCGTAGGAGGAAGCGGCACGGACGGTGAGGGAGGTGGCGCGGTTGCGGAGGACGACGGAGGCGGAAGAAGGCTGACGGAAGAGAACGCTTTGTCCCTTGACCCAGTCCGATTTGTCCAACACTGGAGATGCCTTGAGGAGTGAGGTTGATGCCATTTGTTTGTTAATGTTATCTCTTTCGCTTCTCTGCCTTTGGTTTTTTTGAGAGACTCACAGTGAATTTAGCTTATGACACCCACCTTATCTCTGAAGAAGAACCTCACTCTCCTTCTTTTGGATTTATATTTCTCATCAGATCAGTTATTTGAGGTTCTTGTGACCTTGCCAATTAGACTCTGCCACGTGGACCGTAATCTTGTACTACTCACCTATTCAAGAAAATACCACGGAATCGATACTCCTTTTATGCTCGTCGTTACATGTTTGCTTGTTTTTTGTTTGCTTCTACGGGAAATAATCGAATTATAGTACCCACAAATGGTAAAGATTCGTTATATATTACACAAGAAAATATGAATTATGCTATAGTAGCATATTCGCATGTGCAAAAAATGAATACAAAACCTCAAAAATTATTATGGAGGCCCGTGGACCTTAACATTAAATCTGTAACTTCTTTTTCTTTCCTTGAGTTATATGTCTCTTGTACTACTATACATGTTGACATGATGCTGATGAGGTCGAAGACAAACGCATCATATTCAATTGAGAATAGTAATTTTACAAAAAAAAGTTGATCTGATAAGGGAATGAAAAATCATGAGGTTAGTATCATTTTTAATATTTCAAGAGCGGACGAAATTATTAATGAGCTTAGTGAAGTCTAAATTTGACGGTAGAAAGCTGACCACGTCATCTTAGTGATGCTACACTAGAGGAACCTTGGATTTGGCTAAGACTAGGCTATAGGTCTCAACCGTAAGCCGTGATTTCCCTGCGTTTTCTTAAGGTTGAGGTTAAGTATAGAGATTTTAAGAGATTGTGAGGTCTACATCAAACGGCTGAGAGAGACTGCAATCTCAATCGTGACCAAATTGACCCTTATAACCTCCGGTCTGGTCTAGCAGGATTCGAAATCTCAAACCGGTTAGTGCCGGTTCGAGGACAAGTTAAAGCAAAAGAGGTAGATTTCTCAGGTCAAATAAACACATACTTAGAACTGTATCCTTTCACTTAAATGTTTCAGCGAGAGACAGATCCGAGATCCCAGCTATCAGATCATCGATACTGCTCTTCCCCGCAACAACTTGAACATCATTCAGTGGCCGAACCGTGGAAGACTCATCGAGTGCATTCTTCAGTTGCAGCAGCAACCCATCTTCCTCATCATCGTCGTCCCTCACGATCTCAAGATCCCACACCTTGAAAATCTCTTGCGGAGTTACTTTAAACGGATCCTCTGAAACAATAAAATCGTCAATGTTGTCTTGAATGTATGTGCTCATGAAATCATCCTTGAAGACTTGAGACGTTTCTGGCTCTCCTTCTTCCTCTTCTTCCGCCTCTCCATTACTCCCACAACCATCATCCTCTTCGATACATTCAGCGCCTCCAAGATCTGTAGTACGATTGTGCACTGGCTCGGAAGTTGCTACTTTCTCCGCCATGGACTTTGGAAAGTAATGATCTTGTAAAGAATTCTTTGACGGGTCTGATTCAAACGTTAGCAAAGAGACGATCTCGCTGACTTCTTCGTTCGACGAAATGTTACTGCTGCTCGCTGCTGAAACAGCTTCCGATTCAAAATCCCGCGTATGAAATGACTCGGCTTCAGTCATATCATCGTCTGGAGACGGAGACAGGACACTTGTTGTTGTTCCTGTTGACCAAGGAACAAAAATATCGGGATGGATATCGATGATTTCTGTTAAAGCATCTCTAAAGGTTCCCCAATCAGTGTTGCCTGAATCATCTGGAAAACTGACGATGCAGGAATCAGCCCAAGCTAGAGATTCAGGGGAAACATCTTCCTCGTTTCTGACGGAAAGAGAAACCTCTCCTTCGTCTTTTCCTTCAGCCATTACCTACAAAACCACATCCAGATCTTTCATGTTAAGACAGACAATAGAGAACAGCACAGATTCTCCAAGACTAAAAATCCCAAATTGAATCTAAAAGGGAGCAGAGAACACGAGTTCCCATCAGTAATTAGAACAAAAATAAAAGACGGTTGCATCGATGCGAATTGAATCGGTGATTGGTTATAGAAGCATCAAATGCCAGTTTCGGCATCTTCTTCACCACCAAAAGTGAAAAACCTAATTACTCAAAATTCGAACGCAAGAGTAGAAGATCACAGAAAACACATGGGTGTATATATAACGAATCGAATCAGGGTGTATAAACGTCAAATACGGAAGCTGTCAGAAGGAAATTCTACAGAGTAATACCTAATTCGGAGTGGTTTCGAAAATGACTAACCTCAAGCTATCGATACGAGAATCCCTGAAGAAAAAACCCTAATTTTGGAAGGTATAATAAGAAAACTCGCTGTTCGGATTTTGAAAACCTTTCGTCACATCCGTCCGAATGAAGAGGAATGGTTGAATAAACTCGTGTCCGATGCCGTTTTCGGAGGGCTAACTTCACATTTCTTTTACTCATAGCCCAATTTTATAAAAGGTTTTATAGAAGAAGCCTCATACTTTTTTATTTGTAAATGTGATCCTCAAATGTAGATATACTGTATAAAAACACCTCCATGGAGGGTATTTCACTAAATATTTGACATTAAATAATAATAATATAATAAAAAGAGAAAAGAGAAAAGAGAAAGTGAAATACGTTTCTTAAACGAGAAATTTAAGAAACTCTCATATACCTAATACTTTCTTAATTATGTGTTCTTTTATGAATGGTTGAATATATTATATCATAAATATTAATTAAAAATAAAATAATATAAAATTTATTAATATACTATTGAATGAGATATCCAAAAGGGTATACCGGAGTTGCTCTAACACACTAGATTTATTATCTTTAAACTACCATATTATTTTTTCTTAAACTACCATTTTTTTTATCTACTTTACGAGTAAATGCAAATTCGGAAAAAGAGAAAAAGGAATCAAGAGAAGTTGGGGTTGCTTTTAAAATAGGCAAAGAGACCAACAAAAGGTGCGTTGATGTACGTCGTAGGCTCCGTGTCACTAGCATTAGTCCGTTTAGCAATGAACTTATCATCAACGTCAGGCCCTCCAATCACTGCTCCTACGAGAATGTTTGGGTCAGGATTCGGTGATGCGAATATATCCCATCCTTTTATGCACCCGAACGCTTGCGGATGAACATTCACTGACGGTATAGACGCGCCACGGTGGTGTATCTGTCGCGGGTACTGATCACCGTACCCAACCATGTATGACAACTTCATTGGATTGTCTCCCAAAACGTACTCCACCTACCAACAAATTTACATGTGATTTTGCGATTTTACAAACTTTTCTATCACCATATCATTATCATAAATTTTACTATACAACGTATATATACCTGTTGTTTGACTATGCGGCGAAGGGAATCCGGTTCATAGTTAAGGTTGCCGCAGTTGAGCTGTTGGGAGGACTTGGAGAGGTAATCGGCGTAGGTGAGGAGGAGGAAAGATAGAGCCGCCGTGTTCTGCAGCTGGCTGCTTCCTGGTTTGTATAGGAGACCGCCCGGTGTGTAAGTCATGTGTGGACCCGCCGTTTCCGGAAAATATGAACACATCATTCTCTCTGCATTATCTTTATACGCTCCTAACGCTGTCACATTCTTCTCAAATACTTCCTGTGTCACCCATATTGATGTAACGTTTAGTTTACTATTTAATTATATATATATATATACACTTTAATTAATTGCGAGCATTGATCAAACCTTGGCAACGAGAACATGAACTCCCCCAAATTTGTTGTCCCACCCAAACTCATCGATATCGTAGTCTGCACCGAAAGGCTGACGATTGTTCACCAAGTACTTTAGGTAATAATCATCACCGGTCGCTCTTCTCAGCCACGCAGCTCCCCACAGCAACTCATCCTACGTGAAATAATACGATTTATATATAATAGCAATTAAAACCGATAGTATATAACATATTCTAAAGTTTACTGTACAGTTTTCAGAGATGAATTAGGTATATATACCTTATATCCATTAACACTGCAGTAGAAAGGGCAAACGGCTTGGTTCACACTCGGGGTATCGGTATAAGAGCCTCGATGTAAATCTGCGTACTGAAACGTTTCTACGGCTTTGTCGAGCAATATTTTAGAATATATAGGATCTGATTGTTTGAATGCGATTGAAGCAGCTGCCAAAGCTGCAGCGATTTCACCGGCTAGATCGGAGGCTGGATCTGGTGCATCTAACGCGAAAGCGGTTCGTGGCGTGTCCATGTCTTCCGGCCTTTCCCAACAATCATGGTCGGCTTGTGCTTCACCTACCTATACCATTTTAATCCTATATTGTTACTTTGTACCTCATACACTTTTACATTTAAATCCGTACTATATAACTGTTGTGGAAAATCAAATTACTGATTGCAGTAGATAAAACGACGACGCATTAGGGGATTTGTTTATACGTACTTGGACGAAAATGCGATTAGGGAGTTGCGAGACGGTCTTAAGGAGGTAATCGGTGGCCCACTTGAGAGCTAAGATATTGTATCCGAGATCATCGCCAGACATGTAACTTCCGAAGTCGACAGAGCTCCAAGCAAGCATCGTGGCCGTATAAGCCATCGGAAAATGAAACTTAACGTTGTCTCCGGCGTCGTAGTAACCCCCAACGAGGTCGGTTTTGAGGTTTATGCCGTCGTTGAGTGCAGAGTTACCACGCCACCCCATCCTTTGTTCTTTGGGAAGACGACCGGAGCGTTGACCTTCGAAGAAGAGGATTGACTTACTCAGAGCATCGGAGTAGTCGTGAGCGATCGGCGTCGGTAATAGGAGAAGGAGATGAATGAATACGGTTAAAATAAAAATCGCTGGTTTCATTTTTTTTTTTAATAACTTGGTGAGTTTTTGCTTTTTGGCATTTAGTTTTTAGGGTTTATGGTTCATATATATAGATATATTGAGGGTTTATTGCTTCATGTATATTTGGTTAACTTGGTAAGTTGTCATCAACATATATGTGGTGGTTTGGTAAGGATCCTTTAGTTACCAAATTTTTACAAAAGAATATTCACGAATTTAGCAAATTTGTGAAAAAAAACATATTCACAAATCTAGCAAAAAAAGAAATATGCTAATAATATAGTGGTAATATTAACATAATGTTACATAAAAGAAATATGCTAATAATAAATGAAGATCTAAAATATTATTTTGTTGGATTTGAAGAAATATGGTAAAAAAATACATATCTTGCTTCCCAAGTTATTCTAATGGAAAATATGTATATCATACTAATTCAAAGCTTAAAAACCCGATTTTAATGAGTGCTAAAATTTTTTGAACTTTACTCAAATCACATTTTATAAAGAATGATCGCGTGACATGAGGAATCATATTGTATATGTTTTGGTCTACGGTTTCGAGAGATATACTCGGCCTAAAATCCTTAAGTCATTACAAAAAATTGCGTTAGATTTTATCGTCTTTTTTGTTTGTTTAAAGACTAATCTTTTGAAATGTGGTAAAACTGTTTTTGAATGCAAAAGTTCATGTGCTTTTTAGAGACAATGTTGTGTTTCATCTAAGAAAGAGAACTTTTATCGATGTTTCTCTGCTATTTTTCTAAATACGATGTGTTCTAATTTTTTAATCGAGCTTTTATGCAATGATTCGAAATCGTGAAAGAAAAAGACTTTGTATCTTTGATAAAATCGTACTACAGTATCTTGTTATGTTTCATGAGAATAAGACCATGCTCTTTGATTTCTCTACGTAATGTTTATCTTGTTCTGTTGTAATTTTTATCACATCATCTTTCGTTTTAGTTGTTTGTCGCGTTGTATATTCATTTTAAGATATGTAATTTCAAGCATATCCAAACTGAAGCATTTTGTTTTTTAAAATAGTAGAATTCGTATAAAAACATTACATTTATTAGTATCTATGACCAACCGCTATTATTAGTTTTGGTTGCGAAATTTCGATTATTTATCTATTTATTTTCCTGTTGATGTTTTTGATAGAATCCATTTATGATTAGTTGAGTATAGTTGTATCATCAATGAATCATTTTGCACAATCATAGACCTATAAAATATATTATGGAGTGATTATAATCAATACAAAATAAGTACGGACACAACAAACCAAAACTAATTTGATATTAGTGCTGAAGTTAAGTTTTTGTTTTTTAGTACTCAATATGTACATCGAGAATTCGAGATACAACGAAGATTAAAATGAAATAAGTTCATTAGCATACTATAATCTTTCAATAAAAATAAAAATTTTACTACAAAATTGTAAAACGATGTAATTAAATTTGAGTTAGACGTTAAATATAAATGCATAAGAGTTAAAAGAAAGAATTCCTGAAAAGTGAAAAACCTAATTACTCGAAATTCGAAAGCACAAGAATAGAAGATCACAAGAAACACATGGGTATATAAAGAATCAAACCAAGATGTATAAACTACATATACGCAAGCTGTAAGTACTGAGTAACACCTAAATCAGTGATTAATTCCAGTAATCTCTGAGTAATTCAATTCAAGGAAGTGGTTTAGAAAATGACTAACATCCATCACCTCCGTCCGATGGAAGAGGAATGGTTGAATAAACTCGTGCCAAGTATGATGCCGTTTATGAGGGCTAAGTCGAGATAACTTCACAGTTCTTTTATTCATAGCCCAAACATTTTTGAGATTTTATAGAAGAAGCCTCGTATTTTGTATTTAAAGATGTGATCCTAAAATGTAGAAATCAAAACACACTGGGTTTATTGGTATAAGAACCTCAACCGACAAATTTATGGATTAAAATATATAAACATATATAAACTTATAAATTGAACCATACAAGCAGAACAACAAAAGTTACAAAACAAAAGAAAATTCTATAAAGAAAACGTAATTGAGTAATATAAATTTCTTAAACTATCAGTTTTCTCTTAAAAATAATAAAATATCATTGTAGAGTAAAGTTTACAAACACGCGGGTAGGAGTATATTCAAATTCGGAAAAAGAGAAAAGGGAATCAAGAGAAGTTGGGGTTGCTTTTAAAATAGGCAAAGAGACCAACAAAAGGTGCGTTGATATACGTTGTAGGCTCCGTGTCGCTCGCATTATTCCGTTTGCCAATGAACTTATCATCAACGTCAGGCCCTCCAACCACCGCTCCTACGAGAATGTTTGGGTCTGGATTCGGTGATGCGAATATCTCCCATCCTTTTAGGCACCCGAACGCTTGCGGATGAACATTCACTGACAGTATAGACGCGCCACGGTGGTGTATCTGTCGCGGATACTTATCACTGTACCCAACCATGTATGACAACTTCATTGGATTATCTCCCAAAACGTAGTCGACCTTCCAAAATACAAAACAAACAAAAAAATAAAAGTTTATTGGATCGATAAGCAAAAAACACAAACATGTATACCTGTCGTTTGACTATGCGCCGAAGGGAATCCGGTTTAAAGTTGAGGTTGCCGCAGTGGAGCTGTTGGGAGGACTTAGAGAGGTAATCGGCGTAGGTGAGGAGGAGGAAAGATAGAGCCGCCGTGTTCTGCAGCTGGCTGCTCCCTGGTTTGTATAGGAGACCGCCTGGTGTGTAAGTCATGTGTGGACCCACCGTTTCCGGAAAATATGAACACATCATTTTCTCTGCGGTTTCTTTATACTCTCTTAACGCAGTCACATTCTTCTCAAATACTTCCTGTGTCACCCATATTGATGTAACGTTTAGTTTACAATTTATATATATATATATATATATATATCTGTTCGGAATATATACACTTTATTAATTGCAAGCAATAATCAAACCAACCTTGGCAACGAGAACATTAACTCCCCCAACTTTGTTGTCCCAGCCAAACTCATAGTAACTGAAAGCTGCACCGAAAGCTTGACGATTGTTCACCAAGTACTTTAGGTAATAATCATTACCGGTCGCTCTTCTCAGCCATGCAGCTGCCCACAGCAACTCATCCTACGATTTATATATATGAAATTAAAACCAGTATACTACTAGACCTATTAAAATTTTGACTGTACAAAATTCAGAAATGAATGAGGTATATATACCTTATATCCATTTACGCTGCAGTAGAAGGGGCAAACGGCTCGGTTCACCTTCGGGTTATCGGTATAAGAGCCTCGATGTAAATCTGCGTACTGAAACGTATTTATGGCTTTATCGAGCAATATTTTAGAATATTTTGGATTTGATCGTTTGAATGCGATTGAAGCAGCTGCCAACGCTGCAGCAATTTCACCGGCTAGATCGGAGGCTGGATCTGGTGCATCTAACGCGAAAGCCGTTCGTGGCGTGTCCATATCTTCCGGCCTTTCCCAACAATTATGGTCGGCTTGTGCTTCGCCTACCTATACCATATTATCTATATATTGTTAGTGTGTACGTCATATATTTTTACATTTATATCCGTGGTTTCGTAAAAGAAAATATAATAGAAGAAGAAACTAATTAATCAACAGAAATTGATTACTTCTTCTCAGTGATGATATACAATTTGATTCTGTCATCATCGAAATACCTTGGAGTTCTATAATTTCCTTCCGACTACAGTATAACCATACACTGTACATTTAAAAGTCTTGGTAATTGCAAATTACTCCCTATTTTCCCGCCTTTTTATTTATTGTAAAATTACTAAAATGATGATAAATTGATAACGCACGATAGGAAATGGTGAAAACCAAATTCTTGATAGCGGTATGTATTGGTGAATTTATAAGTATAAAAGGATACTATACTATAATACTGAGCTGAATATTAATTCCTGATTACAGTAGATAAAACGACGACGCATTAGGGGATTTGTTTATACGTACTTGGACGAAAATGCGATTAGGGAGTTGCGAGACGGTCTTAAGGAGGTAATCGGTGGCCCACTTGAGAGTTACGATACTGTGTCCGAAATCATTTTGAGACATGTAACTACCGAAGTCGATAGAGCTCCAAGCAAGCATCGTGGCCGTAAAAGCCATCGGGAAATGAAACTTAACGTTGTCTCCGGCGTCGTAGTAACCCCCTACAAGGTCGGTTTTGAGGTTTTTGCCGTCGTTGAGTGCAGAGTTACCACGCCACTTCATCCTTTGTTGTTTGGGAAGACGGCCGGAGCGTTGACCTTCGAAGAAGAGGATTGACTTTCTTAGAGCATCGGAGTAGTCGTGAGGGATCGCCGTTGGTAACAACACAAGGAGAAATATAAAAACCGTTAAAATTATAATCGTTGGTTTCATTTTTCTATTTTTCCTTATTAGGCAAGGACTTGGTGAGATTTTGCTTTTTGACATATAGTTTTGAGATTTTATGGTTTATATTTATAGAGCTAGAACTTCTGGTACATGTTATAGGTATTTGGTTAATTTGGTAAGTTATCATCAACACGTATTGGTTTGGTAAGTATCCATGCATGTTAAAGCTAGGTAGGTATTTTGTTCTAAAAAAAAAAGTATACATGCATGTATTTAAAATATTCAAAATATTATTCTAGTTATACCTCGAATTATCTATTGTTTACGAGAAAGTGTTCTATATTATTATCCTAAATTTTTGTAAAGACATTAAAAGTTGTATAAATATCTTTGAATTTATTTATTTTTATTACAGTTTCAATTTTAATCTAGATCTAGTTATATATTTTTGTAATTTTGAGATTTGGTTAATTTAATCATATGTTTTTTTATTTTTCCTGTTCATGTCTTAAAATTCTCCATATTCTGCAGAAAAGTGTAATGAAAAAAAACATAAATAATAAGGTACCTAATTAAATTTAAAATAATTAAAATACAGGCATAAGAGATATCTGAAGGTAAAAAAAGGTGGAGCCGTAGATGAATGAAATCTGAATGTGTTTAATTTATTAAAGAATTGGATGAGGTGCAACGTTTATCCTGCAATAATTCTTTTATCATTGTTTTTTTCACATAAATGATGATGAATAATTAACATGTAAATGTTAACAGATAGCTTAAAGAAAATTAAGTATTCTTGCTAAAAGTCTTTGGACTTTTCTAAAAACACATTTTATAGCCAAGGATGGAGTGACATATGTATATAATATAGAAAGGGATCATATTATATGTCTTCGTCTACGGTTTTGAGAGATATACTCGACCTAGAATCATTAGTTTTATTTGCGGATTTAGATCATTTTTTATTTTCCTGCTAATCTATTTCATGAATCCAATTTTAATTATTTGTTGACTATAGTTATATCATCAATGAATCATTTTTGTACAATCATTCATAGACATAGACCTATATATAAAATATAGTATTATGAAATGATTATAATCATTGCAAAATAAGCACGGACGGACACACAACAAACGGAGACTAAGTTTATAGTATATATAAATGGTGAAGATAAACTAGTTTTTTTTCTTTTTTATCAACATGCTCAATTTAGTATAAATTATGTGCATGTAAATCTGGAGATTCAACGAACATTAAAATTGAAATAATGATTCATGAAAACTGAAGAAATCTTATTCTCCCTGTAGAAATACTTCATGTAAAAGATAATTTATTAAAAAATGATACCCCATTGGTCATCGTCATGTTGGTCCACACCATAATCAATTTCTCTTCTTTGTCATCAGGAAATTCTTCCTTTTTTTGGGTCAAACCATCAGGAAATTCATATATCGTAAAAGACTGTCAAATTTAGTTTTTGGCTCTGAAATATCTCATCCGAAAACTAAATAACTTTGTATCCATCCATTTTTCTTAGCGACCATTATATATAATGTATACTGTATGAATAGACTGTCCAAGTATCCATTATGTTTTGATTTGGAATATATAAACAAAACAAAAAAAAAGCAAATGATAACCGAATAAGTAATCCGAATGAGATATTAAGATTTATTTTTTCTTTTAGAAAAAAAATATTATCAATATAAAGGTTCCTTTTTCTTTGATGAGAGACTTAAAAAAAATGTACTCCCATTCTCATGGAATTTGATTTTCAATGACGTCAGCTAAAACCAGGATTGGCTGCAAAGTAAGCCAATACACCAACGAAAGGAGCATTGATGTAAGTTGTTGGCTCGGACTTGCGGAAATCGGACCGGTCATCATCGTACTTATCGTCCTCGCCGGGCCCACCCACCACCGCTCCAATCAAGACGTTTGGGTTCGGTTCGGACGAGTTGAAATAAACCGACCCGTCTTTGCATCCGATGGCTCCTGGATGATCCACTATCGACGGCAGTGACGAGCCACGGTGATGGATCTTCTTTGGATACGTCTCTCCGTACCCGACCATGTATGATAATCTCATCGGATTCTCCCCCAAAATATAGTCCACCTTCATTTTTCCAAAAAAAAATAATAATAATAAATATACCAAACCAACTCAGACCGTCTAGACATACATGTACAATCTGTGAATTTGGCTAACCTGTTTCTTGGCGAGGCGGCGGAGATGATCAGGTGGGACGGAGAGGCTGCCACAGTTGAGGGAGAGAGAGCTTCTAGAAAGATACTGAGCGTAGACAAGGAGGAGGAAAGATATGGTGGTCGCGTGCTGGAGCTGGCTACCGCCGGGCTTGTAAAGAAGACCGCCGGGAGTGTACTCGACGTGCTGTCCCGGAGACTCCGGCACTAAACTACACATGAAGCTCTCCGCCGATGCCTTGTACGCCTCTAGGTTGTACATATTCCCTGCTATAACTTCCTGTACCGGAGTTAAAAGTTAAACCCTCAAATTCTTTAGTTACAATACCGGTCGGTTTTGTATCTTAACCGGGTCACTTTGGATTCTCACGTACACGGAAAGAAACGAACATAACCTTTAATTCACATGCACGTGCAAGGCTCGTATTTTTCTATTTTACTTTTGGCTTTACTAGAGTTGATTAAAAGTTTGATTTCAATCTGATCACGTAACTCTCAGGTTAATATAAATTTGGATCTAACCTTTGAAACGAGAACATTAAGTCCACCAACTTTATTGTCCCAACCGAATTCGTCGACGTTCTCGCTTGCACCAAACGGTTCACGGTTACTCTCAATGTAGCTAAGGTAACTTTCATCACCAGTCGCTTTTCTTAGCCAAGCTGCTCCCCACAATAACTCATCCTATCGATCCCCAAAACAATACAAAAACACGCTCGTTAGAAAGAAAGAAAAAAAATCACCAAGAGAACATATTTTATTTTATCAAAGATTGTATGAATATTATGACTGTTCCAACTCATAATAATCTATTTCAAAATTTTATCACGAACTTTCCTAATAAATAATATTGATTTTAGATATTTTTGCCACCTGAAATCCGTTGAAATCGCAGTAGAAAGGACAAACGTCATATTTGATATCATCATTGCTGCTATAGGCACCACGGTGCGTATCAGCGAACTGAAACGTTTTTACAGCGTTTTGGAGCAAAGTCAGTGAGTAGCCTGGATCTGATGATCGGAAAGCAATCGAAGCGGCCGAGAGGGCGGCGGTGATTTCTCCGGCTACCTCCGAAGCTGGATTTGGAGCATTGACGGCGTAAGCAGTACGTGCTGTATCCATATCTTCTGGTCGTTCCCAGCAATTATGATCAGCAATTGGATCACCTACCTATCATAAGTTCATTTATTTAATTTTCTACTTTAATTAATTTGCATGTAGTTATATTCAAACCCTCTTAGACAAAACAATCATTAATGAATCTCTAACAAGAAATATACCAAACAACACCAACATCAACACCATATATTATATCTGGTTTCTCTAATTTTGGAAAAAAAGAGAGTTGAAGGATTCTGAGAGAGAGGTCTCTATCACCGCATCTCTCAACTCGTATTATTAAATGATTAAATTATACTCTAGTATGATGTAACGAAATGTTGATCATATCAATTCACTAATTCTATAGGTGTATTGTTGAACCCTCCTAATCCATTGGTTAACAATTATAGTCAACAAAAATTATAGTTGTTGGTTCCCAAAAAATGTCAAAATGGAAACCCCCGCAACTAAAACTGATAATAGTAGTTGGTCCTCTTTATATTATTAGTACTACAACGTACGGGCACATAAAAACAAAATAAATCCAAAACTAAATTGATATTAAGTTGATTTTGGTGTTAAAGTAAATTCATACTAGTAATTATTGTGTCCTCTTAATTAAATTAATCCTAAGGATGGCTTAGATTTTCATTAGCTGCAATAACTCGACGTTATGCGTGTTATCGTTTAATTCTCAATAACGAAATAAATAGTTTAATCGACATTTTTTTAATTTATGATATATCCTATTGAGAAAAAATTGTAAAGAAAAAAAGTGTAAACGCAGAGAGACTCTTGAGAGTCCGTCCACTCACGGGTTAGTTTCATTCATCTGTTGCCTGTTGGCAACCGAAACGAACCAGTTTCCTAAATCCTAGCTATTCAATTCCCCAAAATACCCCTTCTCATATTGCATATTCAAAAAAACAGTTACGAAATTCAATTGCCGTGTACGACGAACCTGGACGAAGATGCGGTTAGGTAGCTGAGAAACGGATTTGAGGAGGTAATCAGAGCCCCACCGGAGAGCGACGAGCGTGTTACGAAGCTCCGTCGCAGGCATGAGTTCGCCGAATTCAACTACGCTCCAGCCGAGCATTGTGGTGGTGAAAGCCATCGGAAAATTGAATTTGACGTTGTCTCCGGCATCGTAGTACCCTCCGGTTAGATCGGTATTGTGTGTCCAACCGTCGCTCAGACCGGAATTCCGTCGCCACGTCAGACGCTGGTCGTTCGGAAGGAAACCGGAGCGTTGGCCTTCGAAGAAGAGGATCGATTTGGAGAGTGCATCGGAATAGTCGTGTTGATTCGACGACGTTGCCACACTGAAGAGGAAGAGTACTAGTGCTAAAGATAGTCGGGGGTAGAAATGTAATTTCATGATTTCTCGGCGTCGGAGGAAATTTAGAAGTCGGTTGTGGTGGTGAGGGAACTGCCACTGTCTGTGACTCTGCAACTACGAGTGAGTCACGAGATGTGTTTATATAACAACTTGGGCGAAAATATTTAATTTTTAATTTTATTAAATACAGCAGGATGAGGGGGGGGGAGGGGGTAATTAATAATTATAGATTACATTCCTTATTTTATTTATAGAGTTGATTGATTTTTAAAATTAAAATATTTGTTTAATTTATAAAAAAAAATTGCTAAATTTGGAGAAATTTTATATATTTAGAAAATCTATAAAAATATTTTAATATTATTGATTTTGAGAATCTTAGAAATATAGCTAATATTTTAAAAGATTTATCTTATTGGTTAATTTGTTTTAAATCAATGTCCCAATAACAAAGATTTTAATAGAATCATATAATTTTTTAAAATTCAAATTTTTTGAATAACAAAAACCAATAACACTAGATTTAGTAAAAATATCATAATTTATTAACCAATAACAATAGTTGTTATAGATGTTGTGCACATCAATATTTATGATTACAGCTCTAAATCATATTAATCATATTTTATAAACTTTATACTTTCTTTATTTACTTACAGCCAAAATATTTCTTCTTTAATTTATTTTTTCTGTACAAAGCATTTTCTTAAAAAGCATAATTTTATATTTTCAAAATTTTACAATTCTATAGCCAAAATTTTAAGAAAATAAAATTTACAATTACAACAAAAATACTTACAGCTATATTTCTATAGCAAAAATATAAAGCTACAACTATTATCAATCAAGCTTAAATTTTCTAATAATTTCCTAATCTTTATTTACTATTTTTTTCTTTTTTTTTTGATAATCTGATTTAGTAAAAAAAATTGGGAAAATGAATTGTACTATATCTTTTTAAGTTTAATGAAATTAAATTGTGTATGATTTTAATTTTTTATGCATCTTTATGCTTAATATTATGAACAAATTCTCTCGTTGTAATTTCATAATATGAATCAAAAAAATATAGTAAAAAATGTAACTTTTTTTTGAACATCAGAAAAAATGTAACTAATAAGGTATTCTATAACTATGAAGTTCAGTTCTTTGCTAAATAAACTATAAAACAGGTCCCTTTTTTGCAGTAACAAGATAATAGGTTTTAGAATGTTAAAATCAAGATACGTAATACATCATACCTGAATGAGTTAAGCTTATTATAAAAGTAAATTGACAACTCAAATTTGTAATATTGTATTAGGTAATTATTTTGCAATCTTTATAACTATTTTTAAAAAATATTGTCAATTGTTGTGCGTGTGCTAGCACTACGGACAAAAGCAATTGGAGCGAGCGAGCGAGCAACCCCGTGGTGTTTTGGTTTTTTGCTAAAGAGAAACCAAAACCGAGTATATTTTTTCTTATTTTTTTTGCTGCTTTTATCATTTCCCTCTGAACATTTCATTACATTTTATAATGGATAAAGCGACTATAAAAGTATAAGCGACACAACTTTTTATGTTAAAAAACAAAAAAAGGTATAAGCGACAGGATTAACATGATAAACAAATATTTCTCTCTCAATATTACAAATCGATAATGCAAAACAAAAAAAAAGAATCTCGTGACAATGGGGGACCCGCTCGATACTGTAACATGATTTTGGCTTTGCGCATAAGCGTTAAGTTGCTAAAGAGGTGGATGCAGGATTACAAAATTCCCAATTTTTCTATGAGAACTTTATTTAAAAACCATTATCCTTCACATTTTCCCCCAACCTATTGTGTGTTAATAGTGCCTCGCACCGAATGATTTAGCCGTTACCATCCACGAAAGTCTCTGTATCAAAAAAATACATTATAGGAAAAATCCTTTTTTTTTGTTTGTCACACATATAGTTAAAAAAGGATCGATTGAAAAGCATTAAAAAAAGTTAGTGCAATTAATTAATTTACCACTTTTCAATTATCTCTAAACAATATATATGAGAATAAAACATACTGAAATTATATAATCATCTTCGTTTCCGAAAGAGCAAGATCCGTATACATATACTTAGCGTCCTTGAACACTCGCTGACTCACACCATTAGGAGTTTGTTTATTTCAATTTGCACACGTTTTTACGTCTACATTCACACTTTAGAAAAAATTATATCCAAGTGTAGTTTGCATTCACATATTAAATATAATACTCCATTGCAGACAAATTGTGGGTGGGTGTGTGTGTGTTTGTATATTTACGTTTGAAATTCCCCGCCACCCCCCAAAAATCATTATGCATATACTTTTCGTTTACATCCGATCATTTTCCTATACTAATATACATATATAATACAAAGTAAACATGTGTAATAATATCTATACGTACTTCTTCAAGCAAAACATCATCTAATGAAGACTAAACTTTGGAAGAAATATGGATCTATTAGCAGAACTGCAGAGATACACAAACAAACACACACAAAATTTAAACTAAAATGAACAAGGGACTAAACCTATGGTTTGAATGTTTGAAACTTTGAATCATTAGTTTTCAGACGGGATATTTCACTCAATGATTAGAGATTTTGAATGGTCTCCCGACATTGTGGATTGATTCGAACCCAATCTTTGTTAAGATTTAACTGAGATCGAGAACAGAAATAAACTGTCACAAAATTTGTCATGCTTAGGCATTACGAATGAACAGTACATACGCCCATGATGTTACTATTCTATGTTTGCACGTATTGTAGTTGTGACCGTATCAGAAGAGAGCAAGTGGTGGATGCATACCATACTTAACCGTAATTAGTTACATCTTCCATGTTAGGCGTGTCTCACTTTTTGTTGCTTTAACCTGGTTTCCCATCAGTTAAGGAGCTTCCTCTTCCACAATATATGAACTCGTATATTTTTGGGGAACTTCGCTAATTTCGTAAGCAATGTAATCTGTTTTTTTTTTTTTTTTTTCTTTTCTTTGTTAAAGATAATTTGCTATTTTTGTCTATTCTTTTCCTCTGAAAACCTTTTCTTTACGCTTACATAATTTTTTTCCCTTTTATTAGTCTACACCACATTTCATATGATTTTATATGTCAAAAGCTAGCATCAACTTGACGAAAATCATATGAAAGCAGTTAGATTCCATGGAAAAAATAAATAAATAAATGGATCCAGTATCATACCATAATTCCATATGAATATCTTTACATCTGGTTTAACAGATTAGTGAAAATTAATATGATTTATCTAGCGATGAACTTGTAATAATAAGTTAATGCAGCTTATTTTTTCCTACGTTACTCTGAATCAACTTGTTAAGGCAAAATAAGATGTACGAACTTATTAAGATAACACTGGTTTGTACTTGTTAAGACAAAGAAGTAGTGGTACGTGAAGCTTAAGTTATAATGTTATGAGTCGCTGATAACATTAACGATGGTGTGCGCTCCTTTATCTATCTGACCCACAGCTGCAACAACGAGAAGGCATTTGTCACAGACGTGGTGTAGCAAAAGACTCGCAAAATGTATTGTGAAATAAAAGGGGATGTATATATGATTTATTCAACCAACTCTTATCTAAATGATACAACCAGTTCCGTTTGGAATCTTGAATCACGGAAGAATAAAGGTCCAATTTAAATCAAACAACAAACTGTATGAAACAAGACGCATCTCAGAAAAAGATATTGTACTTTTCTGTAACCCAATTTAAATCACCATCGGACATTTTAGCCGGTAGCTTGGAATGGCGATGAGCCTGGTGGCTTTAGGCGCCGTGAGACCGAACATGTCAGTCATATCCAGATCGCCGGAGCTAACTCCTTCCGGCAACTCCCAGTCAAAAGAATGAAGCATGTGCGCGACGGCGAGCTCCATTGCATAGAGCCCTAATTGCATACCCGGGCACGATCTTCGACCCGACCCAAACGGAAGATACTCGAAATCACTACCTTTAAAATCCGGAGCCTTGCTTTCCATAAACCGCGCCGGTCTAAACTCATCCGGTTCACTCCAAACCGATCCGTCTCGTCCAATTGCGTACACATTGATCATGACCCGACAATCGCGGGGAATCGAGTACCCGGAGACGACGGTATCCGCCGCCGCCTCGTGGAGGAGAAGCGGAATCGGCGGGTGGAGCCTCAGCGTCTCCTTCATCGCGCATCTGAAGTAAGGAAGATTCTCGAGATCTGATTCGTGAAACTGACGATTCAGTCCAATGACGTCAGCGAGTTCTTGCTGCAACTTTACGAGCTCGTGAGGATTCTTCATCAGCTCCGTCATTGCCCATTCAATCGCAGATGCCACAGTTTCCGTCCCACCAAACATCACATCCTAAATATTTCAATTTCCTTGACTAATATATATAATGACATTATTATAAAGAAAATTAGCATATACCATAAGTTTGTAAAATGATTTACCATGACGAGAGCTTTGATGTTATCTCTTGTGAGTCTAAAGGATGAATCATTAGTTTTACCGCCGCTATAAAACGCCATTAATTCATCGACCATGTCATCTTCCAAGCCATCATCATCTTGTTTTCTCAAATTCTTCTTTTCCATATGTGCATCGATGATTCTATCTATGAATCCATCCAGCGATTTCCTAGCGTTTTCTAACCGCTCGTTGAAACCACCGTTACTAAACCATCTCATCCACGGTAAAAACTCTGTGATATCAAACGCTCCAAAAAGTTTCGAGAACTCTTGTAGTATCTTGACGAATTCATCTTGACCGTCGCGAGCGAACGAGCCAAACGCAGCTCGGTACGTTATGTTTCGCGTCAGAGCAAATACCAGCTCGCCAACGTTCACCGGTACACCGGTTTGTTTGGTCAGAGTTTGAACCATCGAATCGATTTCTTCTCGAACCGAGGCCCATGATTCGGCCCGTTTTCTGCTGAAGAGTTTTATGACACAAATCTTCCTCATTTGACGCCACATTGGGCCGTAGTTCGCAAAGGCCATATCCGCTCGGTTGTAAGTGAGATATGAAATTGCGACGTTAGCCGGCCGGTTTGCGAAAACAATATCTTGAACCTAACACAAACGAATACTTCAACTAATTACCTTCTCTTTTACAAAATTAAAATTTATATTCCCTCCCAAATCAATTTCAGTTTTAACTCTATCAACTCTTGATCCTAAAATCTACCATCATTGATAAAGATAAATAATATAATGTTTTAACAATATGTGAATCAAGAAATGAAAAAAAATGTATAATATGAACCACATACCTGAAGAATTTCTCGGGCCATCTCATTTGTGGAAGCGGCTACAATATGAATTCTGCCCATCCGAAGGTGTAAGAGGCCACCATATTGTTTAGCTAATTCGGCCAAACCACGATGATTCAATTGATCTTTTAGTTTCATGTTTCCGATTATCGGATATCCTTTTGGACCAGGTGGATATGAAATATTTCGAGTTAGCAAAACTCTAACTAAATACCCAAGAAAAAGAAGAACGATATATAAAATTGGCGAGCAAAGCAAACAATCCATCTTTTTCTCTTTTAATGTTTTTGTAATACAGAGAGTGAGAAGATGGAGAAGATGTTTTTTCTATACACATGAATCTGCCTTTGAATATATATATATATATATATATATAGAAAATAAGAATACTATAGAATCAAATTTCTGTATACTATGTATGTATGTTATTTACTAGTAGTAGATTTCTTTCTGTTTTTGGACGTTTCAAGATAAATTATTCAAAACTTGTAAGAAAACAATTTTAGTCAATATCTAAAATATAGAGCAATAAATGTCAGTCGTTATGGAAATATAATTATTATTTATTATTATTATTATTATTTTTAGTTTGTAGATATTCTTAGTCATGAATTAGAATTACGAACAGATTTATATGTACGAGTTTGATTACTAAGATAAATATTTCTTATCTTTTTCCCTATTGAAACGTGAAGACAAAATTCTAATAAATTAAGATGACATATACAAATTTGGGCGTGAGACGTATTAGGAAAAAAATCTTGGAACAAACTTTGTAACATTTTCTTTAGTACTAGAAAAATATAGTTATTTGGAAAGAATCTAACGATATATAAAGAACGTTGGTTAAACTTTGGAACACACCACCTACGTAGATTTCTCAAGACTTACACCAACTAGTTTGTGATTTAGTTAGGGAATTTTATTAAAAACAAGCACATTTTAGTGAAAATATTGTGGGGCCATGGGCTCTTTGAAACGTTTAACCGTACTTAAATGCATAATTTGGGACTTTTATAATAATCGATACTACAATTCAATTCCTTTGAAAAGGTTCCAAATGAAGTTTGCAGTGATTCAATTTTAGTTGGACATATCTCTTCTTTTCTTTAGCAGAAGATGCTAGCACTTGGCAGATAGATGATAGGACAGTTTTTGAGTCGGAATATAACTACAATAAATGAAAAAATATACAAATATGAAATATGAAGCAGGTCTTCGTTGGTAAAATAATCACAAACTTTTAAGAATTCTCCCTGGATGAGTAGATGGAGAGTTTAGGGTACAATGTAAATGATTGTTAAAGTATTGGGGTTATGTTGGTTATAAGACCAAAAGCAAGACTTGAAAAAGTAAATATAAAGTTAATGTTCTGACACCATACCAAACGGTAGATTTGATTTCAAACAGACTCTCTCTCTCCTTTCGTTCCTTCTCTCTCCTATTCTGAAGCAGAGAGAGAGAGAATTACAGAAGCAGCGATTAGAGGAGGAAGAAGAAGAAGACGAACAGAGACAGCTTTCATAAATGGAAGCAATCAGAAAACAGGCTACAAAGCTCAGAGAACAAGTGGCGAGACAGCAACAGGTAACCCTGATTGAAAATTTAAACCCTAGACAAAAATCTCAAGATTTTTAGTTCCCGAATCTAATCGCGTTCTTAGTTATGTTAAATCGAGTGGTTTTTTCGCGCTTTACCGCTTTTAATTGGGAGTGATCCTGTTCAACAGTGTGTGAAGTGGGTTACAATTTCAATATCTAACTCCAAAATTGAAGATGCTCCATTTGATTTTAGTTTCAACATGTTTGCCTTGGGAAAAGCTGCATCTTTGGTTCGATTATTAAGTAAAGCCCATATGCCCTGAGTTTAGAGAGATGATTACAAACTCTCGTTCTCAGAGTTGCTGTATTACGAAGAACTTCGTAGCAAAGTGTGTTGATGTATATCTCTGTTTTGATGCAAATTTTGGAGGCTGTCCTGAGACAATTTGGGGCAGGAGGTTATGGAGGTTCAGATACTGTAATAACCGACGAGGAAGAGTTACATAGGCATCAGAAGCTGGAGAAGCTTTACATCTCAACACGTTCTGCTAAGGTTTTCAAACTTGAAACCCTTAAAAATTATCTTGTTACTACTGTTTCTTTAAAACCCTGAAATTTTGTTTTCCTTTCTTTTTTTTTTTCAGCATTTTCAACGGGACATTGTTCGTGGTGTAGAAGGATATATCGTTACAGGATCCAAACAAGTCGAGATAGGTGACTTTTGTTTATGCATTGCGCCGCCACACGTTCGTGTGCTTTCTGTCTTCAGGGGTTACAGAATCATTTTTGTGATTTGTGATTAGGGACAAAGTTGTGCGAGGACAGCAGGAGATATGGATCGGAAAATACATGCACTAGTGGCAATACACTAACAAGAGCTTCACTAAGTTTCGCAAATGCTCGGGCTCAAATGGAGAAAGAGCGCGGAAATCTCTTGAAGGCTCTTGGCACACAGGTTTCAAAACCGTTCGATTTGACACAATCAATGCATATCTTTTTTAGCAATGTAGCTAAGTTTTAGATGATGAAGTTATTAGGTGGCTGAGCCATTAAGAGCAATGGTAATGGGAGCTCCATTGGAGGATGCTCGGCATTTAGCTCAGCGGTATGATCGGATGCGACAAGAAGCTGAAGCTCAGGTACTTAAGCTGCATCGCTGCTTCTTTCAACTTCTGACACCATTTTGACCAACATGTCTCTTTCTTGAGTCTGCATAGACTATTGAAGTATCGAAACGGCAAGCTAAGGTTAGAGAGAATCCCGGTAATCCGGAACTGGTAATGAAGTTGGAAACTGCTGAAGCAAAGCTTCAAGATCTTAAATCAAACATGACTATATTGGGGAAGGAAGCAGCCTCTGCCATGTCTGCAGTTGAAGATCAGCAACAAAACCAAACTCTTCAGCGGCTAATCACTTTGGTATTACTAACGTAGACCAAATGGTTGGATGTTGTTTCGTCTTCAGAATCACTGACTTTCTTTTTTTTTTCTCAAAATGTTTCTGTGAAAAGGTTGAAGCGGAGCGTAACTATCATCAAAGGATCCTCGAGATGATTGAACAGCTAGAAGGAGAGGTATATATATATTTCCCTCCATTGGTCACACCTTTTTCTCTACATGATTTAATCCCTTGAGTCTGAGTGACATAACTTCGATGTATAGATGAGATTTGAGCAACGAAGAATCGAAGCGCCACAAACTCCACAAGTAGAGCACATCACATCGTCTCCTCCTCCGTATGAAGAAGCCAATAATGTTGTCAGTGCTTCTCAAATGCATAATGGAATGTCGGACGCCATGGGATACTTCTTAGGAGAGGTTAGTGAAGTTTAAAAACTTTCCCATCTTGTTACTACATTCACAAGAGCTTTAATTATCTCTTGCGCAGGTCATGTTTTCGTATAGAGCTGATTCAGATTTTGAGCTCAGCTTATCGGTTGGAGACTATGTCGTTATCAGAGAGGTTAGCATTAAAGTCAAAGCATAGAAGATAATATTCTTTCTCTGATCTATGATCCTTGAGGACTCATTCACGCGTCTTTTTTGCTAATTCAGGTAACGAGCAGCGGGTGGGCAGAAGGAGAATGTAAAGGCAAAGCAGGTTGGTTTCCTTATGACTACATAGAGAGAAGGGACCGTGTGCTTGCGACTAAGGTCATCGAGGTCTTGTAATGACTTCTCCTGGTCATACTTGGGACACTTTTTTTTTTTTTGTCTCTTTAAAGAAGCTTTGCTTTTTCTTCAGTCTATAAATCTAAGGAAAAGAAAAATGGCCTGTTGTCTTGTATTTTCTCGTCCTTTCTCCGCTGCTACACAAAATATGATCACTGGGGGCAAAAGAAACGGTGTCTCATATCCGATAGTTGAAGGATTTAACAGTCTTTTAGATGTACTGTTTTGTTTTGTATGTGTTTATCAGATTCTCAAAGTCAAAAAGTGTTGATATCTTAGTTTCTTCTTGGCATACCAATCACCACCTTACTGTTCTAAAGTCATATGAGTCTTGAATGAACCCTACTAATTATTTCCCTCTTTAAATTACCAAGAAATGGACTCGAACTTGCATCGACATTTACCTGACTTTTCTATTCTCAATGAAAATGATACATACTTTCAATTTATCTAATGGCCAAGAAATTGCGTGGAAACTAAGAAATGTCATCAACTTTTCTTTTCTTAATTCCTCTGCAGAAGGAGAAATAGCCTTTGACTTGTGAGATTCAACGAATGTTTGTTTGAATCAACAGTTGATTTTAAACATATACTGAAGTCAAGCTATCGAGAGAAACTTCTTTCTTCTAATTCCACGGTACCATTTTACACTCCTCTCTCTCTTTTTTAATAAAACTGGGAAAGTAACACCAAACACAATTTGGAATATACAGACATCTTCCAAGAAAAAGCGTAATAACAACACATTTGACTTAAACCAGAAAAGTAAACAACACCTTTGACATAATACAAGTCTTTATGCAGTGTTTTGTATTACAAGTCCTTAATTACATTCACATTTGAACAGTACCTGTCTTTGCTATATGGTCTTTAATTGGTCAATTATATATCTTTTCTATTCGAGAGCAGTCAATTATGTATTTCAAACAATCCTATATACTTATAATTGTACATTATAATTTTAAATTAAATACCCAACTGACCTTTGACAGCTACAAATGAAAGTGTAGACTAATCATGAAATGGAACACATGATTGTCTACTACTAGTATTACTCTTCTGTGAATTTCTCAGAAGAGTCATAATTTCAATTACTTTTATTACTTCGAGAAGAAAAATAAAACAGCACGTGCTAAATACAGTGGTATATAGATCTTTGGATCGCTTCGGCTGTATTTTCTCAATACAAATCTCGAGGCGCCAAAATCACTGCATAACCGGCGATTTCCACTTTCCGGCGAAGATCCGTCACCTTTAAACTACTAATACAACAAAATGTTAATCAAAGCCCAAAGGCTCACTCTCTCCCCTTTCTTTCCACGAAATCCGATTAAATCTCACCAAACACTGATCCGTTGTCTCGGCGGAGACTCGGTGCTAACTCGGAGAAAACTCAGCGCGATCACCATAACTACTCCGATTCTTCAGAAAAAATCGGTGGTGACTCGTCGGAGAATCAAAGTGGAGCGAGTCACGAGGAACTGCGTCGGCACTGATGGAGAAATCGGCGAGTTTGAGGAAGAAGAGGAGGAGGAGAATAAGAGAGGGGATCTAGTGAAAGAGAGCGTATGGGAACAGATGAAAGAGATCGTCAAGTTCACAGGTCCGGCGATGGGGATGTGGATTTGTGGACCGTTGATGAGTCTCATCGACACGGTGGTGGTTGGTCAAGGAAGCTCCATCGAACTCGCCGCTCTTGGTACGCTTTTCTTTTCCATAAACAAAACAAAATTTAAGTTCTGATTTGGTAACAATTTTTTATAATCATTTAAATTCGGCTTAGTATCCCGGATAAGTACAAAGTTGTAAACCGAATCGAACCGGGATTGTTGCCAATAGTTAAGCAGTGACAATCATGCATACCTTTTGGTATTATTTACTCTGTTTATAATTTGGGCCCATGTGGACCAATAATAATTTATAAACAGAAAATTAAGTTTGGTAAATGTCCCCATCTACGATCTTTTGTTAACTGATCATCTTGCAAGCTAATCATTAGATTTTGTGTCGGTTCACCAACTTTAAAAAGTAGAGAAAACGGTCTTTTACATTGACCAACGCTTACCTACCAGTAATCGTTTTTAACCACCTTCGGTAACAATTAAATAAATAAATGCTTACAATGGCTGAGAAAATTACCGGTTTAATAGGACCGGGGACAGTACTATGCGATCATATGAGTTACGTCTTCATGTTCCTCTCCGTGGCTACATCCAATATGGTCGCTACTTCTCTTGCCAAACAGGTTTTTTTTCTACTCTTCCAGTTTTGTCTTTTTCTTATGTTCCAAGTAAAAAAATTACAACCTAACATCTGGAACTGTTTTCTTGTAGGACAAGAAAGAAGCACAACATCAAATTTCTGTCTTACTCTTCACTGGATTAATTTGTGGACTAATGATGCTTTTGCTCACGAGATTATTCGGACCTTGGGCTGTTACTGGTAGACATTTCTCCCCTACAATAAAAAAAATGTTTCCATTTTAAGTTGAGTGAAATGCATTTAGACTTATGGGGGGTTTTGCAGCTTTTACAAGAGGGAAGAACATTGAGATTGTACCTGCAGCCAACACATATATTCAGGTTTTTTTCTTTTCTTTTTGATCATCTTTTTGTTTCAAATTCTTGGGATGAATGATGTCTCTCTTTAACCAGAACCTCTCTGTTTCGCAGATTCGAGGCTTAGCGTGGCCGTTTATTCTTGTTGGATTGGTTGCGCAAAGCGCCAGGTTTCTTATACTTTCCTTCTTATAAATTAGCTTTAACATTAGATGTTGTGCGTCAGATTTTTTCACCTTGTTATTACTCAACTGATGTGAGAATCTGCCTCAGTCTTGGAATGAAGAACTCATGGGGACCTCTCAAAGCATTAGCAGTAGCTACGGTCATTAACGGTCTTGGAGACACAATACTATGCTTGTTTCTTGGACAAGGTATCGCGGGAGCTGCTTGGGCAACAACTGCCTCTCAGGTAATCTAGAAACCTCGAAACCCAAAACTTGTAAAATGAAAAAGAATTAATGTGTTTTCATTATAGGTTGTTTCGGCTTTTATGATGATGGATTCTCTGAACAAAGAAGGCTACAATGCTTACTCCTTCGCGGTCCCTTCGCCGCAAGAACTATGGAAGATCTCTGCAATCGCCGCACCTGTCTTTATCTCGATTTTCTCAAAGATTGCTTTCTACTCTTTCATCATCTATTGTGCTACCTCCATGGGAACTCACGTTTTAGCCGCTCATCAGGTACAGTACAAAACCGAAAACTTCACACCTAAACGATGTTCATGTTGTATATCTTATATTTCCGGTTTTATGTTTTCTATAGGTGATGGCTCAGACGTTCAGGATGTGCAACGTATGGGGCGAGCCACTCTCTCAAACGGCTCAGTCATTTATGCCTGAGATGTTATATGGTGCGAACCGTAACCTTCCCAAGGCCAGAAATTTGCTTAAGTCCCTAATGATTATTGGAGCCACGCTTGGATTAGTCTTGGGAATTATTGGAACAGCGGTTCCTGGCCTGTTTCCTGGTGTCTACACACATGATAAAGTCATCATAACCGAGGTCTGTTTTAGTTTCCCAAATCAACAGTTGTTTCCTGTGTTTTTTTCGATCATAACTTGGTCTAAATCTAATTCTTGATGTGTTGCCAGATGCATAGACTGCTTATACCTTTCTTCATGGCGTTGTTTGCATTGCCTATGGCAGTATCCCTAGAGGGTACACTGCTGGTAAATTACAAGCTCTTGTTCGATTACATGGTTTCATGAGAAGCAAAGCAAGCAGTTAAAAAAGCCTTCTTATGCTTAACTAAAATTTGGTTATTGTTTATCAGGCGGGACGTGATCTCAAATTCGTTAGTTCCGTGATGAGTTCAAGCTTCGTTATTGGCTGCCTCACACTAGTGGTACTTTATAGAGCCCTTCCATGAATTCGTAACTAAGATTATTAATCTTGGAAGATTCTTTAAATTTATGCAACCCTAAAATGCTTCTTTGTTGGTGATAACACAGTTTGTGACACGAAGCGGTTATGGTTTACTCGGCTGCTGGCTTGTTCTCGTCGGATTTCAATGGGTAATGATCTTTGTATACATAATCTGTTTTAACATACTATTATCATAAATTCTATCTTCCGCCAAAACTAACTTCCGCAAAACAAAATCTGCAGGGTCGGTTTGGTATGTATCTACGGCGGCTTCTTTCACCTGGAGGCATACTTAATACGGATGTGCTGAGTTCACCATATACGGTGGAGAAGATCAAATCAGTTTAAGTCTCTGTCCAAAACGTTTAAAATCAAATATTCTAAGCAGGAAGAGATTAAAATTCATGAGCGCATTGAGCCCTTACTGTTATTTTACTCTTGGTATCTCAAGTCTCCAAAATTCAAATTCACTTTTAGGTTCTTTTAACTCTTCCCTTCATTTCATATGGGAACAATGTTTGTGATTCTAATCTTGAAGAAAATGAAAATGCATTTAGATAAAAAAAAAAAAGTATTCTTGAGATGATAACAAACAAACCGGTAAAAAAAATCAAGCTGTTGCGACTCTACTTCCGCCTCTGCGTCCACGTCCATCAGGTCTCTCTGAGTACTCCCTTCTCTGCATTTACCAAAAGTTTGAATGATGCTTAAAAGCTAAATACAACAAAGAGACAGGCCGGTGAAACGGAGAGAGGCCAGAATAAGCGGTTTTTTCCTTACAAAAGGTCTAGTGGGTCTAGCGTTTGTGAATTTCTGTCTTCTTCTAATCGACAACCTCTCCACTTCCTTCTTCTTCTCCTCTGCTTTCATTTTGGTGGGACTAGGCCGATACAATATCACGGTCCGCCCGATTTGTCCTACTGCTACTGAACCTGTCGCTTCTTCCAAATGCCTAACCGCGTCCTCTAGCTCATCCGGCGATGTCTTGCGTATCTTCACCTGTTCGGATATATAACATTTTCTTAAGCAGAGGCTCATTTCAATCCATTTTCATATATCAGCCTAACAACAACATTCCTCTCGAAACGCATATTACCACAACGGAATCAAGATCCTACTTTCACCTCATTTCATAACGCTATCAAAGTTTGCTGATTCTACAGAGAGAGAGAGAGAAAAGCCGATACCTTTAAGAGCTCGTTCTTCTCCAGAGTCTCCAGGAAGGAGAAAACCACTGAATCAGTAACTCCAGATTTTCCGACGAGCTGACATTTCAATTTGTCACCCAGACTATGCGCGTATGAAGCCAATTCCTTCTTCTCCTTTATCGACAACTTCAAAGCCGAGCCACGAGCCTTCTTCTTCATCTTCTCTGTTTTCTCCTCCGAAACCTCTTCAGATGCTCCCGAATCTTCAATTCCTCCCACGGAAACCATTCCACTGTCCAGTTCTTCTTTTTCTTCTTCTTCGCTATATTCGTCTTCCTCGCTCTCTCCGTCTTCTCCGAGATCTGGTTCATCGATGGAAGAGAAGGATTTCGCTACGAGTGAAGAAGTATAAGGAAAAGGAAGCGGCTTTGAAGATAGTGACTGAAAGCGAGGTCTGTTACGGTGGCTGGATTGAGAGATTGAAGCGGATAAGCAAAAGGGTTTGAGGAAGAGACAGACCGAAGATGGCGGTTCGGGAAGTCGGAGAAGGTTGTGGATAAGATGAGTCGATGAAGAAGACGATGGTGTTACTCTCGCCATTGCACTAACTCTGATTGGTTTCTGTGACCCTCCAGAATTTAATAAGAAACCCCTTTAAATGTTATTATTTCACAATTAAGACCCTAAGTGTTGTAATTATACAATAGTTATCTCAAAGTTCAGATTTCGCCGTGGTTGTTTTGGGTCGTTTTGGGATGGGCCAAAGTTGGCCCAATGATGACCCATTTTAAAATGACATTTATCTCCACTTTTCTTTTTTCGCACCCGCTTTTTAAAAACTAATTAAATCGGTACGGACCGACACAAATCAGAGAAGGTAACGAAACATTTATGATATTTTAGCCTAAGTAATTTTCATTTAAGGAATGTTAAAGTAAGTAATTAGTAGTAAACGCCATGTTTATTTTTTGCTCACACTAACACCACGTATTGAATTTTTCTTTTTCCTTTTTCGACATATTCAGGGAATTTAAAGATCACACCACATGGCACGTGAGAAAGGAAAAGCATACACGTGAGCCAGCTGTGCAATGAAGCTCAAAAAGTGAGAGGGCTATGACAACTACTTTAGCTTCGAGAAGCAGGCACTCTATATTTATCGCATAAAGGTAATTATTTAATTCCACAATGTCGTAAGTAATTTACAAAAATTTCAGACTCAGTTTGAGTGTGTAATACTGCAATGCATGTGTACATGTACATATCTGTTATTATTTACATCAATCAGCTGCAAGTAAAATCATGGAAATTTAATGGTTTTGTAGCTTTTTTTAATCTCAAATATTATTGTTCGAACCAGAAATATCATCCAAATTTACGTGTTCGCAAGAGGCCAGGACAACTTCCAATTATTGTCGTTGCTGTTATAGTAGTAAGGGATAATTGTTAATAATAGTTAGTAATGGCTTAAGCATTATATCGAGTTAGAATGAATAATACTCGACCAAAAGAAATTCGATTTAATTTGATTACTGTCTTACTGAAACAAATGAAACGAAACAATTTGGTTTTGGATCATATAGCTAAGCGTCATGTATCTTAATTATTTTTTAAAAATGTTTGTTGTTGGTATATAATATATATATCAATCAATTGGTAACGTTTAGATGTTTTTAAAAAAAAATTAGCGTTAATATTCCATCGGTCCTATTTATTGTATAGAATTTAATAGCTCTAGTGTCCACTTGAATATACGGGATTACCCTTGCTAAGTCGTTGTTGTAAATGCTATCAATTACAATACTACCCCTATTTAGAACGTTAGCATCTACGTGTAAAGCGGTATCAGGTGAAAGGAGCAGCGATCACATGCGGGATTAAAATCTAATCCTCCATTTCTCCACCGTCCAATTATTCTCGCGCGTGTCTTCACTATGCTCTGGTGCGCGTGATCCAAGCTTCAGAATTATTTATTTATTTTGCGTTTTCAATAAAATGGTTGTTACGTAATTTACAATGCAATGTCTCGCGGTAAAGGAGAACCGGGAACTCAAGTCAGATGAATCTCCGTGTATGATTGTGTCGCATCAGTATTAATAATTCAAGTTATTTGTATTTTCGAAGTTAAAGGATAGTATTGTTAAGTGTTAACCAACGAATACTATACATTTGGAGTAAAATTATATATAAATGTATAATTTGACAAATATACCAGATTATCTCTTCGTAATTATAAGTTTATCTAACAGAACAAGAAAACTATAAATGTTGACTAACTACACTATTATGGTTTATGTGATACAACTGTAAGAATTATATATTAGCTTAGACCATTTGTTTTTTTTTCTTTCCATTTGAACTCAGAGCAAAAGTATATAAAAGTCAGTTTATTGATTCAAACAATTAATTTTGTCTCACAGAAATACTAGGAATTTTAGTTGAAATCGAAATATTGTTAGTATTGTTAACCTAACATTTGTTTCGTGTGTTTATATACTGTATATCTGTATATTTTCGCCACATGAACTTTAATACTTATATAGCTATTTAGTTTGGTACTTTTGTTATCACCTTTAATTTAGTCGAATAAGAACTAGTTCGCATTCTAAACTTTATGAACCATGGACGAATAAATGAACAACTTTTTTGTGTGCAGATGAAATATGAACAACTATATTTTCTTATTATATGTCCAACTCGGACATTCTATATGACCATGGACAACTATATACGTGCTTGTAACTCCATATACATTATTCGATAAGTTGTACACATTACTGGATTTGGATTATCATATTTTTAGGAAAATATTGATTAAACCAATCATTATTTAGGAATTCGACTAGCGTTTACCTTTAGATGCAAAACGCAATGCTCATATATTTTAAAAAATTATAATATAACGCCTTATTAAACAAGGAGAGACCAAATGGAGTATTTTTAAAAAAATGAATTGAAGAACTAAGAAGATCTATCAGTCATATAGAGTATTTGCGACAGTTATGCTGTGTTTTATAAAAGAAAATAACTATTTTAGTCATAAATATCCGTAGGTAGGTTTTGAATTTAAATTTAAATTTGAATTTATTAAAAAAACATAAATACTATAATTTTGAAAAAATAAACAATTGTTTCAACCTAATAATAAAAATGTCAGACAATTTTTTTCCCGTTAGATGTGTACGTGTACAATTAAAAATATTTATCGACATATTGCAACTGAGATTTCTGAAGACTAGTTTTTAAATTATACTTATGTCTGTAAAAGAGTAAAAGGCCAATTACTGAATATGGTCAGCCATTGTTATTCCCGCTCGTCTCGTGGCTTTAAAAATGTTTGAACAACTTTTTTACTGGTGCGCGGTTTTTCCACAGCTCGGTCACACGGTGGTCTTCAATAATGCCACGTCAGCATGAAATAAAGGTTTTTTTTTTAATGAATGATTAAATCTTTTGTTTTTTCCACCCCCTAATTTTTTGTTTTGTCGTTCTCTTCCCTAAATTATTTTCAACTACCACAATTAATTAATTTAAATTATGTATATTTGGAAAGGCACAGAAAAAACAAAATTCAAAATCTGAATTTTCAGCCTCCTCGTTTCTTCACCCCATTCGATCTTCCTTTCTCTCTCTAGAGCACCTTCGCTTAAAGAAGACGAAACAATCTCTCTCCTCTATGGTCTCACCTTCTCTCTCTACCATCTCGTAGCAAGGCCCAATCGAAAGGAGGGTAGAGAGAAGGATGTTACGATGCTTTAATTCTGTCTCCAGCCATGTGAGCTTCCCCCACTGACACATTCTCTGCATCTTCTTTCTTTCCCTTCTTCGGAAGCTTTATTTGGGCGATTCTCCTCACCGAATCCGCGACCGAGTCGCCGTGTTTGGCGAGTTGACTTCCCCTCGAGTTTCGAGGATAGTGGATGGCTTCATCGTCATCGAGAACTAGGAGCAGTTCTCCCTATTCGAACCGTAGACCCCCAAGTCCCGCTTCTTCGACTTCTTCGTCTCATATTAGCAACCGCCTCATACCGCGTTCTTGCTCCACCTCTGCTTCTTCATTTGTTAACTCCGGCGGTGGAATCGGCTCCCGATCTATGACGCCTAGTCGCACCTTCTCCGACTCGGGGTTAATTGGCTCCGGGAGCTTTGGAACTGGATCGCCTGTCCCGTACCCGTCGGAGGAGCTTCTCGGCGAGCCTATGGAGGAGACTATTAGCTCCGAGCGGGACAGTATTTCCGTCACCGTTCGTTTCCGACCATTGAGGTATTATTGCAGATCTGATTGCCCTGGACCAGATCTATTCCAGACAATGCCGATATTGCTCCGGTTTACAGTTTGCAATTCAAATTAAGATTTGGGTCGATTTCTTGGGAGATTCAAATTCACGTTTGTGAATTTTGATTGCAGTGATAGAGAGTATCAAAGAGGAGACGAAGTTGCTTGGTACCCTGATGGCGATACGATGGTCAGGCACGAGTACAATCCACTCACAGCTTACGCATTTGGTATTGAATTCACCTCAATTTTTTGGATGAAATTATTGTGGCGATCATGTCATGTTAACAAATAGTACTGTTTTTTTTTTTTTTTTTTTTTTGATTATATAACGTTTTTCCAAATTTTTGTCGATGCCAGATAAAGTTTTTGGACCACAAGCGACTACTATAGATGTATATGACGTAGCTGCAAGACCAGTAGTTAAGGCAGCAATGGAAGGTGTTAACGGTAAGGGATATTGCTGCAAAAATAAATGTTTTGTCATAGAAATATCCTCTAGACCAATTGGTCTTCAAGTTTGTAGTGCTTGCAGCAAATCTTCTGACTCAGGGTTGTGAATTTGACAGGAACTGTTTTTGCTTATGGTGTTACAAGCAGTGGAAAGACCCATACAATGCATGTAAGGCTTTTTTTCCCTTTGATTTTTCCTCAAAATACACTTGCGATGCCTGAACAGTAGGATATCATATTCCCGTCCAAACACGTATCTGATATTCTTTTTGTTTTGTCATTGGTTCCTTTGCAATACGCATAGGGTGATCAAGAATCTCCTGGGATCATACCGCTAGCAATAAAAGACGTGTTCAGTATCATCCAGGATGTAAGTGGTCTTAATGGGGGTTCATGTCTTTTGACTTTATTCTCAACTTATCACGTCTTTTTACTTTTACGATTTCATGTTCGGTAATTGGCTGCGTCGTTATATTTCAGACTCCAGGAAGGGAGTTTCTGCTCCGTGTTTCATATCTTGAAATATACAATGAGGTTAGTGGAACTTTCTATTCTTAATATATAACTCGCTAAGCCCTGAAAAGTAGACTGTTTGCTTGGGATTTGTTTTCCTGCTCCTATACCTTACCACTGGGAACTAAACTGCTTAACAATATACAGTAGAAATCTGGGTGATTACTCTTCATTATTTTTCTTTCACTTGAGTCTTTGCCTCTTCATCTGTTTACAGTTTACTAATTACCGTCCTTGAATCAGGTCATTAATGATTTACTGGATCCAACGGGCCAAAATTTACGAGTTAGAGAGGATTCCCAGGTTTGCTTTTAACTTTATGGAATTTTCCGCTTTCTCCATCTCTTTCACACACACGTGCAAGTGTATTAACACATGGTCTGAACAAAAAAAACTGAGAACTATTTAGCT